ATGCTGCGGTTTAACATGAATACTCCACTTAGACACAGTATACTGACTCAAAGCCGACCAGTCCTTGTTTTAACCCCTTAATGCCAGGCAGGGTAACAACAAGTACCATCTTTTACTGTCTTTTGGTATGACGCGGCCAGGGATCAAACCCCAGGCCTTCTGCTCTCCGGTCAGATGCTCTACCACTAAACAACGGAGGCGGTATGAAATAAAATCAGGTCATGAATTCAAATAAAAAAATGAGCAGACTCTGCAGACTATCTAAGGGAGGCAACTCTGTACACCACCATAGACAACAAGGATACCTGGGCCAAGGACTACTGTCAAAACCAATCTCAAGGTCACACCTTTCATTTATGGTTTAAAATAAAATCTCACCAATTAACTTAGGCTGGTTAAAACATAACTATATTAGTGTAGCTCGTTTTGGGGTATTCTATTTGGCATAACTTGTTTGGGTGAAGGATAAACTCTTAATATTGATTTATTAATATCATTTTGATAAAGTTTCAGCTCAATCATCATCATTTCTTTTAAATTGTAAATAAATAAAATATAATTTAATCTAACTACCAAGACTAAATCTGAAGCAAATTGTAGTGATCACTATCATTCCACACCATCAGCTCTCTGGGTCTTGTGTTTTTTGTTTAACACCAGACTCAGCAATATTCCAGCTATATAACGGCGGTCTGTAAATAATGGAGTCTGGACCAGACAATCCAGTGATTGATATCATGAGCATTGATCCACGCAATTGGGATGCGATGACATGGATCAAACAAATCAGTGAGCCAGACCACCCGATCCCATTAGTCGCCTTTTACAACAGGCATGGATAGCTGAAGACCTATTCTACCCCGGATCTTAATGGGTATTGGGTCTTGTAGTAGCATAGAACACAATTCTTATTCTTAAATCACTGAGTTTATAGGTTTTTGCCATTTTTCCAGAAAAGAAACACAATATTCAATTCTGAGTCCAGTCATGATGCTACACATCCTCCTATATGTTCAGACTCATCCCCGTCACTTTGGAGAAGAAGTCTCATGTTTATTGTCAGCAACAGAAAATTTGCCCCATAAAAACAAATGGTAAAGTACATACTATACTGCTAAAAATATGTTAAGGACCATCTGATTCTTTCATTCTCCTATACTTAATCTGTCATGGCATGGTAGATTAACTATAGTATTATGAGTGAGTGAGTATGATTTTACGCCGCTTTTAGCAATATTCCAGCAATATCACGGCAGGGGACACCAGAAATGGGCTTCACACATTGTACCCATGTCGGGAATCGAACCCGGGTCTTCAGTGTGACGAGCGAACGCTTTAACCACTCGGCTACCTGACCACCCTATAGTATTATGAAAGAATCAGATGGTCCTTAACATTTTTTGAGTAGAATATATGCATATTTTGCTAAATGTGTTCATTATCAGAATGTCTACATCTTTCAAACCTGAAGGCGAATGCAGTCTCAATATAAATTTTCAGTCTTACTTGTCATAGATGTATTGCTCCATCTAGCCAACATGGGATCTATGTGAACAAGGGGAGACAATCCAGATAAAGACCTTCAGTGATCCAAGCTTGCCCTTAATTCTATTATTCCAAGAGCATTTTATGCCATCACTGCTTCACTCAATTCAAACTGACAGATTCAAAATCAGTCTGGCATAATCAGCTAGGTAATATTATCATATGATTTTTGTTATATGTTTTGAAACAGAGTTAGCAAAAATCCAGTCATATTGACCTAACCTGGCCTGTAAGCTATAAAGTCTTTGGCGGACAAACTAGTGGTTGATATCATGAGCAATCACCCACATGGTCATGGTACAATGACACGCATCTAAGTCATTAAGCCTAAAAAGCTGATAAAATTTAGTTGCCTCTTATGAAAAACAGTAGAGAGCGCTCAGGTCCCCATGGAATCAAATAACCAAAACATTCATTTTAACATAATGATTTCATCTAAATACAAGCAGTCTGGTACCTAATCCAATCTAATCTTAGATTCTTTAACATGTTTGGATTCGAGGGAGGAAAAGGTCCAGTCTATCATTTAAAATACTTGATTCTGACTGATCAAATCACAATAAGGTTTGATTGAAGCTACTGATTTCATAGCCTTATCATCACAAAAGCTGATATTTTTAGCAAAGTGCTTCTTACTCAATCATTGTTGGTCAGCATTCTAAAAAAATGACATAAAATCATAGGCTACAAAATGTAGATTTACATTTACAAAAGGTAAACAGTATGGATTATGGGTCAAAAATACGAGAATTTGGCCCTGGTGTATAAACATGTCACCAAAACGTGGTGATTGGAGTTTATGAGTTGACTGGTGTGACTACGAGTTCAGCGTATGTGGGTCAACCGGCAGGAAAAACATGCCTGACCCTGATTGCTGGGAGTGGGAGGTGACCATGGTGATGCTAGGTGTGTTCGTGTGAATTGTTTTTTAAAAAGCTGTTTCCACTTAGGATAGAAAGAAGAAAGAGAAATACATAGTGTGAGATAGTTTAAAAAACATAGATTTACATTTACTAAAAGTATACAGCATGGGTTGTGGGCCAAAAACGCAAGAGAATTTGGAAGAGGGTGTTTTCCTAGTTTCAGAGTGAGTGAGTATGGTTTTACGCCGCTTTTAGCAATATTCCAACAATATCACGGCGGGGGACACCAGAAATGGGCTTCACACATTGTACCCATGTTGGGAATCGAACCCGGGTCTTCGGCATGACGAGCTAACGCTTTAACCACTAGGCTACCTGACCGCCCCCTAGTTTCAGAGGAATCAGAGATCTTGAACATTGGCACTTTTCCATATCTGACACCTTTTGTGTCACAATGTTTGTTTGTTTGTTGTTTAAAGCCACACTCAGCAATAGTCCAGCTGTATAACGGCAGTCTATAAATAATCAAGTCTGGACCAGACAATCCAGTGATTACCATCATGAACTGGAATATGATGACATGTATCAACCAAGTCAGGGAGCCTGACCACTCGATCTTGTTAGTCGCCACTTACAAAGCACAGTCGCCTTTTACAGCAAGCATGGGTTTCTGAAGACCTATTCTACCCTGGATCTTCACGGATCTTGTGTCACAATGAGTGATGTGCCATTGATAATAGTGACACATGGTGTTGAACTAACAAAACATTGCAAGGTTTGCTTAAACTTGTTGGGGGCACCCCCTTCACATCAGCTTGTGAAGAAGGTGTGCTATATACTCTCGATGCCTGTAATATATGTGAGAAGTTAGTGAGTGAGTTGGGTTTAACGCAGCTTCGAACCGTGTTCAGTTATCATGGCTATATCGCGGCATGTGAGCTTGATGTGGGAGGAAAGCCCAAAGCAGGTCTTAGACCGTTACCACTTCAGTGAAATCCACAAGCATGGGTATGGTGCTGACAAACCTAGAATTTAGTAGAAACGTAATCGGGGCGAACTGGGATTCGAACCCATCATCATTCGTTTCTGGCATGCCCAAGGAACGAAACTCTACACAAGGAATTTTGGTGCCTTAGTCGACTGGGCCACCTGTGCCCCGAATATATGCAAATAAAGTACATTGATGTATAAAATATTGTTTGAACAAATACAGTTCCAAACATTGTTTCAAAGCTATTATCCTTGTTTCCCCAATTCACTGATTTTGAGATCATGTACTGTGGTTGTTAACCTTCCAGCACCAAACAGGCAGCTTGGGTTATATATTCCCCATGGAGCTGAGAATGATTCTTGAGTGCACACTGATCCAGTGACTGGGGTAATAATAGCACTTTGAGTATGAGTGAGTGAGTATGCCGCTTTTAGCAATAATCCAGCAATATCACGGCAGGGGACACCAGAAATGGGCTTCACACATTGTACCCATGTCAGGAATCAAACCAGGGTCTTCGGCGTGACGAGCAAATGCTTTAACCACTAGGCTACCCGATCGCCCCCACTTTGAGTGTGCCCCTGAGTGGTGTGGAAATATGCACAATATAAATGGCGAATTAGCATTATTGAGGTTTCAAATGTTCAGTTCAGTTATCTCCTGTTTATCTCTATATTCAACCTGATAAACATCACTTCACAACTTCTAGAAGGGAGATTATTTACAACTGGCAAAACAAATCTGCTATTTGATGCACTGCAAATATGTGTATGCTAAATGATGGCAGTCTGTAAATAATCTAGTTTGGATCAGACAATCCAATGATTGACATCATGAGCATCGATCAACACAGTTGGGATACAATGACAAACATCAACAATCCTGACCACTCAATCACGTTAGTCTCCTCTTACAACAAGCATTGCTTGCTGAAGGCCAATTCTAACCTGGATCTTCACAGGTTGCAAATGTGTACTGCAGTTGTGACTGAACATTTTGTTTTCACAAACTGACTGAAATATCAAAAATCTTCCACTGGTGAGATGGGCCAAAGGCTCTTCAATAGCATTGCTTATTACTATCCAACAGTAAGTGTTACGAGCTTTTAAAAACAGTCCATGGATTTATCTAGGCTTTCAAACTCAGTGCCCTTGGCGGGAAAATCGGAAAAATATTGTTCAAAATTGGATATTTTAATGTTCTTATTTTTGTAAATTCTGAGGAAATGGGGAGTTTTTAAATTCAATTTGGGAATTTTGACTGACATTTACTGAATACTTGGGGATGAATATCAGCCTCTGAGCAGGTCTTGGTAAATTCCTGCAGTCCCAACAAAAGTATGACTGTAAATAGTAATTATATTTGCGAACTAACCATTAAGATCTGTTCAATCAAAATTCAATCAAAAACCTCATGAAATAACTTTTATGGTTTCAAGCTGCTTATAGTAATATTCCAGCAATATCATGGCAGGGCATAAAATGTGAATAAAGATTTATTTATTTTTTAAATAAAAAAAGATCATGGCAGGGAACACTAGAAATGCACTGGCATAACCATTGGTTGGGAGTGACTCCCAGACACCTGGGTTTGTGGCTCACCTCTACAGCTGGCTTGCTCTCAAACAGCTTATTCAGGCTCTGTACCAACTCCTCATTCTGCCTGATGGTCGATGCAAAACTCCGGACTTCCTCTTTTGACAGGCCCTACAACATTGTCAATACCGCTTGTCAGTGCTGAGGTCATACAGGAAAATGACATAGAAGCACCATACAGCAGTGTCATACAGAAGAAACATTCCATAGTAGCGTCATACAGAAGCATTCTATAGAAACGTCATACAGAAGCATTCCATAGTAGTGTCATACAAAAGCATTCTATAGTAGTGTCATACAGAAGCATTCTATAGTAGCGTCATACAGAAGCATTCTATAGTAGTGTCATACAGAAGCATTCTATAGTAGCGTCATACAGAAGCATTCTATAGTAGTGTCATACAGAAGCATTCTATAGTAGTGTCATACAGAAGCATCCTATAGTAGTGTCATACAAAAGCATTCTATAGTAGTGTCATACAGAAGCATTCTATAGTAGTGTCATACAGAAGCATTCTATAGTAGTGTCATACAGAAGCATTCTATAGTAGTGTCATTCAAAAGCATTCTATAGTAGCGTCATACAGAAGCATTCTATAGTAGTGTCATACAAAAGCATTCTATAGTAGTGTCATACAGAAGCATTCTATAGTAGTGTCGTACAAAAGCATTCTATAGTAGTGTCATACAGAAGCATTCTATAGTAGTGTCATACAGAAGCATTCTATAATAGGGTCATACAAAAGCATTCTATAGTAGTGTCATACAGAAGCATTCTATAGTAGCGTCATACAAAAGCATTCTATAGTAGCGTCATACAGAAGCATTCTATAGTAGCATCATACAGAAGCATTCTATAGTAGTGTCATACAGAAGCATCCTATAGTAGTGTCATACAAAAGCATTCTATAGTAGCATCATACAGAAGCATTCTATAGTAGTGTCATACAAAAGCATTCTATAGTAGTGTCATACAAAAGCATCCTATAGTAGTGTCATACAGAAGGATTCTATAGTAGTGTCATACAAAAGCATTCTATAGTAGCATCATACAGAAGCATTCCATAGTAGTGTCATACAAAAGCATTCTATAGTAGCGTCATACAGAAGCATTCTATAGTAGTGTCATACAGAAGCATTCTATAGTAGTGTCATACAGAAGCATTCTATAGTAGTGTCATACAAAAGCATTCTATAGTAGTGTCATACAAAAGCATTCTATAGTAGTGTCGTACAGAAACATTCTATAGTAGTGTCATACAGAAGCATTCTATAGTAGCGTCATACAAAAGCATCCTATAGTAGTGTCATACAAAAGCATTCTATAGTAGCGTCATACAGAAGCATTCTATAGTAGTGTCATACAGAAGCATTCTATAGTAGTGTCATACAGAAGCATTCTATAGTAGTGTCATACAAAAGCATCCTTTAGTAGCGTCATACAAAAGCATTCTATAGTAGTGTCATACAGAAGCATTCTATAGTAGTGTCATACAAAAGCATTCTATAGTAGCGTCATACAAAAGCATTCTATAGTAGTGTCATACAGAAGCATTCTATAGTAGTGTCATACAAAAGCATTCTATAGTAGTGTCATACAGAAGCATTCTATAGTAGTGTCATACAGAAGCATTCTATAGTAGTGTCATACAGAAGCATTCTATAGTAGTGTCATACAGAAGCATTCTATAGTAGTGTCATACAGAAGCATTCTATAGTAGTGTCATACAGAAGCATTCTATAGTAGTGTCATACAAAAGCATTCTATAGTAGCGTCATACAAAAGCATTCTATAGTAGTGTCATACAAAAGCATTCTATAGTAGTGTCATACAAAAGCATTCTATAGTAGCATCATACAGAAGCATTCTATAGTAGTGTCATACAAAAGCATTCTATAGTAGTGTCATACAAAAGCATCCTATAGTAGTGTCATACAGAAGGATTCTATAGTAGTGTCATACAAAAGCATTCTATAGTAGCATCATACAGAAGCATTCTATAGTAGTGTCATACAAAAGCATTCTATAGTAGTGTCATACAAAAGCATCCTATAGTAGTGTCATACAGAAGGATTCTATAGTAGTGTCATACAAAAGCATTCTATAGTAGCATCATACAAAGCATTCCATAGTAGTGTCATACAAAAGCATTCTATAGTAGTGTCATACAGAAGCATTCTATAGTAGCATCATACAGAAGCATTCTATAGTAGTGTCATACAGAAGCATTCTATAGTAGTGTCATACAAAAGCATTCTATAGTAGTGTCATACAAAAGCATTCTATAGTAGTGTCGTACAGAAACATTCTATAGTAGTGTCATACAGAAGCATTCTATAGTAGCGTCATACAAAAGCATCCTATAGTAGTGTCATACAAAAGCATTCTATAGTAGCGTCATACAGAAGCATTCTATAGTAGTGTCATACAGAAGCATTCTATAGTAGTGTCATACAGAAGCATTCTATAGTAGTGTCATACAGAAGCATTCTATAGTAGTGTCATACAAAAGCATCCTTTAGTAGCGTCATACAAAAGCATTCTATAGTAGCGTCATACAGAAGCATTCTATAGTAGTGTCATACAAAAGCATTCTATAGTAGCGTCATACAAAAGCATTCTATAGTAGTGTCATACAGAAGCATTCTATAGTAGTGTCATACAAAAGCATTCTATAGTAGTGTCATACAGAAGCATTCTATAGTAGTGTCATACAGAAGCATTCTATAGTAGTGTCATACAGAAGCATTCTATAGTAGTGTCATACAGAAGCATTCTATAGTAGTGTCATACAGAAGCATTCTATAGTAGTGTCATACAGAAGCATTCTATAGTAGTGTCATACAAAAGCATTCTATAGTAGCGTCATACAAAAGCATTCTATAGTAGTGTCATACAAAAGCATTCTATAGTAGTGTCATACAAAAGCATTCTATAGTAGTGTCATACAGAAGCATTCTATAGTAGTGTCATACAGAAGCATTCTATAGTAGTGTCATACAGAAGCATTCTATAGTAGTGTCATACAGAAGCATTCTATAGTAGTGTCATACAGAAGCATTCTATAGTAGCATCATACAAAAGCATTCTACAGTAGTGTCATACAGAAGCATTCTATAGTAGTGTCGTACAAAAGCATTCTATAGTAGTGTCATACAAAAGCATTCTATAGTAGTGTCATACAGAAGCATTCTATAGTAGTGTCATACAAAAGCATTCTATAGTAGCGTCATACAAAAGCATTCTATAGTAGTGTCATACAGAAGCATTCTATAGTAGTGTCATACAAAAGCATTCTATAGTAGCGTCATACAGAAGCATTCTATAGTAGTGTCATACAGAAGCATTCTATAGTAGTGTCATACAGAAGCATTCTATAGTAGTGTCATACAGAAGCATTCTATAGTAGTGTCATACAAAAGCATTCTATAGTAGTGTCATACAAAAGCATTCTATAGTAGTGTCATACAGAAGCATTCTATAGTAGTGTCATACAAAAGCATTCTATAGTAGCATCATACAGAAGCATTCCATAGTAGTGTCATACAAAAGCATTCTATAGTAGTGTCATACAAAAGCATTCTATAGTAGCATCATACAGAAGCATTCTATAGTAGTGTCATACAGAAGCATTCTATAGTAGTGTCATACAGAAGCATCCTATGGTAGTGTCATACAAAGCATTCTATAGTAGTGTCATACAGAAGCATTCTATAGTAGTGTCATACAGAAGCATTCTATAGTAGCATCATACAGAAGCATTCTATAGTAGTGTCATACAGAAGCATTCTATAGTAGTGTCATACAGAAGCATCCTATAGTAGTGTCATACAAAAGCATTCTATAGTAGTGTCATACAGAAGCATTCTATAGTAGTGTCATACAAAAGCATTCTATAGTAGTGTCATACAAAAGCATCCTATAGTAGTTTCATACAAAAGCATTCTATAGTAGTGTCATACAGAAGCATTCTATAGTAGTGTCATACAAAAGCATTCTATAGTAGCGTCATACAGAAGCATTCTATAGTAGTGTCATACAAAAGCATTTTATAGTAGTGTCATACAAAAGCGGTAGTGTTACACATAACTGAAATACTAAAGTGTCACATATAAAGGTGTAGGGCACATATCAAGATACACAGAGCATCTACACAGGCGTTCATCTTTGAATGTAGGCCACATTTAAGTAAAAAAAGCTTTCGTATTTTGCTTTTGAATTTGTTTAATTTTTTTGTTTAATGCCACACTCAGGAATATTCCAGTTCTATGATTCCTGTTAGTCGCCTCTTACTATAAGCATAGTTGCCTCTCTACGACAAGCATGGGTTGCTGAAGAACTGGATCTTCTCAGGTCTAAAGCTCTCCTTATATGGTTGCAATGAGAAAGATGATCTGAACCAACATGACCAGGACTAGCCCTGACATCATTTGGTCAGAAAACTGAGTTGTTAAAAAACATAATACAAGTTTAATCACTTTATATAAAAAATCTATGAAGTGTTCTTTGGTTGAAGGATTAAACATTAAAATCACAACCTCCTTAATCGCCCGCTTAATCAATTACCAACATAATGCTTAAAACAAACATAAATACAATAAACAACGTTTATAACAAACACCCTTATGGATATGGTGGATATTACGAACTTAATTTTTGGTCCTGGACATGTGCTGTTGTGATGTGATGTTGTATATATGCTTAAAACAACTACAGTTATAACAAACTTAACTGAGTGGACGTTATAACAGTAGTTTACTGTATTGCCATTTACATCATTCAAAGTTGCATTTGTTTTTCTGAGAAGATCTTCACCTGAATCAGTTGATACAGTAATACACTTGACAATGTTATGGGGATAAACCTTAACATTGATGACACAAGGTCCTATAGTGCTCTCTCAAACAGATAATGAAAAAGGGAGTAAATTATGTAATAGAATGATGTTCAAACAAATGATCTTTACTTTAAAAAAATATATATATATATATTATGAGTGCTTCATTCAATATTTATCTGATAAGACATTTCCAATATATACGAGCTGCAAAAATCGATTTCATAAATTGAAAACATCACCTTGTGTTGGCTACAGATAAGTAAGAAGCATTTGTATTTTGGCTGTTACATGTGCCCTGTTGGAAATAAAAATATGTGTAGCAACTCGACATTGATTAAATCAGAATTCCCCTAGTTTTAAGTGCACAGATGTATGGACTGATGGGAACCTGTCACAAGCTAACATGGATAATGTCAACATGAACTATTACTTGAGCTAAATCCTTCCCTCATCTACTTCAATAAGTGCCATTGAGTGTATCTTATACAGTGTATGTACAATTGTAAATCAGTATACCTTGTATTCTGAGAGCCAGTCCTTGACCACTCTATCCAACATTCTATTAGTGAGCTGTAAACTTCATAACCCTCAACCGTCAGTCTTCTGAAATAACAAATCTTAATACAATACACATTATGACACATCTACTTTGAATATGCTTATTTGGCAGTATCTGGTTTTCCAATAAGAAAAATACAAAGGCTTAAAGCCTTAATGAATTGATTATGTAATTTCATGCCCAGAAAATCCACTTCAAAAGCACCTCCTTACATAATACATATTTCATTACAATACATGAATCACGAGGCCACTAATTCAGCATTAATACTATTTTTTAAATTCTTTTACCAGGTAGGTGAACATGTAATAATCATAACATGAACAAAAAAAATAAGAGAACGAAAATTTGTTCTTGTCATTGCTCTTGATGTCACATGTTTTCCTTTGCAAATAAACACGACAGTGAAACTGAAAGAAAAAACATGTCGTATTGATTGAAACCACCGGCTGCACATGACTGACAATATCTCCACAAGTTCCCACCTGGTCCTTACCTGCATTAAGTATGAATAGGTATATCTTCATTCACTACAATCGAGAAATACTGTAATATTTCAACATACTTAAAAATGATCATAAATTGAACATAATTCGTAGATTTTGGACCCACCACCTGTCAAACTCGAATTTCGATAGATTGCGTATCAACTAACATTCCAAGACACTATCACAGGTATGCAACACACAAGTAGTCATTGTCTGATGTGAACAGAAAAGCTTTCCTTTCTATCTGATTATGACATAAATTACCGGTACCAAATGTTTGTGTTTACAGTTGTTTTCGTTTCGGATACACCTATCTGACCGCTATCGACTGTCCTTGTGCCGTAGAGCAGACGCATTATCTTATTTCCGGTTTCCTTGTACTGTATTCTCTACTACTAGTCATATATGTTTTGTGCAGGTGTCCATTTCTGATAATATGAACAAATACTTTTCAAACATCTACAATCAAACATCGCACTAGTTCATTTCTTCACAGAAGCTTCGTTTGCTTCGTTGGTCCACAATATGCAGTGTCATGTCTGAATATGTCAATATTCAATAATTATACTAATCACAAGGGATTGGTGACCCAAATGCGAAAAAGACCATGGTGTGGATCAGCTCATTTTGGTTTGGGGGTAATGTTTATGATATTATTTGAAAGCAAGGTCCTATTCATCATTCATCCAGTTGATAATGATCATTTTTTTAAATAATAATGATAATAACGACAACAATATGACGGGTTTTTTATCATCCTGTCAGAGTTTGCTTCTTTCTGAACAAACAGAAAGAAATGTCCTCGCGACAGTTTTAGTGTAACAAAACATATTTCCAAATCTTTCTTGACGATCATCAGATAGGTACATGTATTATGAAGACGAAAATTTAAGTGTCCCTGTCCGTATTCATATCTCGCCGCAATAGCTACAAGATTGTTCAAGCGGCGTAAAGCAATATTCAGTTACTTACGGTGGCCCATACCCGCCACTTGTGAGATCATTTTTCACTGTATGCCTCTATATTTTATCTGGCGGTCGCAAGATTCTTCCACTGGTGAGATCATTTTACCCTGTAAACCTCTATATTTTATCTCACCAGTGGAAGTACTGGCGACCGCCAGATAAAATATAAAGGCATACAGTGAAAAATGATCTCACCAGTGGCGGGTATGGGCCACCGTAGTTACTCACTTAATTCAAAGATGATTATAGCACAGCCTACTGTATGTTCAATTTTTAAAAAAGGGACTGGTATCGGTTAATTGACAGTGAAAGCACGTTTGATTCGATTTATTCAAAACGTATTTTGGTTGTCCAATTTAATATTCCTATATGTATGAATAGACCTAGCTATAATTCACTCTAATTAATCTATAATTTGATACTGTCTTTTGATTAGTATAATATTGTTTTGTCTTTAAAGTTCTTAATTTGTTTTATGAAATTGAATTAATGCTTCATTCATTTCTTCGCTTATTCGTTCGTTCACCCATTCACTTAAAGAAAATGTCGTACTTTATGACTTTTATTGTGTCCATTTTGGCTAGACGCACTTATTTCATATTGTACATCGATTTTTATTTAAATTTTTTTATTTATGTGTATGACGCAAATCAACACTTAACTATTCTACTTAGTATGTCATACCCTGAAACAAATATATCCAATACAGCACATGCAAGTCTATAAAAGTGGACAAGTCTAGATTTATACTGCAGTTTCTGAAAATGAAGAGAGTTTCGGTTCCTTTTTATTATATTTATTAAGATAATTTAACAAATCTGTCAAATATGTTCATTTCTGAGACTAGATGTAAGCCATACTCCACTCTATAACGCTACGTGTCTCTGTGTACCAGCGGTCACTCAATACGTTTTCACCTACATTGAAATGACCCCGGGTCACGAAACAAAGTAACTTTATAAGACTGAAATAAATTCTATTTTAATTAGCTAACACGATCGATTATCCAGTGTATCATATCATCGTTCTGTTGTGATAAATACTTATCAAGATATAATGCACTGTATTGTCGGGGATTATTAAGCTATGTTTCTTGTTCATATTTCAGTTTTGTCATCAAGTTTAACTGGTTATAAAATCAAAATCAACTTGCAGTTTTTTTACATGTGTTTTTTTTTATAAAGGGTGTTGAATGTTGTATAAAGGATAAACTTGCATGTTTTCTCGCACTATGATTAGTGGGAAGAATAAATTCATGGGTCTAGTCTGATAAATCTGACTATCTCAAATATGAATTTAATGATGATAATTAATAAGTTATAGGACATCACCTAATTACAACAATCAGAACAATTATAGTTTGAACAAAGCCACCCCGCTTGTAATTTGACTCCACAATGGCGACCTTTGTCTTGGTTTGATATCGCCGGAATCAATGGTTGGTGAACAAATATAAATGATACTTAAGAATTTATTTCAATATGTTTTGCGGTTATGGGGGTATAAACGTAAAAGACAGTGGTCACACTGTTAGTCCGCGCATCGGACAAGATAGGTCAACAATAATAACTTCACACACTGTTTATTTAAACCGACACCGACCCGTGAAGATCCGTGGTAGAATAGGTCTTCAGCAACCCATGATTGCCGTAATAGGCGGCTTTGCATGTAAGAGGCGACTAACGGGATCGGGTGGTCAGGCTCGCTGACTTGGTTGATGCAGGTCATCGTATCCCAATGTTCGTGGAATGACTTACAGACTGCCGACACATAGCTGAGTGCGGCGTTACACAACAAACAAACAAAACAAAACATTAACGACACCAAATCTGTGACAGCATTCAGCGCGGCGATATTGCATCAAAAGCCCCGCCCATTCTAAAAACAGCCAATCAGGAAATAGTAGTCCGCTCGTGTTTCGTCTCTTGGAAACATAAGCACAAACATATTTGCTTGGTGAGCCAATGAAATCCCAAGGAATCACTTGCTATTTGTTGACAAATTTGTGTGTCTTCTAATTTTATCTTCAATAAATCAGTGACAGAAAAGTTCGGCAATAAAACAATTAACTGTTAAATTGTAATATATAGTAATTTGGGTGGGGATTCCGGGTTAGAATAATTTTTTATATAGTCACCTGGCAACGTTTGCTTGTCGGAAGAGGCGACTAAATGGATCGGGTGGTCAGGCTTGGTGACTTGGTTGACTACGTGTCATCGTTCCCGATGGCGTGGATAGTTGCTCATAATATCAATCACTGGTTTGTCTGGCTCAGACTCGATTATTTACAAACCTTCAGAAGGATAATAAAACACCATACCTGTTGTCACGCTAGCTCCTTCCCAGCGCGTGACACCTTCGTTATACTCTCGGTAACGTCGATGCCGTCAGAGTTGGCGCGGCCATTACGAGAATCTTTAAATTTGCCCTCTAATCCCAAATGTAGTCACGTTTATACTTTTGTTTATGTTTTTGGAAATGCCATTATAGTGAATTTTGAAAAGGTTTACGACTAACCATAATTCCCAGATGAATTTAAGCTTTTGTTTGCTTGATCAGATTGGTTCGAGATTGAGACGTAGAGCACACAGGCCATGAAGACTGGTCGTAGACGTTTTGGGACAAGGAATAGAATAAAGACATGAATATCAGATATAATATGTTTGTTGATTCTTGACGATACATTCAGCAATATTCCATCCAGTTATATGGCGGCGGTCTGTGAAATATTCGAGTCTGGGCCAGACAATCCAGTGATTGATATCACGAGCATCGATCTAGGCAATTTAGATACGATAACATGCATCAACCAAGTCTCCGAGCCCGGTCCCCCGATTCCGTTAGTCGCCTCTTACAGCCAGCATAGAGAACACGTGATCTTACCTGAAATCAGAATTTGATTATTAAATATAATAAAATAGAACTAAGTGGTTGTGAAACACAATAAGTAATTTAATGCCAGTGTAATAAATCAGATATGACAACAAAAGTGTTTGTACATTCATGGTTATATGCAAAATATATCCATGTATGTTTATGTATTTATGTAGTGTAAGTGTTTTTACCGTATTCTACGTAATAAGCGCCCAGGGCGCTCTCAAAATTAGAAATAGGCGCTCTTATTAGAATATTATTTTGGTGAAAAAAACAGAGTTGAAAGATAAATTTCGTGGTTTATACTGACAGCCTGAAATCTTTATGTACGACAGATATATTTTCCCCAGAATCAAATGCCCAAAATTAAGGGTGCATATAACACACGAGTGCGTATTATACGCGAATAAATAAGTCTTGTGTACATTGATCAATCGGAAGGGTTGCTAACTGGGATTGTTCACTAGCCAATATCTTAGGGAATGTCGCCGTGGGCGCTAATTAGAGCGGGGCATTTAATACGTCGAATACGGTAACTTATGTAAAAAGGTTAATGAATATATAATGAGTAAAAAACCAGGGACCATATAATCTATTATATTGTCTCTGATAAAACTAAGAAACTTGTTTTATTTTTCATTCTGATTTTCAAATCGACTGCGCCGTTTTTACTGGTTTCTGAACCACACACACTCAAAATAGACAGTAAACCAGGTAAGGGGGGTTAGTTGAAGTAGATCATACGAAGGAAGACGACTTCGGATATTTTAGAGTATGTGAAATAAACGGTAAAAAGAAAGTGGAAACAACATCATACCAACTGACGTCTAGAATACAAAGTGTTTGTAATTAGTTGTAAATGTAGTAGTATGATTATGCCTATGTCGTACACGTGGTATAGAACAAAATAGTATATAATACCTACGCATTCTTTTCCGATTGACTGTCGACTCCTTCCATATGTCGTCTATCATTGAGGAAACTATATGATTTCAAAATTGTGAAAGATTTCCATTTTTTTACGACATTAAGAAGATCTATTTGTGGTACAGTAATTCAATATGGCAGCCCACATGAGACGATGTGAGAGTCTTATATCTTCTTCAGTTTGTGAATGCTTGTAACTGTACATGATATTCCCCCCTGGATGTTTGTCCCCTTAATTGTGTTATTTTCTTCGTTCGAAGCAAAGGCTGTTTTGAAAGCCACCGATGTGCAAATCAGTGCAACTGTCATTGACTCAATGTGTTTGTTTGATCTCACTATTGCTGTCATTTTTTTAGGTCAGACATTCGTTAAGTCATTTTGTATTTGCTTTCATGGGTAGATTGTGGTACATTGCTACAAACAAATAAATCAGTCTACCCCAGTGTTGATGCTAATCTACCCTGCCATCAGTCATGTCAATGGTCATACCGGTCCGTGGCAAGTCTGTGACTTCCACCTCAGATGTGATACCTTAGGCATTTGCTTAATCCTACAACAGGGCTCGATTTAAGGACATGAAGACCTAGTTGCACCAGACAAAACCAGGTTGCACCCTGGTCCCATCAATTTATCAAAGTTGAAAAATTGATGCATTAACTAGTCTGAATGAATAGAATCTCAAATCTCTGATGACTGTCATGATTTTACATAAATTAATGATGTGTACAGTGTTCCTGCAGGCTTTTGAAACTGCCAGTACTGGTGAACTAGTCACTCTAAAAATTACCAGTCCCCCCTAAATTTTGACAGTCCCAACTTTCAACAAATAAAAAAACATATGAAAATTACTTGGTTTTAGTTCTTTCAACATCATGTTCAATGCAATGAGGTCATCTCGTAACTTAGTTAGATCAACACATTATTCACACAAATTTCAGTCACAATTTTCTCTTCCTTTTTTTTTTCAATATTTGGGGACTGTCGCTACAATCAGATATTTAACCTCGAAGCAAAGCAAAATGTTATAACCTTGCACTATAAATAGACAAGGGGAAACCCCGATGGTAACAGACAAGATGACTTCATTCGAAAAAATGTTATAAGAATATTGCGGTGTTTTGTTCAACAACAATGATTTGTGCGGCACTTTATTTTCGGGTCTACAGGGACTGGCACTCACATGAATTACTAGTCGAAGCCTAATTTTGCCGGTAAAAATAATGTTATTACCAGTAAACGGGGACACTGGTATTGCTGTGTAACATAGAGGAACATATGTACATAATCATGATAATCTTGCTGTACCCAGTTTGATGACATCAAGAAAAGATGACAATCTACACATAACACAGGGATTAGTGATACAGTATATTAAATAGAGCTTAGTGGTAGTGAGTGCTTTCAAAGATCGATGTGTGGAAAGGTGTTGTTTAGTCAAATACAAATTTAAAATGTATTTACATGCATTTTACAAAATTTAAAAAAAATATTACAATGTTTGCTTCCTTTCGACTTTATGAGTTTTTAAAACAACTTTATAAATGATTTTCCAATGCCTAATTTTGCTTGCACATGTTCACTTGTAATACTAGTACATACAACTTCATCATGCATTCAAAATAATGTAAAAAATCAAATATTGAAAAATGTCATAACTATTGCCATGATTGCAGCAGACAGAGAAAAACAAAATCACTTCTACTGATGCTTAATCAGCATCAGAAACCAACAGTTTTCATCCACTAGTCCTTATAATGATATAGCTAAACCCTTAAAAAGAGCAAATTTCTACTTGTCCTTATAATACCTTAGCTATTGGACAATTTGGCAAGGACTATAGGACTAGTGCCAATTTCAACCGCTGTTTATCGGGTTTGCAACCATCATGTTCATTTTCTAATTTGTCATGTTTGCAGGTCTGCTAGCCACAACACAGATCCATCTGTCACAGGTTCGATATCGCAGACCTAACATACAGAAACCTCGACCTTCTACAAGAGAGCGCCGTTTGTTTGAAGCCATTACTCAACCAATTCTGCTTCCTGAACTACAACAACAACAATCTGTAAAGGATAAGCAAACTCACCCAGGAAAGGATGAACAGGTACTAAAAGTTGCATGATTGAAGCAAGTGTTGTTGTTTTGGTGAGGTGAATGGGGTTTAATGTCGCCTCCAAGATTATTGCACTTATAGCGAAGTGCATGCATGCGTGTGTGTGTCTGCTTGTACTAGTCCGGACTGAAGCAGATTTTATAGTGCCAGCAGACTGAGATACCATGCCGCGGTTTAACATGAATACCCCACTCAGACACAGTATATTGACTCTGAGCCGACCAATACTTGTTTTAGTCCCTTAATGCTGAGTGCCAGACAGGGTAACAACAAGTACCATCTTTTAACACCTTTTGGTATGACGCTGCAGGGGATCAAACCCCGGACCCTCCGCTCTCTTCTAGACCATGAAAGTGTTGTTTACAGTGTCAATCATTTGATTCGTCTGATTCAGGCTCGATTATTTACAGGTCGTCGTCATATAGCCGAAATATTGCTGAGTGTGGCATTAAACAACAAACTAACACAATATGTTTGTTTGTTTAATGCTGGACTCAGCAATATTCCAGCTATTTAACAGCAGTCTGTAAGTAATCGAGTCTGGACCAGACAATCCAGTGATTGACATTATGAACATGATTCTAATGATAACATATACAGTCATCTTCCCGAGGCAAGGGTGTTAACTGACTATAAAAGTCCAGTTTCCACCCTTGCCAAACTAGGCTTGAATTTTCAGGCTCCATCGTATCACCACGAGTGGCTATTATGAGTTATGTCCCTTCTATGTCCTTCATATTGACTAATCAGATTCCTCAGATCTCTCATATCACTTGCATTTGCTTCAAACAAAATGGCGTCTCCCAGTCAAGACGATATGATTGATAATCAAGATTTATGTTGTTCTAAAATTGGTCTTACCGAGCAAAGTGCATCAAATCACTTGAGCACCTTGATTACAAACATGAAAAAATTTGCAAAATATCTGTCAACACCCAGTTGGGGGGTACACATGCTTTGGAAATCCTGCAGCCGACCGAAATCTGCATGTTGAAATTCATGTCATTTACGAACCGGATATCTGGTTCATTGAGCGATTTTGATTGGACTATGTGTAGACTCGTCAGTCCAGCCAAGCTGAAACTCCGGAATTCAAGCCTAGTTCTGCAAGGTGGGAAACTGGACTGTTATGCTTATAGTAAGTTCAGGGATGTGAAATCTCCGCGGAAACGCGGTAAATCGCGTTTTTTAAAACAGTAGTCCTCGGGGAAAATCATCTTCCGCGAAAAAATATTATCAAAGATTTTAAAAAAAACACTCCGAAAAATATGATCGAAAACCGGACAATCGTCGCGGATTGTCCTGTTTTCGATCAGAGCTTTCAGCAGTATAGGTGTTTCGGACATCATACGTTTTCTATCACGAATACTTGCACTACAACGTGGGGTGTGGCGTCACACAGAAATTGTAAATTCTCAGAGTCAGATGATGGCTTGTTTTTAAGATAAAGTTGTCTTTAAGCCTGTAAGTGAATGAGATGTTTTACAGTTGTTCATGTGATTAGCGAGAAAACTATGAATGTTTCTTCAGCGTCCAAAAACCCATAACATGGGGATATATGTTGTATTAATGTCTTATGTTTGCAATGGAGTTTTGTTTTTTTCAACAAAAGGTAAGTACAAGGTAATTTTTTTTTAAATTTGCTTCAACATGGGGAAAGGGTCAGACATTGCACGCTTGTGACAGTTGTCCTTGTGTCTGCGGGATGGGGGTTGAAGTTTATGGCAGTATTGCTCCCAGACCTGGCGGGTAGCCAGGTGCGCGGAAGCTATGCCGGATTTTTTAAAAGTACTGATTTAACTTCGAAATTTTACTTTTTACATTTCTTGGTGTGAATGTTGTCCAAACTGCACGAAATTGCTTAAAATGCAATCAAATGTTTCAAAAATTTCTGGGGGGGGCATGCCCCCAGACCCCCTAGACTCTTCCTCTTTTTTCGGGAAAACCTGCTCAAATCCCTGTAAGTTAATACCCTTGCCTCGGGAAGATGTATGACTAATCACATGACACATCCTTGATCTTGAGTAACACCGCAGTTGACATGACTATGGTCCTACTTTCAGCCTGGGACTTACGAGAAGTTCCTCATACGGCAATGCAAGAAAATGTTTGAAGACCACAATATGGTTATAGTATGCCAACCACTGCCGATGTCTGAAAATGACAAAAGAGAGATCCGAAATAGGTTTAGAGAAGCTGGCATGGATCTTCTTCACTACAGCAACAAGTTAATGAGGTATGTTGGTTGTCATGGTTACATTCTGGAATATTACATTAACTACAATGTTAATTAAGGACTGGAAGATTTTTCTTCTCTGCAACTACTAGCGTCACTATCATTTACAGGGGCATGGGTGGCCGAACCGTCTAATGTGATGCAATTAGATGTGTAGAGTTATGTCCCTTGGGCAGGCCAGAAACCTATGATTGTGGGTTCAAATCCTGGTTCGCCAATTATGTTTCTAGGTTTGTCAGCACTATACCCTTGCTCATGGGTCACCAAAGTGGTAAATGTCTGAAACCTGCATCACTTCGGACTTTTCTCCCACATGAAACCGACAAACAGTGGTATAACTGGAATGCTATTCAAACCTGTGTTAAACCCAACTGATTCACTCACTGCTGGTTGTCATGGTTACGTTCTGGAATATTACAATAACTACAATGTTAATTTGTGACTGAAAGATTTCTGTACTCTGGAACTACTACTGCTAGCATCACTATGAGATCTCTATGACCGTGATTACAATGATTACTGTGTTTGAGTTACAGTATTGTTGTACGCATATGAACTGAAAACTGCGACAACTACAGAATAGATCTTCAGCAACCCATGCTTGCCGTAAAAGGTGACTATGCTTGTCGTAAGAGGCGACTAACAGGATCGGGTGGTCATGCTCCCTGTCTTGGTTGATGCATGTCATTGTATCCCAATAGCGTAGATCGATGCTCATGATGTCAATCACTGGATTGTCAGGCCCAGACTCGATTATTTACAGACCGCGGTCATATAGCAAACACAAATACACAACAAGTAGCCATACAAGTTTCTTTTGGTTCAAATAGTTAGTTAAGTAGTTAAGTAGTTAAGTAGTTAAGACATGATTTTTGTCGTTGCTGTAAGTCTATCCGTTGTATTCAAAGTGATCTGTGATATGTACAGGTTAGTGTTTACCCTGGGTATTTTTAGCAGGGGATGGATCTTTGCCCTTTTAATTTTGTGCCCTGCCCTTTTTTCAGGCGCCCTGCCCTTAGTTTTGGCCTGCCCTACCTTTTCTGACATTTGCCATTTTGTCCAGATTTTACAAACAAATAGAGTTGCCTCCCTTTGCAATGGGAAAATTATTTTGATAACAATTATGAAATCAGAATTAGAATTAAACCTATGGCTTACTCTCCCCATTTTGAGTTTTATTTCACAATGCCAACCAAAGAAAGGACCATGCAGAAAAGGGAAGAAGCTACGAGATCTGAAGCCAGGAAGTGTTGACGACTATAGATTTCTTCGCGAGGTCGGGCACGATGTGCTGATAATTTCTTGATAACAAAAACAATCTTGTTGTATTGCACACAGCAACAACAGATGACTATGTTTTGCTTTCATAACAATATAAGTGAGTGAGTATGGTTTTACGCCGCTTTTAGCAATATTCCAGCAATATCACGGCAGGGGGACACACCGCCCCCATAACAATATAAATTGTATTGCATTAGTTTGTTTATATAAACAGGCTTATTAATCAGGTATTTTAACCAATATACATCACTTTCAAATAGGTTGCACAAGCAGAAATGTCTGCCATTTTGTTTCATTTTTTTTGGTTCAAACACTATGTATACACATAATTTGGTTGAATTTCAAAATGTTCCAACTAATGCATAATGAAATTTCACGAATTAGCAATGTAAACATTATTTTATTATTTGTTGAAATCAAGTGTTCTTTTGGCCTTTAATAACCATATGCCCAAATGACATAACATTGTACCTGGAAATCTGTTGGCTGCTCTTTTTGAAATTCTGTCACCCTGCCCTCTTTTATCCTGGGGAAACACTACAGGTGTATATTTGATATAATTTTATCATCCATTTTGTATGATCTAATATTGACACTCTGCTTATCTCGAGCTATGGTCTGGGGCGGTCGGGTGGCCAAGTGGTTAAAGCGTTTGCTCGTCACACCGAAGACCCGGGTTCGATTCCTGACATGGGTACAATGTGTGAAGCCCATTTCTGGTGTCCCCCACCGTGATATAGCTGGAATATTGCTAAAAGCGGTGTAAAAACCATACTCACTCACTCACTGGAACTATGGTCTGCATGTCTGATGTATATTTGATATAATTTTATTGTCCCCAGGCCAGCAGTGATGGACACAAGACTGACCAATCTCTTCCCTTTTCTCATCTGTCACAATCTCTTTATCGTTGGTGAGGATTCTCAACTTGCTGATATGGTCAAAATTACAAGACGGGTTCCCCAACTCCACATACTAGGTAAGCTGTGCTGATGGTCAAATCACAAGTTACCCTGTCACAGACTTATTCAGTCTTGATTATTATTACCAGTGAATCTAAGATACAAATCCACAGTCAGCATATCCTAACACAGGTAAGGGCTATAACTCTGTACAGCAAATGAATTTGGATCATAAGAAGTAATGACTTTTTATATAACAAGGTAGCAAGACAAATATTTGTGACTGTTATTTTAGGCTTAAAAAAAATAAAAGAATTGGTTCTCAGGCAATGGGTTTTTTTGGGGTGGTGGGGTGGGGGTAACCAAACAAACAGTTCAATCAACCTGGGAAAGGGCCTCCCTTCATAAATTCCCTGATAAGGTAAAATACTGGAATACAGTATTTGACTACCATTGGACTATGAATATTTAATTGTTTGTTTATTAAAATGAAAATAAAAACGAAACGTGTGGCAAACTTTATGATGAAGCAGGATGTGCCTGAGAACCGAGACTATTATTTTTTTAAACTTTAGTTTACCTGACTAAAAGTCAAATGAGCTTCTGTCATAATCATCTTGTCCTGCTCTGCCATCAGTGTCAGTAAACAGCATCTTCTCCTCACAGGACCACCTCCATGGTCTAGTGGGAACGCCTCCGTGGTCTAGTGGGGCCACCTCCGTGGTCTAGTGGGGCCGCCTCCATGGTCTAGTGGGGCCGCCTCCGTGGTCTAGTGGTTGCCTCCGTGGTCTAGTGGGGCCGCCTCTATGGTCTAGTGGGGCCGCCTTCGTGGTCTAGTGGGGATTGCCTCCGTGGTCTAGTGGGGCCGCCTCCGTGGTCTAGTGGGGCCGCCTCCGTGGTCTAGCGGGGCCGCCTCCGTGGTCTAGTGGGGCCGCCTCCGTGGTCTAGTGGGGATTGCCTCTGTGGTCTAGTGGGGCCGCCTCCGTGGTCTAGTGGGACTGCCTCCGTGGTCTAGTGGGACCGCCTCTGTGGTCTAGTGGTCTAGTGGGAACGCCCCCGTGGTCTAGTGGGAACGCCCCCGTGGTCTAGTGGGAACGCCCCCATGGTCTAGTGGGAACGCCCCCGTGGTCTAGTGGGGCCGCCTCGGTGCTCTTATGGGGCTGCCTCCGTGGTCTAGTGGGGCCGCCTCCGTGGTGTAGTGGGGCTGCCTCCGTGGTCTAGTGGGGCAACCTCCGTGGTCTAGTGGGGCCGCCTCCGTGCTCTCATGGGGCTGCCTCCGTGGTCTAGTGGGGCCGCCTCCGTGGTCTAGTGGGGATTGCCTCTGTGGTCTAGTGGGGTCGCCTCCGTGGTCTAGTGGGACCGCCTCCGTGGTCTAGTGGGACCGCCTCCGTGGTCTAGTTGGACCGCCTCCGTGGTCTAGTGGGAACACCCCTGGGGTCTAGTGGGAATGCCCCCATGGTCTAGTGGGAACGCCCCCATGGTCTAGTGGGAACGCCTCCCTGGTCTAGTGGGAACGCCCCCATGGTCTAGTGGGAACGCCCCCATGGTCTAGTGGGGCCCCCTCCATGCTCTTGTGGGGCTGCCTCCGTGGTCTAGTGGGGCCACCTCCGTGGTCTAGTGGGGCCACCTCCGTGGTCTAGTGGGGATTGCCTCCGTGGTCTAGTGGGGCCGCCTCCGTGGTCTAGTGGGACCGCCTACGTGGTCTAGTGGGACCGCCTCCGTGGTCTAGCGGGGCCGCCTCCGTGGTCTAGTGGGACCGCCTCCGTGGTCTAGTGGGGATTGCCTCTGTGGTCTAGTGGGGCCGCCTCCGTGGTCTAGTGGGACCGCCTCCGTGGTCTAGTGGGACCGCCTCCGTGGTCTAGTTGGACCCCCTCCGTGGTCTAGTGGTCTAGTGGGAACGCCCCTGTGGTCTAGTGGGAACGCCTCCGTGGTCTAGTGGGAACGCCCCCATGGTCTAGTGGGAACGCCCCCGTGGTATAGTGGGGCCACCTCCGTGGTCTAGTGGGGCCGCCCCGTGGTCTAGTGGGACCGCCTCCGTGGTCTAGTGGGAACGCCTTCGTGGTCTAGTGGGGCCGCCTCCGTGGTCTAGTGGGGCCACCTCCGTGGTCCAGTGGGAACGCCCCCGTGGTCTAGTGGGGTCGCCTCCGTGCTCTTGTGGGGCCGCCTCCGTGGTCTAGTGGGGCCGCCTCCGTGGTCTAGTGGGGCCGCCTCCGTGGTCTAGTGGGGATTGCCTCCGTTGTCTAGTGGGGCCGCCTCCGTGGTCTAGTGGGACCGCCTCAATGGTCTAGTGGGACCGCCTCCGTGGTCTAGTGGGGATTGCCTCCGTGGTCTAGTGGGGCCGCCTCCGTGGTCTAGTGGGACCGCCTCCGTGGTCTAGTGGGGCCGCCTCCGTGGTCTAGTGGGGATTGCCTCTGTGGTCTAGTGGGGCCGCCTCCGTGGTCTAGTGGGACCGCCTCCGTGGTCTAGTGGGGCCACCTCCGTGGTCTAGTGGTCTAGTGGGGCCGCCCCCGTGGTCTAGTGGGAACGCCCCCGTGGTCTAGTGGGAACGCCCCCGTGGTCTAGTGGGGTCGCCTCCGTGCTCTTGTGGGGCCGCCTCCATGGTCTAGTGGGGCCGCCTCCGTGGTCTAGCGGGGACGCCTCCGTGGTCTAGTGGGACCGCCTCCGTGGTCTAGTGGGAACACCTCCCTGGTCTAGTGGGAACGCCTCCGTAGTCTAGTGGGGCCGCCTCCGTGGTCTAGTGGGGCCACCTCCGTGGTCTAGTGGGAACGCCCCCGTGGTCTAGTGGGGTCGCCTCCGTGGTCTAGTGGGGATTGCCTCTGTGGTCTAGTGGGGCCGCCTCCGTGGTCTAGTGGGACCGCCTCCGTGGTCTAGTGGGGCCACCTTTGTGGTCTAGTGGTCTAGTGGGGCCGCCCCCGTGGTCTAGTGGGAACGCCCCCGTGGTCTAGTGGGAACGCCCCCGTGGTCTAGTGGGGTCGCCTCCGTGCTCTTGTGGGGCCGCCTCCATGGTCTAGTGGGGCCGCCTCCGTGGTCTAGTGGGGCCGCCTCCGTGGTCTAGTGGGACCGCCTCCGTGGTCTAGTGGGAACGCCTCCGTGGTCTAGTGGGGCCGCCTCCGTGGTCTAGTGGGGCCACCTCCGTGGTCTAGTGGGAACGCCCCCGTGGTCTAGTGGGGTCGCCTCCGTGCTCTTGTGGGGCCGCCTCCGTGGTCTAGTGGGGCCGCCTCCGTGGTCTAGTGGGGCCGCCCCCGTGGTCTAGTGGAGTCGCACCCATTTTATGTATTTCAACAGACATTTCCTTCACTATCCATGTTCTGCTTGTGATTCAGGTGGTGTTGTGGACAACTACATATTGAGCAAAGAGGCGTTAATAAGATACTCGAAACTGCCACCCCTAGATGTCACCAGAGGACAGCTAGTCACACTGTTAAACATGGGTGCTACCAAGACACATTCGTTGCTAGGAAACCATCAAGAAAAACTCTCAAGGAATTTAGAACAGTACATCAAGGATCATCAAGAAAAAGACAATAATTCATAGAGTATCATGATTTGTAGTGTTTGTGTATTACCATAATAAAAGAAAGTCTTCATGATGGCGGTTTTCTGCAGGAAACTGTTACCATGGTTACAAAGGGTTTGTCTCGTTGGCAATTCTTGTGAGCGATGGACATGGAAAAGTCACAGAGAAATATGACCTGTTACAGAGTGCTTATTTATTTATAAATAAACTAATAAAAGTATGAAATAAATAAGAATAAAAGTTTGAAGTGCTAAACCTGTTAAAGGTTCATCAACATTACAACTTTCGGCCTTATAAAATCTCAGTTTAAGGGTATCCATGTTTTTTTCTTTCACATTGGCCTGTGGTTTGAAGGTTGTTAAAATTAAGAAACACAAGCTAATTTCATCCAGCACTCAAACTGTCCACGACATCTGTGAAGAAGTAGAAAATGTTAGTGTCAGAATTGGATGCAAAATGGTCTCATAAGAATTTTGTTACTCTTTCATTCAACACGTATTTACAAGTATCAGCAGCTTTTGACACCAAGAATAACACCAGTTGTGTGATGTCACTGGTGATATCTACCTGAAGAGAGTTTCCAAAGCAATTAATTTTCGAGGCCAAGATGTGGGAAGAGTTACATGTCTTTTAAGGAATAGCTGTAAAATGTACTATTAAATTGTTGTCGAGTGCTTGGTTGTAAATAAATATGACACGGAATTATTTTTTGTCTTCTGTTTCACATAGCTTACAAGACGTACAAGGTGGGTCAGGTGATGTGTGATGTAAACACCCCAGAACGTGAACATCGGGGGAGAATGTCATGGCTTGATTATTGCACAACCAGTGGATATAGAGAGGATATTATATGAGTGTTCATGTCATACTTTGTTTATGACATGAGTGTCTAAATTCCGGTATTTCCCCGAACGAGAGCGTGTTTAGGTTTGTTTAGGCACGTGTCGTAAACATAGTATGACATGAACACGAATATAATGTTCTATTTATTACCGAAGAAGATGTCTACATACAGAGATAAATTTTAGTGTTAACCTATAAGGACAGCAAGTCGAAACAACAGCAGAACCACAATTTGTCGAATGACGTCTTTAATCTTCAGCTTTGACATTGTTTCTAGTGTGATGTCATTCCGACCTCATGTCACAATGAGATTTGAATTAAGTCAACAATGCCGTCTGGATGACTAACACAATACACTGTTGTCTTGTGACGTGATATGACCCTAGGGCACATGAACCCAGATATTTTGGCTTTCATAGGTAATAATATGTCCCTTCTATGTCCCTTCTACGAGACCGCCTCCGTGGTCTAGTGGTAGAGCGTCCGCCCGGAGAGCGTAAGGTCCGGGGTTCGATCCCCGGCCACGTCATACCAAAAGACGTTAAAAGATGGTACTTGTTGTTACCCTGTCTGGCGCTCGGCATTAAAGGGCTAAAACAAGGACTGGTCGGCTCGGAGTCAGTATACTGTGTCTGAGTGGGGTATTCATGTTAAACTGCGGCATGGTATCTCAGTGAGCTAGCACTAGTACAAGCAGCCACACAAACACATACACGTACATGCACGTCGCTATATAAGTGAAATAATCTTGGACGCGACGTTAAACCCAATTTCATCTCACCTCACCTCACCTCCCTACTACGTCCCTCCTATCGCCAATCAGATTCCACCTCTCATATATCACTTGCATTTGCTTCAAACAATTGGTTATGCCCAGTCAAGATGATCTGATCAAGTTGAAAGAAAAGTTTCACATTCCCTGCCTCACATTCACCCTGTCAATGTGGATTGTAGCACACTTTAGCAAGTTGATTAAAACATGAAAAGATTTGCTTTGCAAATCCTGCAATCCACTGAAATCTGCAGGTTGTGCCCATGTTTACGAACTGGATGGCTATTTTGTTATGTGATTTTGATTGGACTATGCACAGACTCATTAGTCCAGCTAAAATATAACTCTGCAGTTCTAGTCTAGTTCGGCAGGGTTGAAACTGGACTGGCTTCACACAATGTATCCCCTGGGGAATCTAACTGGGCCTTCAGGATGATGATAATAATAATTTGGGATGATCAACATGTATGTTGTGACCAATTTTCTCATCATCATAGCATTACATCATACATTGTTGCTCTTTGTATCAACCAGTGGTTTGCCTTCCCTAGCCTTGATAGTTTACATGTTGCTGTGAAATAGCTGGAAAATGTCTAAATGTGGTGTAAAACAATATTCACACACAAAACCTTGAATTAGGGCTTAAATGTACTACTCAAAATAAGTGAAGGACAACCAATTCTTTCATATTACTATAGTAAGCAGTCATGGTTTGACCAGGGGCGCGGGTGGCCCAGTTGCCTAAGGCACCCCGATTTGCTGTGCAGGGTTGCGTCCCTTGGACATGCCAGAAACCTATGATTATGGGTTTGAATTCCGGTTCACCTGATTATGTTTCTAGGTTTGTCAGCACCATACCCGTGATGGTGGGTTTCACCGAAGTGGTAAACGTCTGAGACCTGCATCACTTCGGCTTTCCTCCCACATTAATCTGACACAGATATAACTGGAATAATGTTAAAAGCGTTAAACCCAACTCACTCACTCACTCATGGTTTGACCCTATTATTTAATATTACTATGGCTTATCTATAGTAATATAAAAGAATCGGGTGGTCCTTGTCTTATTTTGAGTAGTATAACATCCATGACAGTGCACAGAAATCGTGATGGAAACAGCAGTAACGTCACGGAAATATAAGTGAAATGTTGAAACATCTGCAACAATGTGGCAGCTGCTCACGAGAACTAAAGACTGGTCGGTATTTACATGTGTATGTAATCTGCTGATCGTGACAGCGATTGTTTGATAAGAATGGTGGATCCGTGTGCGAAAAGCAGGGGCTGGGGTGTCCCACATACACGGAGCCGTGATTGTCTGTGATAAGGCCAGAATTACCAACATGTTCACCATGTGGAGAGCACTGCTAGTCTTAGGTACGTTCGATATTACTCGGGGTTTGTGTGCGGAGGCGGATCAAGCATGTTTAGAAAGGAGGGGCCCAAAATATCAAAATCCTCTCTCGGATAATTTTACTGCCTACCCTATACAACACTTTCAAAAGGTGTGTTGGTTTGTGTGTGTGTGGATCCCCCTCTGGTTCTTCCTATAGTGTGTAAGATGAAGGTTTTGTGTGGGACATCTACTTTGTCAGAATGAAGATCTTGGTTTTATATTCACATTTGTTTTAATGATGACCACTGACGCAAATATCCCTTGGGGAATTTCCAAATGAGGGCAGGTCCCCGGTACCCCATTCTGTTCTCTTGGGGGATTGATTGTGTGTCAACGTACCCTGACAGCATGGGAGGCTGCTCATGATATAAATCCGTTTGTCTGGTCCAGAATCTAGTATTTACACACTGCCATGATATAGCTGGACTGAGTGTGGCATTCAACAACAAATATACCAAATAAAACATGTTGATTCTGGATATGTGAAGTAAAACACACTCACTCCATCAGGTCATTGATTTAACAAATGGTTTTGAGTCCCATTTCATGGCCACAGTTATGAACCGTCCGAAGAGTGTATTTATTACTCGCCATTTATAACGTTTTTAGAATTATACTGTTGAGTGTGAGTGTTGAGTGCTACAGTACGATCGACTTGTGGAACGGGGCCTTACAGCTCAAAGTTTACAATGACGTCACAATACCCGATGACGTAATTTGTGGAATTTTGTTGCAAGATTATTCGACGAAACAATGCCATATGACGTCAGCCTAGCAACACGGTTGCTGGGGTCATCGGGTGTGCATAAGCTCCACTCAGTGATCTATCATCTCCACACGCAATGTCGTTGAATAAGCCAAGGGATGTTAAGAGCTTTCAATATTTGTTCTAGAAACGTGTTCGGAGAGTACATAAGCACGCGTTTTGGTATTACACAATGTGTAATAACACAATGTGTAATACAGCTGTATGTTTATTAAACGGGTGCTCTCTTTTCACGGGCAAGTAATAAATATAGAATACTAAACGAGCTTCCGTGTAATACCAATTTTATGAAACGAGTGAATAGCTGTGGTATCTGACGAGCGAAAGCAAGTCAGATACCACAACAATTCACGAGTTTCATAAAATTGGTTTTACACGGGAGCGAGTTTAGTATTTTATTTATTACTTGCCATTTATAACGTTTTTAGAATTATACTGTTGAGTATGAATAGGCTGACACCTACACGATCCACGGCATAGTCCATTTGAGTTTAACAGATAATACTTCAAACACGTCAAAAGTTGAAACGCATGAATTTAATACCATACAACGGTCCACCTTTAGAACTCACAAAATTATCGTATGGCTAAGACTATCGCAACTCACATACTTTAACCTAGACTAACGACTGTCGTTGCGCTACAATACGATCGCCTTGTGGAACAGGCCTTGCACCTCAAAGTTTACAATAACGTCACAATATCCGATGACGTAATTTGTGGAATTGCAAGATCCATCAGCGAAACAATGCCATGTGACGTCAGCCTAGCAACAAGGTTGCTGGGGTCATCGAGTGTGCATAAGCTCCTCTCAGTGATCTATAAACTCCACACGCAATGTCGTTGAATAAGCCAAGGGATGTTGAGAGCTTTCAATATTTGTTCGTGAAACGTGTTCCGAGAGTAATTAAGCACGCGTTTTGGTATTACACAATGTGTAATACAGCTGTATGTTTATTAAACGGGTGATCTTTTCACGGGCAAGTAATAAAGTATGATTAATGTTCAACACGGTAGCAATAGCCTGACGTGACATGTCAGTTTGGTGCATGCCAATGATTTGCCATATTTGATTTTCTGAGATATTACGCTTAGGCATGTCGTTCCAAAGACAGACTTTCAAATTGGTAAAACTTTCATATAAGAGTAATAGGAGTAAAGACGCATGAACTTATTGTAATCAAGCATGAATTTGTCTTTAGGGACCCCTTAGGTGAGCAAACGGCTCGCATGATCTCACCCGCTAGGTTGGGCAGTTAATGTGGCTACCATTCTACAGGCAGGTGATGTGTCAACACACAGCGTACCATTTGAAAATCTGAAAATTTGAAAATTTGTGTATATATACACAATGTATCAGTATTATTCAATGACATCATTCGTGTACAAAATATGGATCATAACTGTTATAACTGTATTCATTGTAAGATTCTTCAAAGTGGATGACGGCATCTGACAATACTTGTACTCAGAAGTTTCTTCAGTAATTCGTATCCCAATTGCATGGATCGATGCTCATGATGTCTGGTCCATACTAGATTTAGCTGGAATATTGCTGTGTGGCGTTGAACAACAAACATACCAAACCAAACCAATCTTCAGTACACATACAGAGTCCGCCATCTTGGAATCACAGGGTGTCCGCCTATTGTGCAGGCATTGCTTGACCGATGTTCCAGATGTTGACCGATGTTGCAGGCATTGCTTGACCGATGTTCCTGGATGCTCTTTAGCAGATGCGAAGGCCCGGGTTCGATTCCCCACATGGGTGCAATGTGTGGAGCCCATTTCTGGTGTCCGCTTCTGTGATATTGTTGGAATATTGCTAAAAGAGGCGTAAAACCATATTCACTCACTCCTCTTTGGCAGATGACACCAAGACTATATTCCTTTATCTGCACTACCTGAGTGAGTGAGTATGATTTTACACCACTTCTAGCAATGTCATGGAATGGACACCATGAAAGAGCTTCCCACATTGTACATGTTCGAAAACTACTCACGTGGTGGGATAAGCTAATGATGTAACCACAAGGTTTCCCCGCCACCGTATCACTATAACTGATGCTTACTCACATGCCCCTTCTCGGACCGCCTCCGTGGTCTGGTGGTAGAGAGTCCACCCGTAGAGCGGAAGGTCCGTGATTCGATCCCCGGCTGCGTCAAACCAAAAGACGTTAAAAGATTGAACTTGTTGTTGCCCTGCCTGGTGCTCGGCATTAAGGAGCTAAAACAAGGATCTGGTCGGCTCGGAGTCTGTATTCAGTGTCTGAGTGGGGTATTCATGTTAAACTGCGGCATGGTATCTCAGTGGGCTAGCATTATAAATCGGCATTATTCCGGACTAGTACAAGCAGCCACACACAGACACCTGCATGCACGTCGCTATATAAGTGCAATCTTAAAAGCGACGTTCAACCCCATTTCACCTCACCTCACCTCATCAATACTTAAACTCAAGGAGAGTGCTACTTGTAGAATGTATTCTGCTTTGTACTGTCAAGAGAATTAACCCTGCTCAATAATACCCAAGGTTTCTTTCATAAACTCCAGGCAGTGTTGCCACCACATCAGTGTATGGAGCTCTACCTCCGGGCTGTGTCCATCTTGAAGACCATCCGCTGGACTCTGCCAATCCGGCGTCCATCTTTGGTTCCAACAACGAGCTCACTGCAAAATCCAAACCCACCCGAGTTGGGAACCTGCGCTCCAAGGCCGCCATTCCGACACACCATTTCGCAACCAATCAGATAAAACAACACACGGTGCCTGTCAGACTGTTTCCCTATGAAGGTGAATGTCACTGTCCCATCAGGACAATCAGGGGAATACACTCATGTTGGTAACAGGTCCATGAGGGTACCAGGTCCATGAGTGTAACAGGTCCATGGAGGTAACATGTCCATGTGGGTAACAGGTCAATGAGGGTAACAGGTCCGTGTGGGTAACAGGTCCAACAGGTCCATGTGGGTAACAGGTCCATGAAGCTATAAGGTCCATGTGGGTAACAGGTCCACATGGGTAACAGGTCTATGAATGTAATATGTCCATGGAGGTAACAGGTCCATGAGGGTAACAGGTCCACATGGGTAACAGGTTTATGAGGGTAACAGGTCCACGTAGGTATTAGGTCCACATGGGTAACAGGTCCATGAGGGTAACAGGTCGACCAGGTACATTGAGGTAACAGGTCCATGTGGGTAAAAGGTCCATGAGGGTAACAGGTCCATGAAGGTAAAAGGTCCATGGGGATAATATGTCCACGTGGGTAACAGGTCCATGTAGGTAACAGTTCGACCAGGTCCATGTGGGTAACAGGTCCACATGGGTAACAGGTTCATGAGGGTAACAGGTCACCGTAGGTATTAGGTCCACTTGGGTAACCGGTCCACGTGGGTAACAGGTCCATGAGGGTAACAGGTCCATGAGGGTGACAGGTCGACCAGGTCCATGTGGCTAACAGGTCCATGATGGTGACAGGCCCATGAGGGTAACAGGTCCACGAGGGTAACAGGTCCATGAGGGTAACATGTTGATCAGGTCCATGTGGGTAACAGGTCCTTGTGGGTAACAGGTCCATGGAGGTTAGAGGTCAATTGGGGTAACTGGTCGTTGTAGGTAAAGGGTGCTTGAGGGTAACGGGTCAATGGAGGTAACAGGTCCATTTGGGTAACAGGTCCATGTGGGTAACTGGTCTATGTGGGTAAAAGGTCCATGGAGGGTACAGGTCCATTCATGGGGGTTATTACTCCAGCGGGTAATATGTTAATGAGGGTAATCATTCCATGAGATCAATAGATTAATGGGCGTAATTAGTCTAAGGGGTAATACTTTATTGATCGTAATCATTCCATTGCTTGATTTGTTTTGACTGTAAATTCTCAGCTAAATAAACATTAGTTTATTATTAGAATTTATTTCTCTAAATTAAATAGTTGTGTCATCTTTTTTTTTCACAACATGAGAAGAAATAACATTCTGATCGCACCAAAAAACAGGTGCCCACAGCACTAGACCCAGCCCTATTGTATAATGGGACGGTGGGGTAGCAGCTTTTGCTCGTCACGCCGGTTCAATTCCCCACATGGGTACAATGGGTGAAGCCGATTTCTGGTGTCCCCGCCGAGATATTGCTAAAAGCGGCGTAAAATACAACTCATTCACTATTGTATAATGGCCGACTCCTGTATGTCGAGTGTGTGTTAAGGTACGCTGGAGAACAACGGCGTCACCTATGACGCGTACACGATGGACAGATGGACAGACACCAAAAGGACGGACTTCATGGACCAACAGTCTGCATGGAAGAAGGGCGAGCCGTGGTCTCGGCTCCTTGACCTTGGCTCCAACATGAAACAGATGGTGGCAGGGCCGGACGGAAACCCCATGGGCGTGTTCGATGGTAGGTCACATGAGCAAGGGGAATGGGCGTGTTTGATGGTGGTAACATGAACAAGGGGAATGGGCATGTTTGATGGTGGGTAACATCAGCAAGGGGAATGGGCATGTTTGATGGTGGTAACATGAACAATGTGAATTGGGCGTGTTCGATGGTAGGTCACATCAGCAAGGGGAATGGGCATGTTTGATGGTGGTAACATGAACAAGGGGATTGGGCGTGTTTGATGGTGGTAACATGAACAAGGGGAATGGGCTTGTTTGATGGTGGTAACATGAACAAGGGGAATGGGCATGTTTGATGGTGGTAACATGAACAAGGGGAATGGGCATGTTTGATGGTGGTAACATGAACAAGGGGATTGGGCGTGTTTGATGGTGGTAACATGAACAAGGGGATTGGGCGTGTTTGATGGTGGTAACATGAACAAGGGGAATGGGCATGTTTGATGGTGGTAACATGAACAAGGGGATTAGGCGTGTTTGATGGTGGTAACATGAACAAGGGGAATGGGCGTGTTTGATGGTGGTAACATCAGCAAGGGGAATGGGCATGTTTGATGGTGGTAACATGAACAAGGTGAATGGGCATGTTTGATGGTGGTAACATGAACAAGGGGAATGGGCATGTTTGATGGTGGTAACATGAACAAGGGGATTGGGCGTGTTTGATGGTGGTAACATGAACAAGGGGAATGGGCGTGTTTGATGGTGGTAACATGAACAAGGCGAATGGGCATGTTTGATGGTGGTAACATGAACAAGGGGAATGGGCATGTTTGATGGTGGTAACATGAACAAGGGGATTGGGCGTGTTTGATGGTGGTAACATGAACAAGGGGATTGGGCGTGTTTGATGGTGGTAACATGAACAAGGGGAATGGGCATGTTTGATGGTGGTAACATCAGCAAGGGGAATGGGCATGTTTGATGGTGGTAACATGAACAACGTGAATGGGCGTGTTCGATGGTAGGTCACATCAGCAAGGGGAATAGGCATGTTTGATGGTGAGTAACATCAGCAAGGGGAATGGGCGTGTTTGATGGTGGTAACATCAGAAAGGGGAATGGGCATGTTTGATGGTGGTAACATCAGCAAGGGGAATGGGCGTGTTTGATGGTGGTAACATAAGCAAGGGGAATGGGCGTGTTTGATGGTGGTAACATCAGCAAGGGGAATGGGCATGTTTGATGGTGGTAACATCAGCAAGGGGAATGGGCGTGTTTGATGGTGGTAACATCAGCAAGGGGAATGGGCATGTTTGATGGTGAGTAACATCAGCAAGGGGAATGGGCGTGTTTGATGGTGGTAACATGAACAATGTGAATGGACGTGTTTGATGGTGGAAACATGAACAATGTGAATGGACGTGTTTGATGGTGGTAACATCAGCAAGGTGTGTTTGATGGTGGGTAACATCAACAATGTGAATGGGCATGTTTGATGGTGGTAACATCAAGAATGTAGCTGGGCGTGTTTGATGGTGGGTAGCATCAACAATGTAAATGGGCATGTTTGATGGTGGTAATATCAGCAATGTAAATGGGCGTGTTTGATGGTGGGTAGCATCAACAATGTAAATGGGCGTGTTTGATGGTGGGTAACATGAATAAGAGGCCAATGATCAGACGAACGATCATAATACAAACAAATCTGGGATTCTAACCCATGAACATAGCTTTGCTGGGTCTGTTTTTTATAAAGTTTGTGCAGTACTATGATGTGATGAGCCTCTGTGAGGAAGCCATGATGGTTTCGTGCAACAGTCACCCAGATTTATAAAAACTAGATACTACTGCTTGATATGACAATTCATTTTAATAACTTGTGTCAGAGACTTAGGATAAATGATTTATCCTAAGTCTCTTACACAAGTAATTAAAATCATAAATCATTTGGTTTTTCAAACAGAAAAGCTTGTACTAGTATTACATACTTGACACACACTCTGCCACTGAAGAAAACAGTCTCGGTGGTCTAGTGTTTGCCCAGAGAGCAAAATGTTTGGTGGTTCGATCCCTGGCTACGTCATACCAATAGACGATAAATGATGGTACTTGTTGTTACCCTGTCTGGAGCTAGGCATTAAGGGGCTAAAACATGGACTGGTCGGCTCGGAGTACACTATGTCTGAGTGAGGTATCCATGTTAAACTGCAGCATGGTATCTCAGTGGGCTAGCACCATAAAACCAGCATTAGTCCTTTCTAGTACAAGCAGCCACACACATAAATTCACGTCGCTAATAAACGCAATAATCTTGAACACGACGTGAAACTCCATTTCATCTCATCTCCGGAGCATTGGGGTAGCCTTGTGGTTAAAGCGTTGGCTCGTCACACCAAAGACCCAGGTTTGATTCCCCACATGGGTACAATGTGTTAAGCCCATTTCTGGTGTCTCCCGCCGTGATATTGCTGGAATATTGCTAAAAGCGGCGTAAAACCATACTCACTAACTCAAGCTCGCTCATCTTATCTCATGTTGCTGCCTGCAGGCAACTCAGGGGTGAAGGTCGGCTACAGCAACATGGGGGAACCGGTGATGACGGACTTCGGGGACTTGTACGCTAACTTCCGGTACGGAGGCGGGGGAGGCAGCATGGAGGTAAGTCAGCTGTGATCTAAATGTAATTTGTTCATATTCAGATCTGAATTATTGTGATGAACCCTTAGGATGGCTGTTATTGACACTCGTGTTTGTCCTTGCCCCGTAGTGTTAGTGACTTATGGGGTTACAGAGGCAATGTTGACAGAAATGGGTATTGGGTGTCCATGATGGTTCTGTGAATGGATATGTGACCTTTGTGTCCTGGCTGCCTGCAAAGATGGTCATTCTGGAGGCCCTTTGAATATTGGTCTTAGAATTGGTCTTCAGAAACCCATGCTTGTCATAGGAGGCGACTAACAGGATTGGGTGTTCAGGCTCGCCGACTTGCAATTGGTTGATGCTTGTCATTGTATCCCAATTGTGTATGTTGTTACCCTGTCTGGCGCTGGACATTAAGGGGCTAAAACAAGGACTGGTCGGCTCGGAGTCAGTATACTGTGTCTGAGTGGGGTATTCATGTTAACTGCGGCATGGTATCTTAGTGAGCTAGCACTATAAATCGGCATCAGTCCGGACTAGTACAAGCAGCCACACACACACACACGTGCATGCACGTCGCTATATAAGTGCAATAATCTTGGACGCGACGTTAAACCCAATTTCACCTCACCTCACCAATTGTGTAGATTGATGTTCATGATATCAATCACTTGATTGTCTGGTCCAGACTCAATAATTTACAGACCGCCGTCATATAGCTGGAAAATTGGTGAGTAGGACGTTAAACAGCAAACAAACAAACCTCCATGTTTAACACTGTTACACTTACAACAGGTGCCCCTCGTCCGTGGTGCCACCCTGCTGACACACATCATGCACACAGCTAACCCCGTCATCACACCCTACTGCCTCAGTTCAGTCAATGGGAAGTCGGTCAACAAGTTCCACTGCCCAATGGAAAACTCAGGTAAATTTTAAGACAATCTTTAGAAAGCAGTCTTGTTTGGTTAAGAAAGAGCTTGGAGTTGTAGAATTAAAATGTACACAATATAGCTGCGATTATTCTTTTTCCTGAAATATTCTGAATATGGCTGGTTTTCAAAACCGTCCTTGATTCCTTTAGCTTGGGGGCAGGGTTTTATCTGGTTTTATCTCTGAGAGAAAATACTTTTGGTTACTTTGGGTTCAGGTCAGAATATAACAGTTCTAGTCGTCTTATTTGTTGGTAAAATTAAAGAAAGATACTGCTATCCATAAACCTCCTTTGCATGCACGTATAGGTGTCAGTGTTGCACAGTTTCTGGTGTTGCGTGGTGTAGCTCAGTGGGCTAGCTAATTTGTCAAAGTGTTTGCAATTGTCTGACCCAGCCTCGTGTATTTACATCCTGAATCCTTGAATATTGTTGAGTGCAGTGTTTGAGTTGGGTATTCATGTTAAACTGCAGCATGGTACCCCAGTGGGCTAGCACTACAAAAGCAGCATTAGTGCAGACTAGTACAAGCAGCCACACACATACCCACATGTGCATTCACATTCATGTCAGTTTATAGTATGGAACCCCATTTCATCTCCTCTCTGGCGGGTACAATGTACACCCACGTGGGTACAATGTGTGAAGCCCATTTCTGGTGTTGTTGAAGGGCAGATTCAGCATTTTTTAAAGGGAGGGTTCCAAAATATAGAAATCCTCTCTGTCAATGTTACTGCCTACAACATAGCACATTTGGTTTTCAAGAGAGCAGTGGGGAGGGGCAGATAGACCCCCTGGACACCCCAACCCCCACCTCTGGATCCGCCTATCTAGTTTCAACAACCAAACAAAAACAAAGTGTCATGTGAAGTCAATTCCCCTGCTGTGATATTGCTTGTATATTGCTTGAATATTGCTTGAACATTGCTTGAACATTGCTCGAATATTGCTTGAATATTGCTAAAGTCAGCGTAAAGCTCCCTCTCTCACTGTCCAGCTAGGGACGGCGGCAGCGGCTACTTGGAGGGGTCCTGCCACGGCAGCACGCTGACCATCAAGGTGCACAGCACCAAGCCCATCCTGGACATCAGCAAGTTGCAGTGGGCAGCCGAGAGGAAGTCCACCTGGTCCAGTGGGCAGCATGGCATGCATACATGTGACCACACCCACTGCCAGAGTCTCGATGGAGGGAAGACCGTCCAGATCACCATCTCCGGTGCATCAGGTGGGAACACTGCACCATAAACATGCGTTTCTAGAAGTGTTGGCAGTAATATGTGTTTGGTAATTTGTGAAAGCAAGAGGGTTCAAAAGAAACATTTTACTGCCACCAAACACTAAATAACACCATCAAATATGAAAACCCATAATGTGTAACATTGTAATACAAACACCATGCAAAATGCTTTTAGTCTTCCTGTGGGTAAATGATGTCATTTTGGATGAACAATGGAATTTGAAGATGGTAGCCATATTGAATATGTAACTTTTGCCCAGTTTTTCAGTCATATTTGTTTGCTTGTTAGTTTGTTGTTTTACGCCGCACTCAGCAATATTCCAGCTATATGACGGCGGTCTGTAAATAATCGAGTCCAGACCAGACTATCCAGTGATTGACATCATGAGCATCGATCCACGCCATTGGAATACTATGTAATGCATGAACCAAGTCAGTCTGACCACCCGATCATGCCAGTCGCCTCTTTCGACAAGCATAGTAACCAGTTACGGCAAGCGTGGGTTGCTGAAGACCTATTCTACCACGAATCTTCACAGGTCCATTCATTTTGGTGTCTTATTAGGGGGTAGCATAGTGGTTAAAGCATTCACTTGTCATGCCAGGGGCCCAGGTTCGAATCCCTACATGGGTACCTTGTGTGAAGCCCCTTTGTGGTGTCCCCCGCTGGAATATTGCTAAAAGTGACGTAAAACCAAACTCACTCACTCAGTTTATGAAATGCATAATGTATATGCACAAAAGCAAATGTCATTTTGTTTTTGTACTTAGATATATGGCAAAACACTAACCTTTGATCTTCAAGTAACACTGCAGATGTCATGGCAATTTTGTAGAACATATCTCCTTTACCTTCTATTCATCTAATTATTCAAATAAATGTGTAAATGTCCTTTCTGCATATTCCTGCTTCCTCTTGAAAGTCCATTCTGATCAAAAGTGGGGCGGTCGGGTAGCCTAGTGGTTAAAGCGTCCGCTCGTCACGCCGAAGACCCGGGTTCGAATCCCGACATGGGTACAATGTGTGAAGCCTATTTCTGGTGTCCCCCGCCGTGATATTGCTGGAATATTGCTAAAAGCGGCGTAAAACCAAACTCACTCACTCACTCTGATCAAAAGTTGAAAATTCCAGAAAATTCCAGTGAGCTACAGAACATTATGTTTCTATTTTCTTTCACACAGGCGCAATGAGTTTTGCGGTGAATTACATTGGCCACTACGTGCTGCCCTGGGCTTGGGGGGACCACCCCATGGAGGCCACCTGCTCGGGGGCGGGGAAGCGAGATGACCGCCAGCGGAGGGGTCCGGAGGACATCTCCATGACAGCACAATGTGATGCGCACAGGAATCTTGTCATTCATGTCGATGTTGCTGGTAATAATATTCCTGGCATCAACAAGGTGTGTTTGATCTCAGTATCTACTACATGGATTAAAAATGTATCTCAGCTCAAAAGCTCACAAATGAAAAGAAATACCGCATATTGCACCAATCAGTTGATTGGATTAATGATTAATTACTAGATTATAACTCTCTGAGTCCTAATTAACATGGTTCTTTAAAAAATATCTTGCTATCATAACTTTGATTTTTTTTAAAATTATTTGATGATAATGCCTCTGTAATAGTTTATTTGTATCTCTTTCTTTGTCATACTCTCACAGGCCTTACCCAGGATGCTGGGTTGATCATTTCTGTAACCATAGTAACAGAGACTCGGAAATGAAAAATAATAATCATTTAACATTTAAATCAACTCTACAAGAACCTTGATGAATTATTTAAATATTTTGTACATAAAAATGACTGATAAAAACTCTATAATTTCAAAAGGTAGTTTTAAGGTAAATGTTATATGTTCTCTTTGGAGGTACGTGGAAGTATCCTACACACCAGGTATAAAACATGGCCAACAAAATAAAAAATCAGCTCTACAACAAAAACTTGATGAATATTTAAATCTGCCTCCTTTATATACGTATCAGACTCTTATATTATCCAATTCTTATTTCAACTGAATAGTTCAAATGCTTTTGCATCTATATATCTGTTCTCCAATCATACTATTTCCTCAAGATGAACATCTGGTCTCTGAAATGGACCATTTTACAGAAAGAAAAGTTAAAGTTTAGTTATAAAATATAATAAAAAGCAGCCCAGATATTTACAGATGGTACTACCATAATCTAGACTTGCAAAATATTATAGACTTGCATTGGCTGTATTGCATATAATTGTTTCAGGTACTGTATGACAGACTAAATTTCCTCCAAAATAGATAAATAACTTGATCTCTTGGTTTCACCACTTTATTTTGTTCCACAATTCAGCTGCAGTACGCTGCTGAAGACGAGGCCCACTGGAAGCCTGCCCCACCGATGCACACTTGTCAGACAAGCACCTGCACCAGGTCTGGGTCAGTCATCACCATCAGGACCAAAGTCTCCGCCAGTGTTGTCAAGTATGTGGGTCTTGTGTGGAGTAATCCTGTACCTAGAACAAGGCTGATGGGCCAGTAGGTCTGCTATATCTATCAGCAGTAATATGGCACAGCAGAGATCTCTGTATAGCCAGATGAACCACAGCAGAGATCTCTGTATGGTCAGATGAACCACAGCAGAGATCTCTGTATGGCCAGATGAACCACATCAGAGATCTCTGTATGGACAGATGAACCACAGCAGAGATCTCTGTATGGCCAGATGAACCACAGCAGAGATCTCTGTATGGCCAGATGAACCACAGCAGAGATCCCTGTGTGGCCAGATGAACCACAGCAGAGATCTCTGTATTGCCAGATGAACCACAGCAGAGATCTCTGTATGGCCAGATGAACAACAGCAGAGATCTCTGTATGGCCAGATGAACCACAGCAGAGATCTCTGTATGGCCCGATGAACCACAGCAAAAATCTCTGTATAGCCAGATGAACCACAGCAGAGATCTTTTTATGGCCAGAGGAACCACAGCAGAGATCTCTGTATGGCCAGATGAACCACAGCAGAGATCTCTGTATGGCCAGATGAACCACAGCAGAGATCCCTGTGTGGTCAGATGAACCACAGCAGAGATCTCTGTATAGCCAGATGAACCACAGCAGAGATCTCTGTATGGCCAGATGAACCACAGCAGAGATCTCTGTATAGCCAGATGAACTACAGCAGAGATCTCTGTATGGCCAGATGAACCACGGCAGAGATCACTGTATGGCCAGATGAACTACAGCAGAGATCTTTGTATGGCCAGATGAACCACAGCAAAGATCTCTGTATGGCCAGATGAACCACAGCAAAGATCTCTGTATGGCCAGATGAACCACAGCAGAGATCTCTGTATAGCCAGATGAACCACAGCAGAGATCACTGTATGGCCAGATGAACTACAGCAGAGATCTCTGTATGGCCAGATGAACCACAGCAGAGATCTCTGTATGGCCAGATGAACCACAGCAGAGATCTCTGTATAGCCAGATGAACCACAGCAGAGATCTCCGTATGGCCAGATGAACCACAGCAGAGATCTCAGTATAGCCAGATGAACCACAGCAGAGATCTCAGTATAGCCAGATGAACCACAGCAGAGATCTCCGTATAGCCAGATGAACCACAGCAGAGATCTCTGTATAGCCAGATGAACCACAGCAGAGATCTCCGTATGGCCAGATGAACCACAGCAGAGATCTCCGTATAGCCAGATGAACCACAGCAGAGATCTCCGTATGGCCAGATGAACCACAGCAGAGATCTCTGTATAGCCAGATGAACCACAGCAGAGATCTCTGTATTGCCAGATGAACCACAGCAGAGATCTCAGTATAGCCAGATGAACCACAGCAGAGATCTCCGTATAGCCAGATGAACCACAGCAGAGATCTCCGTATGGCCAGATGAACCACAGCAGAGATCTCTGTATAGCCAGATGAACCACAGCAGAGATCTCTGTATGGCCAGATGAACCACAGCAGAGATCTCAGTATAGCCAGATGAACCACAGCAGAGATCTCCGTATAGCCAGATGAACCACAGCAGAGATCTCAGTATAGCCAGATGAACTACAGCAGAGATCTCTGTATAGCCAGATGAACTATGGCAGAGATCTCAGTATAGCCAGATGAACCACAGCAGAGATCTCAGTATAGCCAGATGAACCACAGCAGAGATCTCAGTATAGCCAGATGAACCAAAGTTCTTCTCAATATTCAGACAGATGAACCAACAGTGTTTTTTTATATATATATACAGACAGTACTATATTGCAGATAGTATGCAATAACATATTCCACATAATAAGTGCCCTTGGAGCTCTCAAAATTAGAGATAGGAGATATGAAATTTACAATCCTTCTTTTTTTTTTCACACCAAAATTATATTCTAATAAGAATATAATTTTGGTGTGAAAAAAAAAAGAAGGATTGTAAATTTTGTAGTTTATGCTGACAGCCTGAAATGATACAAAAGAAAAGTATGTGCGTATCATACATGACAGATATATTTTCCAGAATTCAATTGCCAATAATTAAGGGTGCATATAACACACGAGTGCGTATTATACACGAATAAATAAGTCTTGTGTACATTGATCAATCCGAAGGGGTGCTAATTTGGATTGTTCACGAGCCAATATATTAGCAAATATCGACGTATTAGACCGGGGCGCCTATTATGTCGAATATGGTACATGGAAAATCAAACATTAAATTCAGATCATTTCATTATTTTTGTTCAAAAACTCCCTACAGATCTGGTTATTCTGAAAATCATCATCTGAACAACTGTCACCCTCATTTCAATGTCCCAGTCGTCCAAGGCATGCAATTCACTGTGCAGAGTTGCATCCCTTTGGCACACCAGAAACCTATGATTTTACATTTTAACCCTGATTCACCCCAAATATGTTTGTAGGTTTGTCAGCACCAAACCCGTGCTTGTGGGTTTTACCAAAGTGGTTAACTTCTGAAACCTGCATCACTTCGGGCGTTCCTCTCACATTTAGATGTCATTCCGTGATATAACTGAAACACTGCTCGAGGCAGCGTTAAGCCAAACTGACTCACTCACTCATTGTACAGTGGTTAAGTAATCAATATCATATTTTCACAGCCTTGCCCTGAACATCATTGGCTATACCACCCTGCCCCACCAGCAATGGATTGCCAGCCCCTATGTCGTACACTGCCCCGGGACCCAGGTCTCCAGTGGGAAGACTTCCACAAACCCGGGACATCAGAACACGCCAGCACCGGCTTCACCAGCTCCATCTCACCACACCAACAACAACCACCAAACTGTAACACTGGCCCAGAACACCAAGTTCTTGATGGAACTCGACGAACCCGGTGACAGCGTGCCCAAGCAGACGCGAAAGTTTGTCGTGTTTTTCTCATCTCCAGTGAAGGCAAACGTCAACTCGGGCACAAGTTCTATCACATTCGAGCCTGTGCATGGTGGAAAGTACAGCGGACTTGTGCAGCTGGGATATCTTGGGGCGGGTCCAAGGGGAGACAACTCTCAATCAAATTATCTTGATTCGTATACAGGGCGTTACTCCTACAAACCATCAACCTCTTACTGTGTGAATGACGCACAGCAAAAGGTATTTGCCAGTTTTGATTGGAACCCTCATGGAGCAGACGGTCACCCATCAAATGGAGACCTTCTCATGGTCGCCATGCCTCATCACGTGAGAAAACAATACATTGTCTTTAAAACAACAAATTGACAGTTCAGGGATTGACCATTTCAAATTCTGAAGAAGGCCTCGATTTTTTGTTTGAGTTATTTTTTTTCACACAATCTGTTGTCTCTGAAGGAGATGAACAACTGTTTTTGAACAGCACCTTTTTAAAAAAACACACCCATCATGCTTTTAAAAATGGAATTATATTATGATATGTAATTGGACATTCAATATTTATTTTTCTAATCCATCAAACATAAAGCGGTATGACAAATAAGATAAAATAAAACTAGTTATAATCTGTTTTATGGTAATGGCTTTTGGTTCACACAGTAAAAATAAGAAATATATTTTATGGTAATGGCTTTTGGTTCATACAGTAAAAAAAAAGAAATATAAAATCTACCAATAGTCTTACAATTCAAGAGGCTGAGGGTAGCTCAGGATACAGAGAGGAGCAAAGATCTTGTCCCAGCGTTCAGATTCAGATTACAGATATCTGTCTTTCAGTCCTTCATCCTACAGAAGCATTTCAGCAATCATCTGCACAGCACTCCGTACGGATTCAAGGGCTACAAGGGGGCAGACTGGCTCCTAGAAATGGATGCTCCAAGAGCCAGCATGGAGCCGGATCCTTCAGGAGTAAATCGAGTCAAGAGTAACTCACATCAGAAAAAGGTGGGACTTCACATCCACAGGATTTGGAGGTGCATTGTCCACCTCAATTGTGGTAATGGAGAATATTGCCTTTGTGTCTTTTGATATCAAATAACACAAATTAATTTAACAGTTTAACAAGTCAATTTAAGTTTGAAACTCCGAGACTTGCCAAGCAGTTTTATACTTTTAGGGCTGGGATGGTTAACTCTGGTACTCGGGTCGGGTGGGTTCTGATGGAGGACTGGGGCACCCACAATACTCCCGGGGCTCGTGGTTAGTCACGTGATATATTACTTTTACTATGCTACCCTTGACTTTCTCAATCACACAATCACTCATTAGCCTGTTAACATATCTAACTGTTAAATTACATCCCCCCACCAAAAAAAAAAATAAAAATAAAAAATAAAAAAAATAAATAAATAAATAAATAAATAAATAAATAAATAAATAAATAAATAAATAAATAGAATAAATAGAATAAAATAAGTCAAACTTTTTTAACAACTTGAATCAAATTTGCCTTTACTTGTCCCTCTTTAAAACTTCAGTTCAGGCAAAAACAACAAAACTCCATGGTTACACTACAATTCATAATGTTCGCATTTTTCTCTGACTTTAATATGTTTAATTAAAAATAAACCTTCATTGAACTTCAGTTTATGCATGATAAGATCACTTTATACATGTTGCTAACTAGTTTGGACCAGAGCTCCAGTAAAACAATTCCCAATCGGACATTTTCTACTCAACTCGTGCGACCTACTGTGGGTACCTGGGTAGAGTCGGGTAATAGGGGTCGTGTAGTCTGGTAAAAGGTGACTATGTTTGTTGTAAGAGGCGACTAACGGGATCGAGTGGTCAGGCTCCCTGACTTGCTTGATGCATGTCATCGTATCCCAAATGCGTGGATCAATGCTCATCACATCAATCACTAGATTGTTTGGTTCAGACTCGATTATTTACAGACCGCCATCATATAGCTGGAATATTGTTTAATGCGGCGTTAAACAACAAACAAAGAAACAAACAAAATTGGGTTGGGTTTTAGGGGTTAGTGTTCCCGGGTAGTATATTTGGACTCGTCCCAGCCCTATTGCTTGGGCTACAAGATTCGTACAAATAGAGTTAATGAAGACCCGTGAAGTTCCAGGGTAGAATAGGTCTTCAGTAACCCATGCTTGCCGAAAAAAGCGACTATGCTTGTCGGGTGGTCAGACTTGCTGACTTGGTTGATGCATGTCATCGTATTCCAATTGCGTGAATCAATGCTCATGATGTCAATCACTGGATTGTCTGGTCCAGACTCGATTATTTACAGACCACTGTCATAATGCTGGAATATTGGTCAGTGCGGCGTTAAACAACAAACAACAAAAACAAGAGTTATTGGAATGACTGTTAGTAGCACAGGAATGAAGGACAACATAATGAATTGTGTTTGTTTCAGGACGTTGTAGATGCCATTGGGCGCGATGCAAAGGATGTGAACTTGAATGCTGTGTGTGCCCACTCCGACAGCTACAATGTTGGCAAGGCCATAGGCATGGTGGCGCGGCTTGCCAGTATCTCCCGAGCATTCGGCACCCACCATTACACAAGCCTAGACACCTCTATCAAGTCCTGCCTGGAGAAATGGCTGCGTGTTGATGGTAGGTGGCCACTTGCTGTGTGATTTGACCTGGAGTTCTGTTATAACGTCATTGACATCTCATCCCATTCAGAGTTGCGTCCCAGGATCTAGTTGATTGGTTCAAATCCCAGATTCACCACAAAATATAAATTGCTTGTGATTCCCTGGCATTTGATTGGTTAACCAACAATTTTTTTTGTATTGATGTCTCCATAAACAAACCCAAAAATAGGCCACGCCCACTAGCGGTCTACTGCTTTCTGATTGGCTTATACTAGAATGGGCAGGGCATGTAGGGATCTTTGTGATATCCTTTTTTTCCCTATATAATGAAGTGGCGGCTTGTGCTGTTTTTGAGAAGCTTTATGGGCATGTGGGGCGGGATGTTCCTCCGAGCTTTATATACTGAACATGTTCGTTTACATTTTAATTTTCTCTAGTGTCACCCTTGCCAGCACACACAATATTCAGATCCACCTTCACCTGTTTTGTTCATACAAATCGGGGCGGTCGGGTAGCCTAGTGGTTAAAGCATTTACTCATCACGTCGAAGACCTGGGTCGATTTGTGAGTGAAGCCCATTCCTGGTGTCCCCTGTCGTAATATTGCTGGAATATTACTAAAAGCGGCGTAAAACCATTCTCACTCATACAAATCAGTAAACCATTAGAAACACTCATTGCCCTAACCGTGAAGATCCGGGGTAGAATATGTCTTCAGCAACCCATGCTTGCCGTAAAATGCGATTATGCTTGTCGTAAGAGGTGACTAACGGGATCTGTTGGTCAGAATCACTGAATTGCTTGAGGCATGTCATCGTATCCCAATTGCATGGATCCATGCTCATGATGTCAATCAGTGGATTGTCTGGTCCAGACTTGATTATTTATAGACCGCCGTCATATAGCTGGAAGATTGCTGAGTGCGGCGTTAAACAACAAACAAACAAACAACAACAACAACAACAACAACAACACTCATTTCCCTGACAACCAGACTCCCTGGAGACCAAGTGGAAGTTCCACTATGATAATGTGTGGGGAGGGATGTTCCTCCGAGGTACTGACGGCGACCTTGGGTTCGGCACTGACTACGGCTTCCCCTACTACAACGACCACCACTTCCACCTTGGCTACTTCCTGTACGCCGCGGCCTACTATGTGAAGCACAATCGCAGCTGGGGGCAGGGTAAGCGAAACATAAATACAGCATATCACTGTTATGCTGTCACAGGATTTAATTATCAACAGAGCGGCTGACATGTTTTAAGGGAACGGCCAGTTTGTATTTAAATATATGGCATTTGAGTTGTGTTTTTCTCCTTTCTTTAAGAAGACATACGAGGTGTAATGGTCAAAATGTTTATTTCCATTTCCTATCAGTAATGATAGCTTAAATGGTTAAGGAGGTATAAAATCTGGTTATTTGTCCACCAGTTGGTTACTGCATATAACAACAATATTTACATTATTGTCAAATGTACATGCCATTGTGAACAAGCCCAACCATATATGATATTGCTGTATTGTGAAGTTAGCATGTTAACTTACGGAAATTATAGGTAAGCGTGTTAACTTACAGAAATTTCATGACATCAATCACTGGATTGTCTGGTCCGGTCAGTTAAGAAAACTGAGATAAGGTACTCTTCTTTTCACGGCAAATGTGGGATGTTTCTTTACCTTTAGCCCACAAGGACCGCCTGTATGCCATTGCACGTGATGTTGGTAATCTTAGCCCAAAGGACACTCGGTTTCCCATCGCCCGTCACAAGGACATCTACACGGGTTTCTCCTGGGCGACAGGCGTTGTGCCCGGTGAGAGACAGGAGGAATCTGCCTCTGAGGTAAGTGTTAAACTGAGTGGGATGCACTGGTTGGGAAACACGGGTTTCTCCTGGGCGACAGGTGTTGTGCCCGGTGAGAGACAGGAGGAATCTGCCTCTGAGGTAAGTGTTAAACTGAGTGGGATGCACTGGTTGGGAAACACGGGTTTCTCCTGGGCGACAGGCGTTGTGCCTGGTGAGAGACAGGAGGAATCTGCCTCTGAGGTAAGTGTGACTGAGTGGGATGCACTGGTTGGGAAACACGGGTTTCTCCTGGGCGACAGGCGTTGTGCCTGGTGAGAGACAGGAGGAATCTGCCTCTGAGGTAGGTGTGACTGAGTGGGATGCACTGGTTGGGAAACACGGGTTTCTCCTGGGCGACAGGCGTTGTGCCTGGTGAGAGACAGGAGGAATCTGCCTCTGAGGTAAGTGTGACTGAGTGGGATGCACTGGTTGGGAAACACGGGTTTCTCCTGGGCGACAGGCGTTGTGCCTGGTGAGAGACAGGAGGAATCTGCCTCTGAGGTAAGTGTGACTGAGTGGGATGCACTGGTTGGGAAACACGGGTTTCTCCTGGGCGACAGGCGTTGTGCCCGGTGAGAGACAGGAGGAATCTGCCTCTGAGGTAAGTGTGACTGAGTGGGATGCACTGGTTGGGAAACACGGGTTTCTCCTGGGCGACAGGCGTTGTGCCTGGTGAGAGACAGGAGGAATCTGCTTCCGAGGTAATTGTTAAACTGAGTGGGATGCACTGGTTGGGAAACACGGGTTTCTCCTGGGCGACAGGCGTTGTGCCCGGTGAGAGACAGGAGGAATCTGCCTCTGAGGTAAGTTTTAAACTGAGTGGGATGCACTGGTTGGGAAACACTGGTTTCTCCTGGGCGACAGGTGTTGTGCCTGGTGAGAGACAGGAGGAATCTGCCTCTGAGGTAAGTGTGACTGAGTGGGATGCACTGGTTGGGAAACACGGGTTTCTCCTGGGCGACAGACACTGTGCCAATCAAATGATAAGTGACTGTATTGGAGATAAGTGTTAAGCTTGGTGTGATTCACTGGTTTCTTAGGCTGTAGGCAGTTTAATTGGTAGACAAGTAGAGCCTGTATTAGAGATAAGTTTTTAAATTTAAAGTCTTTAACAAGTGAATAAAAACCAGTTCTTGACTCGTGATAATTCTTTGTACGATCTTCCCAGGGTATCAACTGTTACCATGGTCTGTCAGCACTGGGCGACGCGTTCAACGACGCCAACTTGAAACACTCCGGTCAGGTCCTGTTAGCTATGGAGCTTCTCTCGGTGCGCGAGTACTGGCAAGTTCGACAGCACAACCGCGCCCACTTCCCACAGGCCTTCCAGAAGACTGGCGTCGTTGGTCAGATTGCTGAAAACGCCTTCTACGTCTACACCTTGGATTGGGCATGTGACCCAAACAAGTTTCCCATGAGGCATGGCTGCCTTGTTGGGATACAGATCATCCCCCTCACGGCTGTATCTAAGTTCTGGGTGGACAAGGTGGGGAGTCTTCCTGTATAGTGTGTGTACGTTCTATTTAAGAAATAGACGACGAGAGGGAGTAGTTTATCGTACACTAAAACACTGCATGGAGAATAAACCATGAGGGGTGCAGGGACCCTCTCTCTTGGGAGTTGCATCCATGTATTATAAAATTGGCATTAGTCCGGACTAGTACAAGCAGACAGGCAGACACAGACAGACACAGACAGACACAAAAAGAAAACACACACACACACACACACACACACACACACACACACACATATTATAAGTGCAACAACCGTGAACGCAACATCAAACCCCATTTGACCTCACCTTATTTATGCCAGGAATAAAACATGACTTCGTCAAAACCGAAGAGGAGTGTTTTTATTCGACTTATGAACTGTCAGACACAGTATACTGACTCCGAGTTGACCAGTCCTTGTTTTAGCCCCTTAATGCCGATAGCCATGCAGGGTAACAACAAGTACAATCTTTTGACATGACACGGGGATCGAAACCCAGACCTTCCACTCTTCAGGCAGACACTCTACCACTAGACCACGGAGGCATAATTAAGACTATGAGACAATACACTTGTTAACAGTTGTGTACCAACTAAGTTGTCTCCCCTTTACAGGAGTGGGCCCATAGCATCCAGCAGACGTGTGAGTGGGCGATCGACCCCCAGTCCGCCCCGGACTACAAGTACACCGACCCCACCGACATGAGGCAGCTGGGCGTGGTCAGTAGCTCACAGTATCACTCTAGATCTGGGATACACCAAATATACTCATACTTAATACCATACGTGTTGATGAATATATGAAGAATTACTCATATTCAAGAGATATCAGATTGGTTCGATGCACAAACGAACATACTATTATGTTGTGTGAACTGACGCTCATGAACACATCACATGTGACGTCATAGATTCATGACTCGAGATGCACCATTTGTCTCCTGCAGAATTAGCGTGTTAAGTTTGGAAATCACATGCAGCATATCGTGATAAGAATAAAGACACTCTGTGGTAACACTTGACTGATTGTAAGATTTGTCATTAAGCAGTACACATTGGAAACATCTCTTCTTAATGTACATACTTCTCTATATGTTTCTATGGTTCATGTTTCTTTTGGTGGTGCGTATATTTGACCTCAATTATGACCAAAAAAGTAGGGAATATGCTGCTCTAACTAAGAAAACACCTTGTCAGACTGTCATCATAATGCTAATGAACGAAAATAATCCTGTTCATTCTGTATAACTCAAGTAAGAATAAATAAATTGCAAGTGATTCCATGGCGTTTGATTGGCTAACCAAGCAATTTCTTATGCGTTTATGTTCCCATTAACTGAAAGAAAAATAGGCTACGCCCAGTCGACTGGCGGTCTACTGTTTCCTGATTGGCTGATAATAGGGTGGGCGTGGCTTGGGTTGGATTAGAGGAGTTCACCCTGAGATACCTATTTTGTAAATGTGGAGTTACCTTATTCACCGTAATAAGCATTCTCCTCCAATAAGCACCCCTTAACTTCTAGGCCAACGTGTAGGTAATTTGTATGAGCTTCTTCTTAGACTGAAAAGTATGACAGTCCACATTTTTGTTTGGATATTACAAATTATTTTCTCAAAATAAACAGCAGACATATATTAATTGCCAAATAACTTTTATCAAAATTTTGTTACTTTCACTGATGTTTCACAAAGTTTTTTTCACTCTGCTGGATCTTGGAAAATGAATATATTTTGTTGTGTATAGTTTTGATAATCGCTACCCACTGGCAAATACTGGTGCTAAAAGAGGGACCAGGCCTAACAAGCTGGATTCAAGTCTGTAAAAGCTTTGCGTTATCTTCTGTCAACTCAGAATTTATGATGAATACCCAAATAATGGTTAATTACCCAAAGTACGCAGAGAAAATGTCTCCATTTCAAACATGAAATACAACATCTAAACTCGACCCGTGCGGGGTAGAATAGGTCTTCAGCAACCCATGCTTTCATAAAAGGCGATTTTGCTTGTCGTAAGAGGCGATTACAGGATCGGGTGGTCAGGCCCGCTGACTTGGTTGATGCATGTCATCGATCCCAATGGCGTGGATCGATGCTCATGTTGTCAATCACTGGATTGTCTGGTCCACACTCGATTACATACAGACCGCAGTGAGATAGCTGGAATATTGCTGAGTGCTGCGTTAAACAACAAACAGACATCTAGACCTAGATGAAAAATGACAGTCAGTGGTTAGTTCATTCAGCAAACAAAATTGATTTTACCAATATATCACAGCTGGGGACACCAGTAATGGTACCACGTCAGAGTCAAAGCCAGGTATTCAGCTTGCCGAGGTATTGCCTTCTCCACATAACTACTCTATCACTGATTCATCAATAAACTCAAAAGTGACATTTCTCCTCTGTTGGGCAGGGTTGGAAGGCATTCTGTCATGCAGGTCTATCTCCCATGGACGCCGCACACCAGACCGCTGCCGCCAACTACCTCCGGGATAAATCAGCCAACAACCTCGTCGGTGGCACCGGCGCCGCCAGCACCCTTCTCTTTATCTACGCTGCGACATAGTCGGATTGTAAATATGTAACCTTCATGTACAGTTTCACCAACAATAAAGTATTTCATTTTGAACATTGTAGTCAGCTTGTGTTGTTATGCCAGAACTTAGCACAACCTGCTTTGATTTTAGGTATGACAGTGATGTTTGTTTCTTTCTTGTTTAACGCCTCACTCAGCAATATTCCAGCTACATGTATATGGCGGCAGTCTGTAAATAATAGATGTGTGGTCCAGACAATCCAGAGATTGACATCATGAGCATCGATCCACGCAATTGGGATACGATGACATGAATCAACCAGGTCAGCGAGCCTGACCACCAGATCCCGTTAGTCGCCTCTTATGACAAGCATGGTCGCCTTTTGCGGCAAGTATGGGTTGCTGAAGACCTATTCTATCCCAGATCTCCAAGGACCAATATAACTGAAACAAGGACAGTTAGGAGTGATTGAGCGAGTTGGTTTTAACACCGCTAACACAGTATTTCAGTTATATCATTAATGTGGAAGGTGTACCACTTAATGAAACCCACGAGCATGGGTATACAACTCTGCACAGCAAATTGAGGTGCCCTAGACGACTTGTCCCCCTTGACAGTTAGGAAGATTCTTTTTTGTTGTCATGAAATCAGCCAATGTGATTCCACCACATTCTCAAGTCTCACTGACTTTTCATGGTGGATGAGTGACAGTGCTGTCAAATAAACAAACAGGAAATGAAAGTTCAATAATTATGAAAAATTTATTCCATTCCTTTTATAGTTCATAGTCACACTGAAACATGAACACTAGATGATTTATGTAAAATTGAGACTTTATAGTCAAACATAAAGAGATAAGAAATATTTCTATTTGATTTACTGAACATAATATTTTTTATGACTATTTTATTCACTAGTCAAGCAGTATAAAATATATAGTCAAAGTTATCATAAAAAAAACTTTAATAAACTGAAAATTTACAAATGTCAGTATTTCACAAAAGACATTCAGTTCTAATTTTCCCTCTTTTATATACTACTTAAAAACGGGAAGGACCAACCAATTCTGTTATATTACTGTCGTTAATGGCAGATGAACTAAAGTAACATGAAAGAAGTGGGTGGTCCTCAACATTGTTTAGCAGCATTTGATCAACAAATATGTACCTATCATGTTTACCGGTTATCACAAATAAAATGTCTGGATTAACAAATTATACAAACTGTCACATAGTTGTTTAAGATGAGTTGATTTTACCTGTGAAAATATGAATATATTTACATATGAGACAATGATAAGTTTCTGAACACATGTATGGAAACGAATTATTATATAAACAAACAATATCAAATATATCACTGGTATAAAACTGACATTCAATACTTTCATATATATCACAGAGAGACATCAGCACAGTATGGGATATAAGTTATATCACATAGGTATTGATATTTATAACCATCTATGTACAGGGGAGACGTACAACTTTCAACAGAACTAAACTGAGCAAAAAAGAGTATCTTTGTCGGATACCGATAATACTTCAATATGATATACCTAGGGTATAACATACATATATATATCTTCATCTTCAATGATATAAGTATATCATCTGTGTTGAGAATGTTTAACAATATTATCAAAGCTATCTAAATGTGCTTAGAAGATGTAATTGAGCAGAATGACTTCAATACAATGAGAATAAAATACTTTTGAACTAAAATAATAAATATTAATATGAAATATAAAGTGAAAATGTATATATCTAACGTTTAATAATACTGAGTAATGTAAAATTGTATTATTACAAATATATAGGACTGTTGAGCAGGTCTCTAATCTGTGACAGGTTTTCTATTTCCTGGATGAAACGTCCAATCCCCTGACACATGAGTGAGTGAGTGAGTGAGTTGGCTTTAACGCCGCTTTTGACAGTATTACAGTTATATCACGGCGTGTCTGTTAAATGTGGGAGGAAAGCCCAAAGTGATGCAAGTCTCAGATGGTTACCACTTCGGTGAAACCCACGTGCATGAGTATGGTGCTGAAAACCTAGAAACATAATCGGGGCGAACCGGAACTTGAACCCACATTCATAGGTTCCAGGCATGTCAAAGGGACACAACTCTGCACAGCTAATTGCAGCGCCTTAGACGACTGGGCCACCCGTGCCCCCTTCTGTACACATGAACCCCAACTCATGTACATAGTTTGATTTGATGTCATTTCACAGCCCTGAGGGATTCCAGATATGAACAGATCCCCAGTATGCTTGTTGATAGAAAGGGTTGACAGAGGAAGACGATGTGGTCAGGTTCAGTGACTGTGTCTTTTTGCCCTTTAAGTTGAACATCATTCAAGCTTTCTGTCACTGGATTGAATGGTCCAGATTCGATCATGCACAGGCTGATGTGAAAGTTAGAATATTGCTGATGCGCCAATACGCAATCTCACTCACTCATTCATTTAAGGATGTTTTCTGTCTTATTCTTGTGGTTGTGGCTAGGTTCGTAGGTATTGCCTTTTGTGTGGATCGTTGCTCATGGTTTTAGCCACTGGTTTCCCTCATCCAGACTCGATCATATACAAGTTGATGTAAAAGTTGAAATAGTGCTGACTTCAGCAATAAGCATTATTCACTCACTCACTCATTTATTCTTTTATGGATGCTGAGGATGATGTTATATTCGTGTGGTTCTGTCCTTTTCTGAGCTCAAGGTAAGTTTCACTTCAAGGTCAGAAGGGTGATCTACATCATACGCCATTGTCATTCATCGTGTGGACATTCCATAGTAAGCTGTTAAATCTGCCATACATTGGTGGATTCTGAGGGCGGGGCAGGGTAGAGCACCCACCTACATCAGACACCTTCATGTTGACTGTGCCTTCGGCCAAGTCACTTTGAGTCACAAAATCCTGGTTCCGCCTCTGCCTAAGATCGTAACCTGCACGAGCCTGAGTCCCAGGTCTTTATCTTACATAAATCCTATCTTTTCTGTTAGCTTACTGGACAATTCCCGTGTGCCACCTCATCTTTCATTATTCCCCATTACGATACTGACAACACAAATTGCTATCATGATCGTTGATTAATTGATGTATCATGCTGACTATAAAACAATGTACAGGGCTAAAGTAACAAATCCAAAAAACAAACTATTCATGTGTAAACAGAAGTTGTTACAATATATTACAACACATAATATTACTGACCATCTCTAGAAACTCAACAATCGCCATTTCTACCACTCTAATACATGCACATAAACTCGAGATGACATGTCATGACGACCTATTTCAGTATTAATTGATTCTTCATTTTAATAATAGGGGGTGGTGGGGTAGCCACGTGTTTAAAGCGTTGGCTCATCACGTCGAAGGCCCAGGTTCGATTCCCCACATGGGTACAATGTATGAAGCCCATTTTCCGGTGTCCCCAGCCGTGATATTGCTGGATTATTGCTAAAAGCGGCGTAAAACCATACTCACTCACTCACTCTTCATCGTTAGACATACAAGAATATAAGTGCTACTCAAAACACATTCAGGACCACCCGGCATGACAGATCAACTGAGAGAATCGGGTGGTCCCTATCTGTTCTTGAGTGGTATATTTGGTATATGATGAAATATAAAACGCAGCAGTATTTTCCCATTACAATATTCAATACAAAACCATGATTTAGGTTAATCAGTCGTGAAAGACTCGATTGTAAACGTTTCATAAAACACACATTGAAAGTAGCAAAAAACAGTAGGTAAATGTTTCTGAAATCGGATTGAAAAATATTCCATTCCTGCAATGGTAATTAAAATCATCAAGATATATGTCACATATAGTTACGACTACCATTACACTGAGACAAAATGATAACATGAAATTGTCCAAATAAATTCTTGGATATTTTTGAGACAGTCAACAACCTTTAAAAGTAAAAAAAAATTAGACATCAAATGAGAGGCTATTAGGCAACATTTACAAAAACAACAACAATATTTACAAAAATACAAACAACAACCATTCTAATAAAAAATAACCTGATTCTAACAAATGCACTTTTATGCAAACAAATCACTTAGATATGTCAACAAGTATGTGTATGACACAGTCAATAAAAACATTATCTCAATGGAAATGGAAACAGTACACAAACATTCTTACCTCAAACAAAATTAATTTGCTGATATAAGATATTATTTTAGGATAACTTTAATCTGAGTTGGTTCATCCTTAACTCAAACCAATAACCTTTTTATTATAATTTGCAATTTATTGCAATAACGTAACATAGAGCCTTATAATTTTTAGGCTCGTTCCCATGCATAATATGTTTAAAGAGGACACTTTTAACTGTTATGAAAAGTCACAATTTGCATCCTATCATAGCCTCTTGAAATCACTGTTCTGAGTATTTTGTAATTACCCTATATCCTCACAAACCATACCGGTACTCCACTTGTAGATAATGGTGAATACATTCACCGTTATTAATGGATCGCCCAAATAATCATTCGTCAATCGTGCAAACTATGTGTATAAAGTGTTGTTAAAAGAATAAACACATTTTTCATTGGTACGCAGTCACTTTGTTGCCACTCCCCTCATCAACAGGGAATGTATAATACTGTGTTCTTCATTCAACTCTCAGGGCTGGTGGGGGTAGACTCGTGGTTAAAGCATTCACTCGTCACGCTGAAGACCTGCGTTCGATTCTCTACATGGGTACAATGTGTGAAGCCCATTTCTGGTGTCCCCTGCCGTGATATTGCTGGAATATTGCTAAAAGCGGCGTAAAGCACAACTCGGTCATTAACATATTCACCTCTCTTGCATCATCTCTATGCAGGTTCTGCAGCATTGTGGTTTTTTGAAACTTTGGTCACACTCTTCGTCTGTGACACATAATTTTAACATGCAAATATAGGAATGGAAGTCCAACATCATTATTACATTCATGAAACATTTAAATTTGATTAAACTTTTACAGAAGCCATTATCTTAAGTAATTTTCCCTTGCATTCTCCTTACAAGGTTGTTGTGGAAGGATACGATTTGATTAGCATTCCAAAGGACTATTTCTTTGATAGCATGGAACATACACGAGGGTTTTGAGGTGGACGCAGGGTACACACAGAGACGAAGTGCTGCCAACCATCAAACAGTCACAAATCTTCGAACATATACCGTAATTCCTCTGTTAGATGCCGGGCCTCTACACACAGAGACGAAGTGCTGCCTGGCATCAAACAGTCAATCACAGTTTCAAATCTTCAAACATATACCATATTTCGTCTATTAGATGCCAGGACTCTAATACACACTGGCCTCGAATTGATGCTGAATCAAACACTCTATCCAAAAAATAGAAACCAGGCCTCTAATACCTACAAGGGCAAACATATCGGAGTTCATAAAAATCATATGTGCCCGAGGGTCACATCTCGTCACTCATGCCTAAATTCCGGTATTTCCCAACCGAGAGCAAGGGAAATACCGGAATTTAGACACTTGTGTCGTAAACATGACATGAACACTCATATAATATGCTCTGTATACTGTGATATGTCAGTGATTAATAATGACAATTTCCTGCAAAAGTACACTTTGTATGAGTGTAGAAATTGGCATGTGGTAAGGAAGTGAGTTGCCACTGTGCTAGCACTACACGGAAAAGACACCAGGGCCCACTTGCACAAAGCCATCTTAGCGCTAAGATGATTGTAACTCCCATACTTTAACATAGGCTTACAATAGTCCAAGCGCTAAGATCCCTTTGTGCAAGTGGGCCCCGTTCCTCAAGGCGATCTTAGCGCTACAATGATCGTAAACCTATGTTAAAGTATGGGACTTGCGATCACCTTAGTGCTAAGATCGCTTTGTGGAACGGGACCCTGGCCTCTAACAGAAGCCAGGTTAATGGCTTGCTCAAAATTAATGGACACACAGGCAACTAATAGAGGAAATATGGTATCTGAAAACAATATCTCTTCATGATTCATGCAGTCACTTCACATGTAGAATTATTTCCATGTTAAATGAAGTCCATATACAAAGTCATGGTACATGAATTAAGTCACTTTCCTTGCCTCGTCACGACAACAACTGCCTTGCTGTGTTGTAGCTGCCATGATGAATGGCTTGCCCAGAGATGACAGTCATTTTTCTCATGTGTTTAAGAAACATAAATTTGTTAATCTTACTTTCAAATATCTGAAAGAACGGCTAAATCCTACAGGACCTGTGATGGCCCATGCTGTGTGTTAAAACTGAGCAAGTTTCTGAAGGTCGAACTCTGGGATGTCGAGCCCAAGCCATTGCAGCAGTTCAAAATAGGAGAAGACGAACATCTTGGTGATGTCCTGGGTGTGGTTCAACCCATGAGATTCCAGCTGAAGGTCACGGTTAAACTTGAGCCTCGCTTCCAGCTCTGCCTGGCGACGCGCCATCTCCTCAGCCAATCGTTTTGCTTCTTCTAGCGCTCGCTGTGCCTCTTCTTCTCGTCGTTTCCTGGAGGAAGAGGTTAAAATTGAAATCCAATTTATCAATTAACAGAATAAGAGAATGTCAATAAATTGTCACTTGAAACAAACAAGAATTTGACCAAAGTACTGCCTAGCCCTGAGTTATGTCCCTTAGAACAGTACCTCAAGAGTGAGTGAGTGAGTGAGTGAGTGAGTGAGTGAGTGAGTGAGTGAGTGAGTGAGTTTAATGCCACTTTAAACAGTATTCCAGTTATATCGCGGCGTGTCAGCTTAATGTGGGAGGAAAGCCCGAAGTGATGCAGGTCTCAGACGTTTACCACTTCAGTGAAACCCACGAGCACGGGTATTGTGCTGACAAACCTAGAAACATAATTGAGGCAAACCGGGATTCGAACCCACAATCATAGGTTTCTGGCGTGCCCAAGGGACGCAACTCTGCACAGCGAATCGAGGCGCCTTAGATGACTGGGCCACCCATGCCCCCGTACCTCAAGAAGGTACATGCCAAGACTGTCAGTAGAATTGTTTCTCAAGTCAAAAACATTATGGTCCACTCCAGCTCATAAACTGCTGTACTCTTGACAGGGATACTGAGATGAAATATACTGTTTCAAAACATCCATGCATTTATTCCTTTTTTAACTGAAAATGAAGCTGGAAATGCATCATTTGTACTATCAACTACGATTCATCTCCAAGAAATCAGTGGCATTCAGACCGCACCTGGAGACTCTTATCCCTTCCAAATGTTTAAGTGGTTCAATGCTAAAGAGTGTGTGAGTGAGTGAGTTGGTTTAATGCTGCTTTGAACCATATTCCAGTTTTATTGCGTCATGTCAGCTTTGTGTGGGAGGAAAGCTGAAGCGACCCATGCCCCCATACGTCCGAGAAGGATAATCTTATTGGTTACTGAACAGTGTTTGATGACTTACTTTTCTTCTTCTTCCCTCTGTCGTCTATGTTCTTCCTCCTCTTGTTTCTTGCGTTCATATGCAAGACGTTCCTGTTCCGCCATCTGCGATAACATCTCTTCCTCTTCTCGTCGACGTTCCTCATCCTCTCTCTGCTTCTCCAGCATGGCCTCTGTAGGACAGGAACAGACGATGAAAAGTATTAGATGATGTTACACATTCTCACATTTATCAATCATCCTGTCACCCATCAGCTCCTCACCTTTTCCTGACCTATCTTCATCTATCCACATCTCACCTCTCCTCCCAGATCACCTCACCATCCTCCCACCATTGCCTCACCATCCTCCCACCATTGCCTCACCCATCCTCCCACCATTGCCTCACCCATACTTCCACCATCACCTCACCCATCCTCCCACCATCACCTCACCCATCCTCCCACCATCACCTCACCCATCCTCCCACCATCGCCTCACCCATCCTCCCACCATCACCTCACCTATCCTCCCACCATTGCCTCACCCATCCTCCCACCATCACCTCACCCATCCTCCCATCATCACTTAACCATCCTCACCTCACCCATCCTCCCACCATCACCTCACCCATCCTCCCACCATTGCCTCACCCATACTTCCACCATCACCTCACCCATCCTCCCATCATCACCTCACCATCCTCCCACCATTGCCTGGCACCATCACCTCACCCATCCTCCCCACCATCACCTCACCCATCCTCCCACCATCCCTCACCCATCCTCCCATCATCACTTCACCATCCTCACCTCACCCATCCTCCCACCATCACCTCACCCATCCTCCCACCATTGCCTCACCCATACTTCCACCATCACCTCACCCATCCTCCCACCATCACCTCACCCATCCTCCCACCATCCCTCACTCGTCCTCCCACCATCACCTCACCATCCTCCCACCATCACCTCACCAATCCTCCCATCATCACTTCACCATCCTCACCTCACCCATCCTCCCACCATCACCTCACCCATCCTCCCACCATTGCCTCACCCATACTTCCACCATCACCTCACCCATCCTCCAACCATCACCTCACCCATCCTCCCACCATCACCTCACCCATCCTCCCATCATCACTTCACCATCCTCACCTCACCCATCCTCCCACCATCACCTCACCCATCCTCCCACCATTGCCTCACCCATACTTCCACCATCACCTCACCCATCCTCCCACCATCACCTCACCCATCCTCCCACCATCACCTCACCCATCCTCCCACCATCACCTCACCCATCCTCCCACCATTGCCTCACCCATCCTCCCACCCATCCTCCCACCATCACCTCACCCATCCTCCCATCATCACTTCACCATCCTCACCTCACCCATCCTCCCACCATCACCTCACCCATCCTCCCACCATTGCCTCACCCATACTTCCACCATCACCTCACCCATCCTCCCACCATCACCTCACCCATCCTCCCACCCATCCTCCCATCATCACCTCACCATCCTCCCACCATTGCCTGGCACCATCACCTCACCCATCCTCCCCACCATCACCTCACCCATCCTCCCACCATCCCTCACTCGTCCTCCCACCATCACCTCACCATCCTCCCACCATCACCTCACCAATCCTCCCATCATCACTTCACCATCCTCACCTCACCCATCCTCCCACCATCACCTCACCCATCCTCCCACCATTGCCTCACCCATACTTCCACCATCACCTCACCCATCCTCCCACCATCACCTCACCCATCCTCCCACCATCACCTCACCAATCCTCCCATCATCACTTCACCATCCTCACCTCACCCATCCTCCCACCATCACCTCACCCATCCTCCCACCATTGCCTCACCCATACTTCCACCATCACCTCACTCATCCTCCCACCATCACCTCACCCATCCTCCCACCATCACCTCACCATCCTCCCACCATCCCTCAACCGTCCTCACACCATCACCTCACCTATCCTCCCATCATCACTTCACTATCCTCACCTCACCCATCTTTCCCCATCACCACACCCATCCTCCCACCATCGCCTCACCCATCCTCACACCATCGTCTTCACATCCCCACACCATCGTCCTCACTGTCTCCTCACCCATCCTCCTCTGTTCCTCCTCAGCCTGTTTCTTCTTCATCTCCTCCAGCTTCCTCTGGTATTCCTCCTTTGCTCTCTTCTCTCTCTCCTGCTCCAACTGCTTTCTCCTCTCCCGTTCAACGGCTGCCTGTTCCTCCTTCTTTCTTTCCTCCTCCTGTTGAAGCTTGCGCAGTCTGTCAAGAAAGTGACCGTTACTTGTGGCATGGGGCACAGCAAAAGTATTCCAATAACGTATGATGCTACAAATCACTTGTATCCCCAGACACTGGATATATACCATCATCAAATCCTTATTCGTAACTTCTATTCATTCAAAGTATCTGCTTATTTGTAAAAATGATCAAACTCTCATTCAAAATTGAAGCCTCCCACCACCAATCAAACTTCATCTCAATGTCTTAACCTTTCCTGATCACATCGTAACTAATCCCATATCATACCTCCTCTCTTCATCTCTCCGCTTCCTCTCTTCCTCCATTTCATTCTTGAGCTGTTCTTGCCTATCAGCCTCTTCTCTTTGCCGCTTGACCTCTTCCTCCTTCTCCTTCCTTCTCCGCTCCACTTCCTCTCGCTTCTTGGCAGCTGCTGCATTCCTCTTGGCCTGCCGCGCCGCTTTGTTGGATATCTGCTTGCGGTTTTCTTCCTGTAACACAAGATGTGTATGACATGGTATTGTATGACATGATAGTATTTGATATGGTAGTGTATGACATGGTAAAAGGTAGTGTATGATATGGTATAAGGTATGTATGACATGGTACAAGGTAGTGTATAACATGGTAAACGGAAGTGTATGACATGGTAGTGTATGACATGGTTATGTATGACATGGTAGTGAATGACATGGTAGTGTATGACATGATAGTGTATGACATGGTAGTGTATGACATGGTAGTGTATGACATGGTAGTGTATGACATGATAGTGTATGAAATGGTAGTGTATGACATGGTAATGTATGACATGGTAGTGTATGACATGAAAGTGTATGACATGGTAGTGTATGACATGGTAGTGTATGACATGGCAGTGTATGACATGATAGTGTATGACATGGTAGTGTATGACATGGTAGTGTATGACATGGTAGTGTATGACATGATAGTGTATGACATGGCAGTGTATAACATGATAGTGTATGACATGATAGTGTATGACATGGTAGTGTATGACATGATAGTGTATGAAATGGTAGTGTATGACATGGTAATGTATGACATGGTAGTGTATGACATGAAAGTGTATGACATGGTAGTGTATGACATGGTAGTGTATGACATGGCAGTGTATGACATGATAGTGTATGACATGGTAGTGTATGACATGGTAGTGTATGACATGGTAGTGTATGACATGATAGTGTATGACATGGCAGTGTATAACATGATAGTGTATGACATGATAGTGTATGACATGGTAGTGTATGACATGATAGTGTATGAAATGGTAGTGTATGACATGGTAGTGTATGACATGGTAGTGTATGAAATGGTAGTGTATGACATGGTAGTGTATGACATGGCAGTGTATGACATGGTAGTGTATGACATGGTAGTGTATGACATGATAGTGTATGACATGGTAGTGTATGACATGATAGTGTATGACATGGTAGTGTATGACATGATAGTGTATGACATGATAGTGTATGACATGGTAGTGTATGACATGGTAGTGTATGACATTATAGTGTATGGCATGGTACAAGGAAGTGTATGCAATGGCACAAGGTAGTGTATGACATAGTATAAGGTAGTGTATGGCATGGTATAAGGTAGGGTATGACATGGTACAAGGTAGTGTATGACATGGTACAAGGTAGGGTATGACATGGTACAAAGTAGTGTATGACAAGGTATAAGTTGGGGTGAGACATGGTACAAGGTAGTGTATGAAATGGTACAAGGTAGGGTATGACACGGTACAAGGTAGGGTATGCCATGGTACAAGGTAGTGTATGGCATGGTATAAGGTAGTGTATGACATGCTACAAGGTAGGGTATGACATGGTACAGGGTAGGGTATGACATGGTACAAGGTTGTGTGTAACATGGTATAAGGTAGGGTGAGACATGGTACAAGGTAGTGTATGACATGGTACAAGGTAGTGTATGACATGGTACAAGGTAGTGTACGACATGGTACAAGGTAGTGTATGACATGGTATAAGGTAGTGTATGACATGGTATAAGGTAGTGTATGACATGGTATAGGGAAATGTAGGAGATGGTATAACATGCCAAAGGGAGGCAACTGCACAGCAAATTGCAGCAGTTTATACAACTTGGTGTATGACATGGAAGTATATGATATTGTTTATTCTACCATGATATTGAAGAATGCTTGATTCTGATTGGTTAAAAAGAGGTTTCCTTTTTGCTATGGAAACCCCTTTTAATAATAGTAAACCTTTCAACACAAAAAACATGAACATGAATACATCGATAGCCTACATATCTATGCATAAAAAAATAGCTGCCAATCGATTACTGATAGGAACTGTAAAACGTATTGATATTGCCTCTATTACATGCTTGGTCTCAAAAAACAAGCCAGGTCTCTAATACATGCCAAGTTAATGGCTCTCGCGAACTTAATAGACGGCGTCTAATAGAGGAAATATGGTAGTTTGATATCAGATGTGTTTGGCGACGATATGTTGTTCCAGGCCGTAATCCTGACTGCTTCGGTGATGAGATTACAAGACTTTACAAAGGCATATCTTTTGCATACAAAAAATTATTTATACATTTGAAACCTCTCATTAAAGCGCTCAGTTCCAAATTAAATTAAGAGGTATCTTCTCTACAGTGGGACTACATCAATTTTCAAAACACAGTAGGTATATCTCCTAAACAAGGTAATTTCAACATTGCATGATGTGTTAGTGTGTGGCACTGTAGAGCAAAGTTGTGTGTAACAGGTGTAACGCTATACAACATTGACAGCAGAACACTGCTGCTCAGCACTGCAACCAAACATTATAACATTAATGGCGTACAAAATTGGTAGTGTGTGATTATTTCTTCAAAATGTAACATGCCTCAAGCACTGAATGATGGTACAAGGCAGTGTATAACATGGTACAAGGTAGGGTATGACATGGTATAAGGTAGGGATGACATGGTATAAGGTAGGGTATGACATGGAATAAGGTAGTGTATGACATGGTACAAGGTACTGTATGACATGGTATTAGGCAGTGTATGACATGGTACAAGGTACTGTATGACATGGTATAAGGTAGTGTCTGACATGGTATAAGGTAGTGTATAAGTGAGTGAGTGAGTGAATATGGTTTTACGACACTTTTAGCAATCATCCAGCAATATCACAGCAGGGGACACCAGAAATGGGCTTCACACATTGAACCCATATCAGGAATTGAACCCGGGTCTACGGCATTACGAGCGAACGCTTTAACCACCAGGCTACCCGACCGACCCCTGAATGGTGAGTGCATCTTACCTTGTCCAGAGATAAGTCCTCAGTCTCCGATTCCACTTCAGCAACAGGCGGTGGGTCCGAGGGGGCACGAGGCGGTGGCGGCGGCGTTTGCTTCCTCTCGGGACTCTCCGACTGCTCCCGCACAAACACAAAGTCCATGTCCTCCGACTTGTTATCAGGGGATGGTGCAATCTGAGAGAAGGGGATAACATCTAGGCTTGATATTGGAATGGTGAGTTCAGGTCACAATTTATCATTTATAAAATTTCCGTCCATTTGTGATTAGGGAGGCATTTTATTAGTAGGCTAAACATCACCTGAGGGGGAAAAGAAACTATACCTCTCAGTTGATTTTATCAAATGTGTGAGTATCAATTGAAAATATCTTAAGTTAGTAATACTATATCCAAAAAATGAACTGAACTTGCGCTTAGCCAGCAGTCAAAGAATACTTCCAAAAAGTTTTATATAAAAATTGTAAAATATAATTTGATTTAAAACTTTTAAGTTTCAAAGAAAAAATGTTTTTGCACAATACACAACTGCTGATTGGTATATTAAACATCACTGCTGTGAAAATAATAAATTTGCTTTTTCGGCACAAATTCACAACATTTCATGTGGTCACAATTTAGTTTTTTCACCCATGTCTTCATCGAAACAATTTATTTGTACACAAAATAACCCAGCCACTGATGACTTTTTACAAACTGATGCAGAAATGTGTGATGGTTTAATAGACATAATAAATTTTAACAGTTCTTTCAATTTTCAATTCCATAAAAAACACACATGGTACACATTCTTTTGCCCTTCAGTTTATAAAAAAAAAAGTAACAATCTCGATCTGAACATTAACTGATAGTAGAGATGATTCCAATGAAGCAAGAAAGGTTGGTTGGACTGGAAATGTCTGCCATGGGAAGGAAATGAGGAAGTATGTTCTGATGTCAACTTTATCAGTTGTTTTACGTGTTGGAGGTGAGGTGAAATGGGGTTTAACGTCGCGTCCAAGATTATTGCACTTATATAGCGACGTGCATGTACGTGTGTGTGGTTGCTTGTACTAGTCCGGACTGATGCCGATTTATAGTGCTAGCTCACTGAGATACCATGCCGCAGTTTAACATGAATACCCCACTCAGACACAGTATACTAACTCCGAGCCGACCTGTCCTTGTTTTAGCACCTTAATGCCGAGCGCCAGACAGGGTAGCAACAAGTACCATCTTTTAACGTCTTTTGGTATGACGCGGCCGGGGATCGAACCCCGGACCTTCCGCTCTCCGGGCGGACGCTCTACCACTAGACCACGGAGGCGGTCTTTACGTGTTGGAAGTTCTTGTTCAAGCAACTCCAAAAATGTATTCTTATTTTTAGTCAACGCTGATTTAGCAACTTAAATTTAGTGACATCTGTCTCTTTGGACTAGAATGACTGTACTCACGCTCTCCTCTGGTTCGGGGGACTCTCTCTTGGGGGTTTGAGGTCTGGGGGCTTCCACAGGGACGGGCGTCGGCACCTTGGGGGGCAGGGGTTTCTCCACCTTCTCCTTCTTGACCTTTGTCTTCTTCTCCTTTTTCTTCTTCTCTTCTTTCTTTGGAGGAGGTGGTTTTTCAGCCTTTGGCTTTGGTTTCGGTTTGCCTGTGAAGACCAGAAATGTTTGTCTGAACATGGACTCATGCTTTGTCAAAAGTAATACATCTTAACAGTACACAAAATTAGCACAAATTTCAATATCTTTGAATATTTAAAAAATAAAGTTATTTTAATTACTTATTAATGTTTAATGTGAGGGTAATAAAAAATTAATAATTTGCATAATCACTGGTAAAACTTGTAACATAAACTGGGTAACTAAATATATTCAGAACAATGTTTGTTATTTATTTTATTATAGACACATCTCAAACGCAGCTGAAAAATAAAATTATTTCAACCAAAGCAAGGAGACATGCTGGATAGTATTTTAGTTGATAAACAAACATAAACACATATATAGGACATTCTACGATGACATGTTAGCATCCTGCATTCTGACTGGTCTGCCTGAGGTGACGAATCTGCAGTTTTTGTCATTAATTGGTACACATTGGAAACATCTCTTCTTAACATACATATTCTCAATATCTTCAAAATTCAGTCATATCAACTTGACTTTTGGCACGACTCTATCACATAGTATGAACACACAATGCCATTTCAAGGTGGTCCAATGTAACATTTCTTACATTTGGGATAAAACTTTCTTAGTAAAGTACAGTACTTTTTGGGGTTGAGTCCCGTCTGGGATTTGAACCCACACTGCCAGAGTGAGGCACCTGAACACAAGCACACAAAGTCAGCGATCTAACCCACTCAGCCACCGAGGCTTCCACAAAATGAAAGTCTGACAACTGGTAGTCTAGATCACGTACTTGTCAGAGGGGGACACAAAGTACGTGATCTAGACTACCAGTTGTCAGACTTTCATTTTGTGGAAGCCTCGGTGGCCGAGTGGGTTTTATCGCTGACTTTGTATGCTGGCGATAAGGTGCCTCACTCTGGCAGTGTGGGTTCGAATCCCGGACGGGCCTCAACCCCCAAAAGTACAAGAATCTATCACGTACAGTGACGTCAGGCTTTGACATCTTATCTGTGCAACTTTATGATTATGATGTCACAATAACGGTGTGTACTTTACAACAAACATTGCAACGGTCGCTTCATTTCCTCTAGGGCTGTTATTTTCAATATATTTTTCAACATGATTTTATTCAGCTTCAATAAAGAGGCACTATTCATATTGTGAAAGTTTTGATTTGGGAACATTAAACAAACATATGCAGATGAAAACCAATCTTCATTTTTCGTTTGTTTTCACATTGTGTCATAGTAGAGGGGAAATAAACCCAGTGTGTTTTCAATGTAGAGTGAGTGAGTGAGTGAGTACAGTTTTACGCTGCTTTTAGCAATATTCCAGCAATATCACGGCAGGGGACACCAGAAATGGGCTTCACACATTGTACCCATGTCGGGAATCGAACCCGGATCTTCGGCGTGACGAGCGAACGCTTTACCCACTAGGCTACACGACCACCCCTTTCAATGTAGAGGTTTCAAACCTCGATTTGATACCTGTAAATTTCTCAAATTTGAAACCTCTAAATTGAAAACATACAAGGTTTATGTCCTAAGTAACATTCAGAAATGGGGAGGAGTTTGAAGCTGATAGGTGAATGTTGTTTTATGCCACAGTCAGCAATATTGCTGCCAGATAGCAGCAGCCTGTACATGATCTACTATGGACCAGACAAACCAGTGGTTGATAGCATGAGCACACAATCAGACAGGTCACACAACACATAACCATTTAATTCCATTTTAAGCAGAGGACTACAGAGGACCTAGTCGGACTTAGAGTGAGTGAGTTAAAATTTAACGTTGCATCAGCATTATTTTAGCCCGATATCAATATTGGACTTGGAATCTTCACAGGCTCATCAATTGGACTAGGGGGGGGGGGGGGGGGGAATAGAACAGACATACCAGCAGGCACTTTCAGCAAGTGAGTACATTTAAATAAAACATGTGGTTGTAAAATATAGAAAAAAAATTCTCAAAGCATTTACAAAGAGTTGTACATAAACACACACTTACAAACCAGAAACATGTTGTCAGTTGGTTTAGGAAGGCTATGCATACGTGAGATTCAGTGGGGAATGTCTACAGCTACATATATAAGTCCATATACGGATATTGGCTGTATAGAACATCCTAAGATCTTAGTGCCACATATATCATAAGTCCATATACGGATATTGGCTGTATAGAACATCCTAAGATCTTAGTGCTACATATATCGTAAGTCCATATACGGATATTGGCTGTATACAACATCCTAAGATCTTAGTGTCACATATATCACAAGTCCATATACGGATATTGTCTGTATACAACATCCTAAGATCTTAGTGCTACATATATCATAAGTCCATATACTGATATTGTCTGTATACAACATCCTAAGATATTAGTGCCACATATATCATAAGTCCATATACAATATTGGCTGTAACATCCTATGACCTGTTCAAGTTCTTTCACATTCTTGTAAACAGTTTTACATTCCAAGTTATGTAATACAAACTTTAACACCTGAAATGTGTAAACCTGGCCATCCAAGGATCAGAACACTACTTATTTTGTTATGAAGACCTATCATTCTCTAGTCTCCTCATTCCCACCTGAATGTTCACGTTCTATTAAAGCAAGGACAAACACAGAAACCCAAACCAAAAGATGTCAAGACAATAGGGAGGGAAAGCAGACAGTTGATTGGGTGATGAACATCCAATCAGAACCTGCCTCACCCTTCACATCTTTCTTTGTTGGTGGAGGTGGTATCTGAGAATAAAGACTGGATATCTCCGCCTTTTTCTCAACTCGACCTATTAATGTCAAACTTCAAACATCAACTTCAATAAATAATTATTTCTTAAAAAAATAAACAATATCTCCAGCTTTCCTAAAAATAAAACAAAACAGGCATGATCAGTTTAAAAGAAAGAAGCATTCTACACTACTAATATAGTTAGCATACTGGTAATAATCAGTGAGAAAAACTACCAACAAAAACAGCTGATTAGGCAAGGTCATGGTTCACCATATTTGACATGTTAAGGCCCCCTATCAAAGATAACAAGGTGACTTTTCCAAGTTTTATTTTTCATACATTGTAATGAAATATTCAGGAGCTTAAGCTCATTAAGTAATGCAGCCATTGTGACCACACAATACACAATAGAGAGATCTAAGATTATGAGTGAGTGAGTGTGTGAGTTGGGTTTGACTCTGCTTTTAACAGAATTCCAGTTATATCACGGCGTGTCAGTTTAATGTGGGAGGAAAGCCCGAAGTGATGCAGGTCTCGGACGTTTACCACTTCGGTGAAACCCACAAGCACGAGTATGGTGCTGACAAACCTAGAAACATAATTGGGGAGAACCGGGATTCGAACCCACAATCATAGGTTTCTGGCGTGCCCAAGGGACGCAACTCTGCACAGCGAATCGCGGCGTCTTAGACAACTGGGCCACCCGTGCCCCCTCTAAGATTATGAAAGGGGTGAGGGGCACACCATTATTAAGGCACAGTCAACACAAACCACAGATGTAGGTATCTGAAGATGGTCCCCCCTCCTTGATATCCGTCAGTGTTATATTTCTATGTTCCATTCGACTATTTCTCACCTAAGTCCTCCTGAACCATTTCAGGTATTGTTGGAGTTGTTGCCCTTGTTTCTGTCTTCACGGGTGGTTGGACTGTTACAACATTTTATGTGTATAAGCACATATCCTATTTTATATTCACTGTATTCATTAACTGTTTGAAATATTACTGTTTGATATCAGTATGATACTCTATTAATCATGGAAATCAAAGAAATGTATTTATAATTATTATAAAGTAATAAATGTATGACACATAAGATTATATTGCCAATTATTCTGTTGAAAGAAATGACATTGCTTACTTGTGTCCAAATGTCATTGGTACATTTTTAGGCCAGAATAAAATATTTTCTTGTTTTCTAGAGGAATTAACGTCAAATTTGACAAAGAAAAATAACAAAATATTTTAAATATTGTGTTTGACTGCAAACATGGTTTCTAAGAATGTTTTCTTGGGGTTTTTTTCATAGAAAATATACAAAACTTTTTAAAAAAAAGAAATTATTTTGCCCTAAAGAACAAGAAAATCCAGAAAACACAAAATTAAATTGGTCTGGCCTGAAGGTTATACACAAACCTTTCTGAGTGTTAGGAGAGCATAGGATCTCACATAAATATAATACAGCAGGGATCACACACACTTATACAGCATGGCTTAACTCACATGATGTAAGCTCATGTTAACACACATTGCATCACTTTAGCTGTATAATTAGCTGCATCTCGAAGATCAAGAGGAACTAATACAATATCAAGCCACAAACAATTATAAGAAAAACCCATTTCACACACAAATGGTAATGTAAGGTGAGATTATGGCATTATCTCATGTTTCATTCAAATTTTGATTGTTTTGTTTGTTGTTTAATGCCGCACTCAGCAATATTTCAGCAACATGATGATGGCATGTAAACAACCAAGTCTAGACCAAACTATCCAGTGATTGATATAATGAGCAACGATCGATGTCATGGGTGAGCTTTTAACAGTATTCCAGTTATATTGTGGCGTGTCAGCTTAATGTTGGAGGAAAGCCCAGAGTGATGCAGGTCTCAGACGTTTACCACTTCTGTGAAACCCACAAGCATGGGTATGGTGCTGACAAACCTAGAAACATAATCCGGGCGAACCGGGATTCGAACCCACAATCATAGGTTTCCTGGCGTGCCCAAGGGACGCAACTCTGCACAGCAAATCGCGGCTCCTTAGACAACTGGGCCACCTGTGCCCCCCGATGTCATAGGGGAACAATGACACACTATGAACCAAGTCACCAATTCTGACCCCACTATCCATTAGGAAGCACCTTTCGCCTACAAGCAAATGTTGCTAGGGACTATCCTAACCCGGAATGCCGACAGAGGTTAATATTTTGAAATACCTTTAAATATAGTCTACATATCATACAGCACACTATTTTAGATGTTGATATGTGTTTTCACTGCAAACCTCACCACTAATCATAGCTGGTTTTGGTGGAGGATCGGGAGACAACTCTTCTGTAGGAAGTGACAGTCGAACAGGAAGTGGACCTTGTGGCTCAACAGCCGTGGGTTCTACTATTATCTCTATGTTGACATATACCAAACATTAGACAGGAGTATTAGTGGGAGGAAGGGGAGACAACTCTTCAGAAAGGAGTATCGTGGGAGGGGAGACAACTCTTCTCATAGGAGTATTTATGGGAAGAGGTAGACAACTTTTCGGAGAGAAGTATTAGTTTGAGGAGGGGAGACAATTCTTCGGAAAGGACTGTTAGTGTTTGTTGGTTTCTTTCTTTCTTGTTTAATGCCACACTCAGCAATATTCCAGCTATATGACTGTGGTCTGTAAATAATTGAGTCTAGACCACCCACAGTCCCGTGATTGACATCATGAACATTGATCCATCCAATTGGGATATGATGACATGCATCAACCAAGTCAGAGAGCCTGACCACCTGATCAATGACAAGCATAGTCGCCTTTTGCGGCAAGCATGGGTTGCTGAAGACCTTTTCTACCCAGAACCTTACTGGCCATTTTTCATGGGAAGAAGAGTAATAATATTCACGTTCTTAACTTCAGGATGATATATGGCGGTAGCAGTACCTGAGTAGCCATCTGAAATAAAAATTGACCACCCTAAAAAAGATTCAGTCATTTTTTGTCCACTTAATAATTGTCCATCAATTTCTATCAGGGGCATACAAGTGATACTCAAAAGATTGTACAACAAAGATGACAGCTCCCTTCTTCAAGGACAAATTTGTGCATATTATTATGTTATTTCTCATGTCATGATATACCCTTCTAACTGTAGTTTTCTGCACATTATAAAACATGTAACTTCCATTGTATAGATGGCATGGACAGGCTGAAATGCAACATTAGATGAAACCATGCAATAACTCTGTGCACCATCATATCTTGCGATGTCAAATTAACACACATCACACAGGTGCCACATCACAATACACACAGAGCTATCCTTGACACAGGTCCAGCCTTCAGGTCTGTGGTGTCAGAATTCAACCTCTAGCACACCTCTTAGTAGACGTTACCATTAAACAGATACAGGACGTATCAGAAAGAACTGCCCATGAGAGACATCTCTGGTCCTGTGCTGTCTGTGATGACTTTTCTTGTTCAGATACAGGACTTATCAGAAACATGTGCCCATGAGAGACATCTCTGGTCCTGTGCTGTCTGTGATGACTTTTCTTGTTCAGATACAGGACTTTTCAGAAACAAGCACCCATGAGAGACTTCTCTGTTCAGTTACAGTGCTGTCAAGGAGTGCTTTTCAAGTTCAGATACAGGACTTATCAGAAACAAGTGCCCATGAGAGACCTCTCTGTTCAGTTACAGTGCTGTCAACGAGTGCTTTTCCGATTCAGATACAGGACTTATCAGAAACATGTGCCAATAAGAGACTACTCAGTCCAGATACGGTGCTATCAAATATATTTTAAGGTTCTGAAGCCGCCTCTGCGGTGTTGTGGATAGAGTGTCTGTGATCTGTGGTTCAGTCTCCAGTTGCATCATACCAAAATATGTTAAAAGATAGAACTTGATATCCTACCTGGCGCTCAGCTGTAGCAGGATAAAACAAAGATTGGTCGTCTCTGAGTCAATATATTGTGTGTCTGAGTGGGGTATCCATGTTAAACTGTGGCATGGTAGCTCATTAGGCTAGTGCTCTAAAACCTGCAGTAGTCCGGACTAGTACAATCAGACACACACAGACACAAGTCATTGCACATTGCTATATAACCAACCAAAAAAACCATTACACGTCACCTTCTGGTACAGATACAGTACGTATCAGAAACATGTTCCCACAACAGACCTCTCTGTCTCAGATACAGTGATTTCCACAGCATGTACCCAAAACAGACGTTTCTAGCCCTAGAATCAGTGCTAACAACACGTGCCTTACACAAACTCTCCTGTCACAGTGCTTTTAACACCATGTGCTGACAATGAAACCCTTGGTGCAGAATCAAACACACCACACCTCATATCTCTCACCCTTGCTTTCATCAACCTTCTTTGGTTCCTGTTTGGTTGTCTGGGGCTCCTTTTTGGGTTCAGGTTCCCTTATTGGAGGCAGCTGCTTTTTAGCGTTTGGTTTTTCCACCTTTGGCGGAGGTGGAGCTGGTTGTGGACTTGGTGCTGCCTTTTCTTTTTTTGGCTTTGGTTTTGGCTTTGGTTTTGGCGGTAAAGGAGGGTCTTGTTTTTGTGGAGGAGAATCGTTTTTTGGCTGCGGTACTGGCTCCTTGGGTTTTGGAGGGTCGGGTGGAATATCTAACTTAGTGGGCACTGTGATATTGGAAATTGAAAAATAGACTTTCAGTAAGAAGCAATTTCTAAAAGAATGATCTGATTGTTTTCAGGTTTTTTAGAGATGTGGTTTGAATTTTTGGCCAGCACTGTACTAAACAATTCATACGAGTATTTCATGAGATACTCTTCAAGGGGAAACAATTCACACACTGCCTACCTTCTTGAGGAGATTCCTGTTCAAGCTTTGGTGGTTCTGGAGGGGTAACAACTTCGGGTTCTTTCTTTCCTTGCACTTGAGATTACATACATTGAAAATTGACTGCGATTTATGACAACAGAAATGAAAAGAAGTAACAATTTTGATCATACTGTCATCCTTTTCCAATCAAAATAGTGGTACTTTCTTGACAATATTTCAATGAATTTACTGGTTAAATAAATTTGTTATCACATGTCCAAATATTCATTGACAGTATGCAGGAAAGCATTGGATAGATTTATATGAAAAATAATTCAAAATATTATTTTATCATTAAAGACTCTTAATTTTCAGTTCATTTATTTCGCCATGTTATTTAGTGTAATGCCTGGTCCAATGGTCAGGACACTGAGAGAGTGAGTGAGTTGGGTTTAACGCCACTTTGACCACTATTGCAGGTACATTGTGGCATGTCAGCATGGAGTGGGGGGAAAGTGATGCAGGTATTAGACATCTGCCACTGGTGAAACCCACAAGCTGACAAACCTAGAAACAAACTCAGGGCAAACAGGGATTCAAACCCACATAGGTTTCGACCACACATCTAAGGGAGGCAACTCTGCACAGCAAATTGTTGAGCCTTAGATAACTTGGCCACCCTTTATGCGAATACGAGGATTAAAAAACACCTCACCCAATGAAACCTACTGAATGGTATTCCATACCAGACAAATCAATGAATTTCATTGGCTAACAGTAGCCTGAGATGTTCTGTGTGACCATTGGACCTGGTTATAACACTGAAAGGCTTGGAGTGAGAACCGAGGCCAGGCTGAGGGAAGAGAGAGGGGGAACACAAGTGAGTTAACAGGGGACAATGACACTCCAGTCTGTTAGTAAACAAATTATCAGTGTGAAACCCTGGGGCATATGTTTACTTGGCAGTTTAGTGTTTATTATTTGTTGAAATATTATTTGTCAGATAAATGATTTCATTGTTTGACGGATGAACCTGCTCAAACATTTACAAGAGTAAACGAAAATAATTTATAAATAAACATTCTCTTCGTCACAATAAGTATCAAATTCTGCTTGGAGGGAATTCCACAATATTAATTATTTTTTAGTTCTTCAAAGCAACAGTGCAGGGATGGAAGTTTCAAGAAAATCAGCGAGTCTGATTGTGTAATGGACCATGTATTGGTAGAGACTGACTGTAACATGCATTGGCAGAGATTGACTGTAACATGCATTGGCAGAGATTGACTGTAACAAACATGAAGTGAGATTTGTAGGTGACATACATGGGGGAGGAACCAAACATCTGTTAGTAATCATCAATGTTGAACATGCATCCAGTGAACTGATATACTACTCAACTTTTGTTAGGGATAACCATGGAAACATCCCAAGCAAAGGTTGAGTAGTATGTATATAGAAACCTCATCAACTCAGTATATCATTAAGGACACCATGCTTGTCGTAAAAGGTGACTAACGGGATCAGGTGGTCAGACTCGCTGACTTGGTTGTTGCATGTCATGCCAATTGCATAGATATATGCTCATGATGTTAATCAATGGATTGTCTGGTCCAGACTTGATTATTTACAGACCGCCGTCATATAGCTGGAGTATTGCTGAGTGTGGCGCTAAACAACAAACAAATCTTATATCAGGCCATAGTTGGAGTGAGTGAGTGAGTGAGTGAGCTGGGTTTAAAACCACTTTGATCAGTATTACAGTTATATGATATGTTTGTGCTGAAATGGTAATAAATTGTATATATATCATGTACATATGTTTTGAAAGAGACACTTGAGTTTATTCTTTTTATTCATGCATGAACATCCAGCACCTCAGATTTAAGTTGGGCGTGACCAAAATGCAAATGTCTGATTGGCCAAAAGATATTTCCGTATCCTCGTTATATCACAGCAAGCAGAGCACTGGTAGTTGATATCATACCATAGCAAATAGTAACACAGATTGTGCCAGGATGATATCAAGTTAATGATATTTGATATCATGAGGTTTCACAGTAACTGAACACTACAGACACAAGTCTAGTGACACACAATAACTGATCTGATTTATTTACGTCACTTGAAACCGTATTTCATCAGTTCAATAAACTCTGGATGCATGTATGAGGATGTGCAGAGGGTGTACAATTCGATGGATCTGTATATTCTCCATACCAATAATTACGTATCAGAATTATAAGATTAGGAAAATATAAAAAATACTCATGTTCCATTTCACTTGAATTTCGACTTTTACCATTTAAAACGCTGAAAATCACTGACAAGACTACAAGGGTACCCCCTGCACACCCTCACATATTTCTGTGTAACAAATGTAACAGTTATACTGGCACACCACTCGGAAGCCTCACTTTTAGGCGGGGATGGTTTTGGAGGGGGTGGGGGGTCGACCGGGCCGTACAGTTTCTCCAGCTCTTTCTTGTCCTCCACTTTGCCTGTACACACACAACTGCTGAATCAGCCAAATACACTCAACAACCAAACATTGTCACAAACTAGGACCAAACATTGACAAAGTATTTCCGTTTCACATATTTCACACTTTCCACTAAAATATCATGAAATGATTATCCTGCCATTGTCAGATCCTGAACATCATCCATGGAAGAGATCATTTAAATTAATAAAGTATTTCTACCAAAACTTTGTTACCTTTTACTGATTAAATTTATTTTCTATTTCGTATTAGTTTTTTTCCTGAAATCCATCAATTACATCACTGTAAAGGGTTTCAATCAATGATTGAAACTGATAAAACAGAACAAATATATTGTTCATAAGGATATACTGTATATCAGGATATATTGAACATAGGGATATATTGTACATAAAGTAATATTGAATATATATCTGAGGCTCATGATGCCTCTCCAACAGGACGCCATCTTGGTGACCTATGACCTTTGACAGTTGCTAAAAAAAACTTTATGGTTGTGCAGAGCTTCTGTACAGGAACAATCTGGTCACAGAACAAGTTTCATTAGTTCTACTGAGTGTCCCAAAAACATCCCAGCACGTCATTTCAATAATCTGAAAAGTATTCCGAATACGACAATGTGAATAGATTTGACCTGAAATTAAATGAATACAAAACAGTGAAGAAATGTAGGCATAAATGGTTTAAATATGTTATTAAAACATACATCTCCTTTATCGACTAATGTCCAACATCTACATGTCTACAGGTTAAGGGACCGGTCATTTATTCCAGGGGCATGGGTCAGAGGGAATCAGCGGAGGGCCAATACGACAGTCTCTCTGGGAAGGTTATAAAAAATACTACACATACCAATATTTGGGGAGGGTCATGAAAAAAATGGATATTTTATGATAAAAGTATTTTTGCATCTGGTCTTTTAAGGTAGGGTCCTGAAAAAAAACCATCAAAGGACATTGGGAGGATCATCCAAATATATGACAAGCATTAGGGAAGGATGAGTACATTTTCAGTACATTGTGCATCAAACACCCTATGTAAATGACCATTCCCTTATTAATGTAATCTATGTCTTTATAATAAATTACAAAATTGTTATCACTACAAGGTGTGTTAGCAAACTACACAGACATTCTGTATGGTAACTCAAAGCTTGATCATGATCAATTATCAAAATCAAGATCACCAAAGTACAATGGCTACCAAATGTCTCTCACCGACAACAAACTCCTCCCTGTCTTCAATGGACACTGGTTTCTTCTTCTTGGCGCTCTTCGAGTCATCGGTCTTCTGAGATGTCTTAGACACACCTGTCTTTGTGCTGCCATGTTCACTGGTGGCGTCCTCTGGTGTTGGTTTGGGAATAACAGCAGGGGAGACAACTTCAGCTACCTTCTGAAAGTGCACAGGTACATACCAGAAAATGTACTTAGGAGACGAACTTAATGATCTGGGACCCCGTTCCACAAAGCGATCTTAGTGTTACGTTGATCGTAAGCCTATGATAAAGTATGGGAGTTACGACCAACTTAGCACTAAGATCTCAAAAAGACATCCCCAGAGAAATTGAAGTGCCATTGTGACATCACAAACTCTACAGTTTGTTTGTTTGTTGTTTAACGCCGCACTCAGCAAAATTCCAGTTCTATGATGGCGGTCTGTAAATAATCGAATATGCACCAGACAATCAAGTGATTGACATTATGAGCATCAATCCAAGCAGTTGGGATATGATGACACGCATCAACCAAGTCAGCAAGCCTGACCACCCAATTGTGTTAGTCGCCCCTTACAACAAGCATAGTCGCCTTTTACGGCAAGCACGGGTTGCTGAAGACCTAGTTATTTCTATGGAGGGGAAGTTGACATGATATGGTAGACATGACATCAAGGGTACGTGATAGAGTAGCACCAAAAGTTAGACTACTGTCAGATAAACACACTACTCCAACCTTCCTACTCAACACATGCATCTTCAGTTAAAACAAGCACTGACTGACACGGAGTTAACATTTCATCCCACTGCTTCTACTCATAAAATACAGCATGTGCAAAGGGATAGCTTTGATCCTTGGTAATCTCATCAACAGGGTATTGCAAAACTTTCCAGACGCAGTTTAGGCTATTGTTTGACACTCCCAATAATTTCCTTGTGCCCAACTTTCCAGATTTACGGTACCATATCATCCACATACCTCCTCTATTTGCTTCACAGCCTGCATAAAATCATCTGCAGCAGGCACGTCAGACGGCTTCCTCACGCTCCGTGTTTCCGACCCTCCATCCACGATGGACGAGTGCTTTGAGCTGCCCTTTGACCTTCGGTCAGGTTCAATAAGGTCCCCTGTTTCTGGCACTCCGTAGCTGATGACGTCCACGTCCCCGACGTCCTTGACTGAGACCCTCTCTGATGGGATGGAGATGGAGGGTTTGCTGTCGTCATCCCCTCCTGCAAGAAGAGGGTACAGAAGTGGGGTCACAGTGTGCTTGTGTTTTTGTCTAAACCCACACTCAGTGTTATTCCTACTATATGATGGCAGCCTGTAAATAATAGAATCTGGACCAGACAATCCAGTATTGATATCATGAGCATCTATCTATGCAACTGGGACATTTGTTTGTTTGTTGTTTAATGATGAACTCAGCAATATTTCAGACATATATGCGGCAGCTTGTAAATAATCAAGTCGAGACCAGACAGTCCAGTGATTGGTATTGTGAGCAACAATCCACTACTTCGGCTACGAAGATATACCATCAACCAAGTCACCGAGAGTGACCACTCGATACATTTAGTAACCTCTTTCGACCAGCATGGGTTGGTGGGGACCTATTTTAACCCAGAATCACCACGGGGGGACAAGCATGGGTTAGTGGGGACCTATTCTAACCTGGAATGTGTGTATATGACGAACTCTCTACAGCGAACGAACGTATATAGCGAACTGATATCTGATCCCCGACAAGCCAAAATACCACTAATTAGTGACGTGTATAGTGAACTGAGAAATCTCACTCAGTGTCAAGTGTCACTGACAATTGGCTATACGGAATCAGCAGCGAATAAACACAACCAGCGGTGACGATTCAATTTGTTGAACTTGCTTTATGCTTATCTTACTTGTAACTGGACTAATCTTGTCTGTAAGACAAACATAAATTTCACGAGATTATGTCAAAGTGTCACTTCACTAGCACCTGCTATCATGGCGGGCAATGCTGCAATTACATGTATTGTGTTTGTTTTATCCAAGATGGCAGCTGTTTCCGAGCGAAAACGTATAAAACGAACAGTGCGTAAAATGAACTGATGTCTCCGGTCCCTTGTAGTTGGTTATATCCATGTTCTACTGTAATTGTAAAGTGATAAGAATAGGAGAGAGATCCGCCTCACCTGGTGATACAAAGAGGTGTCCCTCCTTCACACCTCCCATGGCCTTGGAAAGCTGACTTTTAGACCTGAGAGTGCTCTGCCCACTTTCCTCATCCTTGACGATCTCGATGTCCTCGGGGCTCACAGAGTTGTTGGCCAGTGCCTCCAACAGCTCATCACTGATCCCGGCATCAGCTGGAAAGGCATCCGGGGTCAGACCTGCTGCCTTGGCAACTGCAACATGGAGGTCGAGGAAGGTTGTACACCTTTCCTTGCAACATTCCAACAATATCATGACAGGGACACCAAGAAGAAGCATCATAGTTTGGACTCGGGTGAGAATTTGAACCCAGATCTTCCATATGATGAGATAACGCTTTAACCTTTAGGCCACTCCACTGCCTCACGTAGCAGCCAGTGCTAAGGATCTCTTGTAACATGTTGGAGTGTGTCACAGATGACCACTAATAATTAGGGCAATATGCATTTATTTGTTGGATCAAGGATCCTCTGACCCTATCTGCTTCAAAATTGGAAAAAGATAAATTTACACTTATTCTTTTTTTTGCCGCCACATACATGCAAGATTACTCAAGTGTTTTTAAAAAAATCTCCTATAACACTTATGATGCTCAATTTGACATAATAAAAAAAAAGATTCTCCAAATTGATGAATTGTAGCTAAATTCCTCGCATTTATACATCTGGAGTTATTTCCCTTGTCATTCATCCAAAGACATTGTTGAAATTAACGTTTTTTGTCTTCTGAGAAAAAAACGACAAAAAGCAGAGCTTCCAGCAGACAATGGCACTAAAGATGGCACACTCATCAATTTATATTTCTTATTTCCGCTTCCCCATTCATGATCCAGTTTAAAAATTTTAAATTCCCCCCTCTGACTTTTGACTTCTGACTTCACCCCAAAAGATCTATGATCTAACAAATAAAAAATAATAGTTTTACTTGTTTTATAATTGATTGAGATTTGTACCTGCAGTTGTAAGATTGCGGCGGATCTCTTCCCGGTATTCTGCGGCAGTAGGATCAGCGCTCGTGGTCCGATGCTTCTTCATGATCTGTTCTATAGCATCCTGAGAAGGTTGTAATCAAAGAACTGTTATTCAGAATGCTGGGACTATATTGTTCAATCTCTTGACACTTGCCACTCTCACCAAAGATAGTTCAGTTACGTACAGTCAGAAGCCAATCACAGAAAGATTACAAACATCTCAGGAGTGAGAGAGTGAGTATGGTTTTACGCTGCTTTAAGCAATATTCCAGCAATATCACAGTGGGGGACACCAGAAATGGGCTCACACATTTAGCCCATGTGGGGAGTCGAACCTGGGTCTTTGGCGTGACGAGCGAACGCTTTAACTACTAGGCTACTCCATCTCCCCAAATATCTCAGGAAGAATAAAAAAAACTTAATTACAGTAAATAAATGAAGCTCATCTTTAAAACTTAAATTCATGCAACAAGTTGAAGCTTCCTGTTAACAACATATGTATGACATAATATATAGGACAGGGTATACGAGACTGAATTTATAGGACAGGGTATATGAGACAGAAGATATAGGACAGGGTATATGAGACAGAATATATAGGACAGGGTATATGAGACAGAATATATAGGACAGGGTATATGAGACAGAAGATATAAGACAGGGTATATGAGACTGAATTTATAGGACAAGGTATATGAGACAGAATATATAGGACAGGGTATATGAGACCGAATTTATAGGACAGGGTATACCAGGACAGAATTTATAGGACATTGTATATCAGACAGAAAATATAAGACAGGGTATATGAGACAGAATAAACAGGAAAGAATTTATAGGACAGAGTATTTTGGGGGAGTAAATTATATCTGAAGTAAAAGCAAATATGCCACATTTGAAAGCACATTAATTATTAATTTGTTAGAATTAGAATTGTTAGAATTTTTCAAATGGTAAAAGTGAGAAACTAAGCAAGCAATTAAACTGTTATCAATAATGAAATAATTTAGATATTAGTGTGTTCAGATATTAATCACATTGATAACAGGGCCCATCAATTAGAAAATGAGCCTTAAAATATGAATTTCTAAAATATATCCATTGTTATATAGTCAACCATATATTCCTAATGACATCATGTCCAAGTTTGCAATCCTTATTGCTTACTGATTTATGTGAAGTGCGTAGCAGTTTTCAAATTCAATGTCCAAATATGTATCAGCAAGATTCATGAGTATAACCTGCCACCATTCAATGCATGCAGTTAGAGACTGCAGTGACAATCACAAACTAAAGTGCATCAAGACAAATCACAAACACTCAAGCTGTGCTCAACCAGCCTCCATTCTGATAAAGGGAGGTAAGTACCAGTTTGACGGTTATTATTGACCAGATGATGATTTGAAACCATTGAGTATATATACTACTCAAAAGAAGTAAAGGAACACCCAGTTCATTCATATTACTACCGTTAATCTGTCAAGCCATCTGTTCTTTAACTTCTTTTGAGTTGTATATTGACTTTAGATTAATTCACGATGGATGTGAAATGTGAATACATGTATAATGAAAGCCAAATTATGAAATGTTCATCAAACTTCACTACTTTAGCTCATCACCCCATGAATGTTAATTTCTCATAATTCAGATGAAAACATGCAATGAATTAACTGAATTAAATATTACAAAATAAAAACACAGAGCTAAATAGATGATTTAATTGAAGCAAAACAGTTAACATGTTTATTACCTGTGTTGTCAAAATATATATTGGTTTATTCAAAGTTAAACCATACCCTAAAATAAGATTTGAATAATTTTGGCAGTTTGAAAGAGTTTGAAATCAGTTAATTCAAAAACATAAATAACGGTCCCCATAATGTCACAAATAAACAAATTATCCTGATCATCAGAAGGTACCAGAATGGAGGCTGTGAAACAACAGATGTGATTGGTGCAATATTGACCAATCACACGACACGTATCTTACAGTGTTGGTTGGTTCCTGCACAGACTGACTGCGAGAAATATCCCGGGTTGGGTGACGGTCAGCCCACAATGTTGCAGCTTGCTAAATTACAATTAGGAAGCGGTTAACTACAAAACTAGGCACTAAAACATCTGAAACAGAGATCTGCTATGAACATATTGCAATACAAAGCAAGTTTCTAAAAATCATATGACTTCATTAGTAATTCTGTACTATCCAAGTACTAATATGTATACACTACCAAACCATCATACAGATTTTAAATATACAACTGATTGCTAAATACTAAATTACAATATACTCTGCTATCATTTCTCAAGACCTACACTAGCCAAAATTTCTTTTGACAATATACTAAACTGTAAAGTCACATCAAGATATACTACTCAAAAGAAGTTAAAGAAAACCGATTCATATGACTGAAGTTAATCTGTCATGCCATGATTAATTAAAGTCATATGAAAGAATCAGGGGGGGTCCTTAACTTCTTTTGAGTAGTATATGATGGAGTCAGAAATTCTAGCTGTTGAAAACCAAACTCTGATCCAAAGTTTTGGTAATTAAGGTAAATATCACATTCTTTTAAAAAATCAGAGAATCTCTTTCTCCCTTCACATTGGAGATACAAAGAGATAGATGTTATAAGACTGTTAACCCAAACTCAAACATTAGATCACTTACAAAAACATTTCCTCGTAATAGAATAAAATGAGTGAAATAAAATGACAGTAAAAAGAAATCATAGCTGAGTGTTCCCATGACGTAAATACCACATACAGCATACACTTATAACAAACTGATGGATATAATTACCTTGCTAGGTCTCAGACTTTTATTGTATATTTTAGTCGAAATTCTTATAACGAACTACGTTTATGACGAAATAATATTAGTGGTCCCTTTGAGTACGTTATAACCGTGGTTTACTGTACATTGTATTAGGAATACAACTTGTATTGTAAGAACCTTCTGCCTGATGCCAAACATTGTATCAGAAGGCTCCTCAATACCAAGAAATCATTGTATGTTTGTTAAAAATCCCACAAAACAATGATCAGGTCACTTTGGAACTGAAATTGAGACAATAAATCACTTGAAAAATTCACTGAGAATAAAATGAGTTAAATGTTTTGTATTTTATTGACTACTGAATGACCTGATCATTGTCACACACCCAAGACTCTCCCATAGCATATATAATATAGGAAGCACAATGTTAATATAACCCTTTTAGTTAATGCAACAAGGGGTTGCGAGGTCTTGGGCTCCAACCATTTCGCCACATCAAAATTGCCAGGGTTTACAGGCACTTCTGAACATAATGACATCCAACTTGTACACTTGGATTCAATAGACACACAATAAATCCTTGAACAAGTGAGTGAGTTGGGTTTTATGCTGTTATTAGCAATATTCCAGCAATAACAGTGCTGGGGACACCAGGGCCCACTTGCACAAAGCGATCTTAGCGCTAAGACTATTGTAAGCCTATTTTAAAGTATGGGAGTTACGATCATCTTAACGCTAAGATCGCTTTGTGCAAGTGGGCCCTGAAATGGGCTTCACACATTGTACCCATGTGGGGAATCGAACCCAGGCCTTTGGCATGATGAGCAAACACTTTAATCACAAGGCTTACCCACCGCCCCCAATAAACATGCCTGTCTTGATGGAATCAACCAACAGACAAAAATATATATACACCTGCCTTGAATAATTAAATGTCGCATCAAGTGTTGGATTGAAAAAGAAACATTTGAAACAAAATTGAAAATACATGATGTAGACATTTCTGAACAAAATAAACACCTGCTGCGATTAAATAGCTGCATATCATAAATAACTAAGAACCTTTTGTAAATTAATAAACAAATGCCTGTTGCTTATTTAAGAGTCTATTAACTGCACTGCTATCATTACTCTACAACAATGACCTATATAGCTATATGATAATCCCTTTTGCATCATCGATTATCCAGTGTCATGTGCCTCCATCCTCTTGTCATTAACACGCTAGATCCATTGAGTCCACTTTAACACTAAACATAACTGTCCAATCAAATCTAACACATATGAGGGACATTCTGTAGAAGTTTAACAAAAAGAGCGGTAAAGATAGTAACATTACTTCCTAAACAACACTTACCGTATTCGACGTAATAAGCGCCCTTCTCTAATAAGCGCCCACGGCGATATTTGTTAATATATTGGCTAGTGAACAATCTCAATTAGCACCCCTTCCAATTGATTAATGTACACAAGACTTATTTATTTGTGTATAATACGCACTCGTATGTTATATGCACCCTTAATTATGGGCAATTAAATTCTGGAAAAATATATCTGTCGTATATAAACATTTCAGGCTGTCGGCATAAACCACGAAATTTACGATCTTTCAACTCAAAATAATATTCTAATAAGAGCCCCCTATTTCTAATTTTGAGAGCGCCCTGGGCGCTTATTACGTCGAATACAGTAATTAGCGAATGGGTCCAGGGTATTTATGATAACAGAATGGAGGTAATACACTGGACGACCGAGGATGTTTCATTGAAGCAGGTTTTCCCTCTGCTCCTCCTACCGCTCACCCTGATGTCTGCCTCCAGATTGTGCCCCGCCTCCGACTGACTCAGCACGCTCTGAGCGATCTTCTGAGCATGCTCAGTGAGAGCATCCACCAACAGCTGCTCCGATGCGGAAGACTCTGAAACAACAGCAGCAGCATGTTATGTGACAGTCCAGTCGGCAGCAATCTTTTGTCAATAAAATCTTTATACTGGCACACTATGAAAAAGCATAGTAGAATATGGGAAATAATTTTCGACAAACTGAAGGAAAACAAACAAATTGGTACATGGTAGTAAGACCTGAAGGCATGCAAGATTGCAATAATGTTGTCTGAGTTCAAATCCTCATTCACATTTTCGCTTCTTGACATGAGCATCCTTCACTTGTTACTTATCAAAGCCAAAATCCACTATCGGTTTCAAAGTGTTTCGGTATAGTAACATTCAAAATACTTTCATCTGAGGTTGCTGAGAAAAGAAACTATAAAAAAATTGAACACATGAATATCAGAATGGTTGTAAGATAGCTAATTCACATTTAACAATATTCTATCATTTAATAACACGAAAGGATTATTTGTGATGGCAAGTTTTCTTCGTATGTTCATAAATAGTATACAAGCTAGAAGTACATACACTCACATATATGCCCAATATAGTGATTACCAATATTTTGTATAAAACAAGGTCTGTGAATGAAGAAGTAAAATATGATACATTGAGTCATATTAAATGTATATTTGCATGCACAAAATTAAGAAATAATGTTTCGATTGTTCATTGAAATAATTATACATTTCTTTGTAAACAAAATATCAGCTTTATATTATAAACACACTTGGTTATATCCAGCACCGTCAAACGTTAGTTGCAAACCAAAATCAACAATGCATGCAGTTAAATCGCCCATTCCCTCGAGTAGAAGAAAATGAAATACATGTCATTTTGGATACATCCATGCTTATATGACATCCAATACGTAGATATTCTCCATATACTCATCTGAAAATCACAGAAATTACATGAAAATCATCGTAATTTACTCCCCGCTTACAGCTCTTCTACCTCAGAGCTCTGCGCTGTTTACATGTCACAGTCCATTGACAGGGGGTCAATTTTGACCAGATTGTAGATTCAAGGGAAGACAATATAACAAATGTTATTTTTGGGATAACACTTTCTTAGTAAAGTAAAGTCCAATCCAGGACTAGAACCTACACTGCCAGAGTGAGGCACGTAATCACCAGCACACAAAGTCAGCAATCTAACCCACTCAGCCACCGAGGCTTCCACAAAAATGAAAGTTCAACAACTGGTAGTCTAGATCACATACTTTGTGTACCCCTCCGACAGGCATGGTTCCCATGGCCGAAAGCTATGAACACACAATGCCATATACAAAGTGGTCAAATGTCACAAATGTTATATTTTGGATAACACATTTGTGAAGCAATCTTAATCTTCTTATACTGGTTAGGCACTAGATTTATTTGTTTATAGTTATATGATACCCCTTTGTGTATAGCTCTGCACTGCATGAGGAACTTTTGAACGTCTCCACATATTACTGACCTGCAGACAATTTTATGACAAAACCAGATTCTTTTAGACAGGGACATGTTTGTGAATTGCACTGGAGCCTATAGTGACTGAGAAACATAATCGAGGCGAACTGGGATTCGAACCCACAATCATAGGTTTCTGGCATGCCCAAGGGACGCAACTCTGCCCAGCGAATCGCAGCACCTTACACGACTTGGCCACCCGTGCTGGAGCTTATAACTTCCTTCTAATTGACCAAGCCAAAACATCCTTGACACTGTTCTGGGCCCACCGGCACCAAGTGATCTTAGCACTACAATTTTTGTAAGCCTATGTTAAAGTATGGGAGTTACGATGATCTTAGCGCTAAGATCGCTTTGTGCAAGTGGGCCCTGAAGTTGATAGTGGCTTTGATGGTGTTTGCGGAACATACAATGTATAAGAATTGGTTATTGTTCCACACATGTGGGTTACATCTTGACAGATTGTTTTATATTACTATGACAGCATGTTATCTGTTTAACCTGAAAAGAATGATCATATACAAGTAACAGGCAAGGAGACAATGTGAAGAAGAGAGTGCTGATCTGAAACCGAATGTGTGCATCAAGAGAGAACAAGCTCAGTCATTGGAGGTGGTAACATGCAAACCAATGATGTGCAACAAGAACGTGCAATAACCAGACTTCAATTTAACCTTCATCAATCCTGGATACTGTTGACCTTGATGACCTCAGTGACCGTGACCTGGTCAGAGGTGAGTGTGGTACAGAGGGCACAAACACCTGCTCACCGGTCACCTGTAGGGGGCCACTGGGATGCGATTCTCCCGACAAAATCCTTGAGTTTATTTCAGTTGCTTGAGATTGTGGCCTTGACATTGATTGACAGTGACTGGGTGCTTTACCATCCTCCTGTCCGTCTGTGTCATCTCCCCCAGACACAACCTTGTCCTCTGCCAAAGTTGCTGACACAAGGTCAACTGGAGGACTTTCAAGACCTGACAGGTTCAATGGAGGGAGCTTCTCTATCAGGTCAGAACCGTTTTTTGGATCGGCAGATTTCAATGAGTTTGCTGGACTGTTACGTCCTTTAAGGGACAGCAGATTGTCCTCAGTATTGACATCTTGAGAACTACTAGGTGCCTCCATCACATGGGTCACATTCTTCCTTCCATCACTCAGCCTGCTCCTGTCTGTCAACTGGGACTGACTTCTGTTTGAAGTCCATCCTGGGATCGGAAGTTCCTCAAACACTGGAGAAGTTCGGCCAGAGACTACAGAAAGGGACCTTTGAGGAGCATTTATATTTGGCAGTAGACATTCTTCAGCAACAGCTCCTGTAGAGGCAGGTCTGTTCATCTTAGAGTTAACCATTTCTTCTGAGGTCACAGATTTTACAGATTCCTGTCTGGAAGAGGCAGCCCTGGACTCTTTCAAACCATTCTTCGGTTTCTGCTCTGTGGTTTCACTCAGATCATTGCTCCTGCTTCGACTGTGTAGGCTGTTTCTGGAACTCCCTCTGTTCCTGACGAGATCTGACCTCCCTCCAGACACAGGTGTCCTGTTCCTGCTTTTAGACTCCTTCCTTTTCATGTCAGATGTTCCCAGAGACCTCGGTGTCCTTTCCATACTGCTTGACTTCCTCTGATGTGCATCAGAAGCAGTGGATGCTGTGTTATCCTTATCAAAAACCTCATCATCTGCTGCATCAGACTCTTTCCTTGAACTCTTAACTGTATTAGACCTTGACCTTTCCTCTGACCTTTTCTTTTTGAAGTCACCTGACCTTGACCTTTCACTCATCCTGGTCTTTTCAGTTGTCCTTTCACTCAGCACAGTGTCTCCTGCCGAGGGTGTAGAAGTTCTGGCTGATCTAGTTTTGCTAGATTTCGATTTAGTTTTCGTGACACTTGTTTCTGTAGACTCGCGAGAAGGATCTGTGGGAGCAGAAGGCAGTGTAAGGTCTGTTAACTGAGAAGGGTTTACAAGATCTGTTGGGTCTGTGGACCCATGACTTTTGTGTTCTGTTGGAGGGTGAGGAGTAAGCTCCAGCTCCATGGTGGGCTCCCGGCTGTCCAGCATCGCCCTCGCCTCCTCCTCCGGCTTCTCTGTGATTGGTCCCCACTCGGACTCAAATGTCTCATCATCATACCCTCTCTCTGAATGGGCTGAAACAGTATGGCTGGCTAAACAGGGCAAGCATTAAAAAGACAAGCAACACACAACACAGGCAAGCTAAGCTCATGATGGATATTGTAGGATTTCCATATTTGCAAAAGATAAAAGTTTATGAAGTTTTAAATGTCCAACAGAATTTTTCATCTAAAAACCTTAATCTTGGCTACCAATCAAGGGCTTTACACAGCATCTTCTTGTTGATTGTAGACCTAATGGTCATATATACATTTTACAGATTCCTATATATATATATATATATAAACGTGAGTGAATGTCACTCTTCCCCCTTGTCAAAAACAACAGCACTATGAGGCTTTTTGTATAACTTGGTTTATTGAAAAAAAAAAAACCTGATGAAAAAGATATTGCTTGAAATGTTTTTTTGAATGATGCATTAAATTTCTTCCCTTAATATTTTCTTATTTTATTTTATCAATAAAATTAGTTAACTGACCTGGCATGAACCATAATAATTATTCCAAATTTGTGAAAGAAAAGAAAGAAGTTCTTTCCGAAGGCCCATGCATACAATACAGAAACCAGGAGACAACATGCCATGGGTAAACAGTAACATTCACCAACTTGACAAATAGTCTCACCCGATACTTAACAATCATTTTGAAATCCTTCACTACCTATCCATCAAACTAAGCCCTTTCACACAAACCAGGCGATAATTAATAAGCTAGTACCAAACAGATTACACATCCCTACACCGTATTCCCAACACACTTGAAGGTAAGCTAGCCAACACCACACAGGGTACCTGCATCTACATGTCTGGCAGTGAGAGGTTGTGCCCGCGGCGCCAGGGAGCGGCCCTGGTCACTGCTGGCATAATTCCACTGATGGATGGATGCAGATGCATCAAGCTCTCGGCCACTTTCTGAATCTTTGGTGAAATAAACACATGTGATAGTGAAAAGACTAGCACTTAGTCCCAGAAATGAAATTTTCTTATTTAAAAATATAGATCTATATCTACAAAAAGAAAAAGAAAATCCAAATGGAGCCCAGAACAATGCTTAATTTCTTCAAGCTGAGGCAATCAAGACTTCCAGGCAAGTATTCTAGACTTGAGTTGGACTCCTTTTTAATTTATTCACTTGGGTCTGGGAAACAAACAAGACCATGATCTAATCTCCAGATTTGAAGATAGGTAGAGTTACTTCCCTTTGTCCATTGCTAACCAAAAAGCTCCTCACAGTGATAGCCCGTTCACGGAGCTCTCCATACTATCACTGCCACCAAATGGAGCCCAGTGCAATGCTTAATTTCCTCGAGCTGAGGCAATCAAGACTTCCCCAATCATTCTAGACTTGAGTTTGACTCCTTTTTAATTTATCTTTTAGGGTCGGGGAGACAAACTAGAAGATGATCTAATCTCCAGATTTGAAGATAGGTAGAGTTAGTTCCCTTTGTCCATTGCTCGCCAAGCTCCTCACAGTGATAGCCCATTCACGGAGCTCTCTATACCATCGCTGCCACCAAATGGAGCCCAGAGCAATGCTTAATTTTCTCGAGCTGAGGCAATCAAGACTTCCCCAATTATTCTAGACTTGAGTTTGACTCCTTTTTAGTTTATCTTTTAGGGTCTGGGAGACAAACTAGACCATGATCTTATTCTCCAGATTTGAAGAAATACCACAATGATACTCGACTGAATGTTTGACAAGTCACGTAATTCTATAAAAAACAACACTTTAATCTTGTCTCCCTGCTTTTCTCCAATATATTTCATGACTTTTAAGATTGTAAATATTTATCTAAAAGAAACTGAGTGGTCCTCCTGAATACACAAATCTTACGGATGCCTACTGAACTGTATCTGGTCTTCCACTCTGATAATTTGTCATTAAATTGAAGGCAGTGCTAAACACTAAATAACTTCTAATCTCATCCTTATCATTTGATGACAACCTCCATGAGCCGGGCTTTGAACTTTCAACAGTCCTATCACGGTGTGTCAGTTTAATGTATTTTGTAATGACAAAATGTATTTTGATGAGAGATAGAGTTACTTCCCTTTGTCCATTACTTACTCTTATTTAATTAGAGTTACTCCCCTTGTTCAAAGTGCGCTGTATACACTTATTCGTGTCGAACAGGCATCAGACTTGCTAGCCCAGCACATGCACATACACATGCACATGTGACCCGTGAAGAACCGGTCTTAGACAAGATCTTCAGCAACCCATGCTTGTCGTAAGAGGCGACTAATGGGATCGGGTTCAGCCATTTGTATTTAGAAATGGACAAAAATGCTGCACATTGACATGAGAACAGCTAATGGAACAGTGCTGACAGGTATTGATATTGATGGTGACGTTGAGACGTACCTTTGCGAGACTGTCTCCTCTCCTCCTTGCCGTCCAGGTGGACCTTCTTTCGGGACTCCTTCCACTCTTCCGGCTCGTCTGTGTCCGATGGGATGGACTCCGCAACCTCACCTGGAACATATAAGTGAGTGAGTGGGTGAGTTTTATGCCTCTTTGAACAGCAGTTCAGCTAAATCACAAATACTGAACACAGGTCCTAGATATTTTCAAATTTCCTGAGTGAGCAAGCTAGATTAAACGGCACTTTTTACAGTATTCCAGTTAAAAATTGTGAAAAAAGTGTGTATTATACACAGATAAATATGGTATATCACAGTGTGTCAGCTTAATGTGTGAGGAAATCCACAAGCAGAGGTATAGAGCCAACCAACCAAGGGCTATAATCAGGTAGAATTGGGGAGTGAGTGAGTGAGTGAGTGAGTGAGTGAGTGAGTGAGTTTGTTGGGTTTAACTCCGCTTTTAACAGTTCTCCAGTTATATCGCGGCATGTCAGCTTAATCTGGGAGGAAAGCCAGAAGTGATGCAGGTCTCAGACGTTACGGGATTCGAACCCACAATCATAGGTTTCTGGCCTGCCTAAGGGACGCAACTCTCCACAGCGAATCGCAGCGCCCTAGACAACTGGGCGATCTGAGTGAGTGAGTGAGTTAGGTTTCACATAGATTGGATCATACTTTCAGCATAATGTTGTAAGAAGAAAGTGAGTGCATACAGCAATATTCCAGCCTTAACCTGAACGCTTGTGATTAATCAAATCTGGACCAGGCAAATCAGAGACAGAAAACACAAGAAGCGATCCACTCGATCAGGGCAAGCTGACAATCAGCGAAGTCACAGAGCCTGACCACTGATCCATTTAAGTCACCTCTCAAAATATGCTCTTAAGACACTCTAAAGACACTCTTAAGACACTCTTAAGACGCTTTAAAGACGCTTTAAAGACTCTCTAAAGATACTCTTAAGATGCTTTAAAGATACTCTAAAGACACTCTAAAGACACTCTAAAGACGCTCTAAAGAGACTCTTATGATGCTTTAAAGACACTTTGAAGACACTCTTAAGACACTCTAAAGACACTCTATAGACACTCTAAAGATATGATACCAGTGACAGTCTTCACACCCAGAGCTCACACAGAATTCATAGAAAGTATGACTTGAAGAATAGCAAAGTTCTTCTAGCCAACAATACCAATTGACAAAGTTGCACCTACCGTCGCCAACTCTCTTGTTGACACGCATGACATCTTGCAGTGGCGCCACATCACCATGTGCATGTTTGGACGGTCCTACGGATCCGCCAACGCTGATGATCTCACCATCGGGGGCGCAGATGATGCTGCCCTTCAAGGAACCATCACCAATGACGCTGCCGGCTGAACAAGATATAGGGGTTAGTCAGCATGTTCAAAGTGTAAAGTCATCTCAGTTGTCTCATAATTAAAGATTTCAAAAGCAAATCCATGTTTCTGTTGGCATGTCCAAAGTGTAAGAATCAACCAAAATGTCTGACATAAAAAGTTATAAAGGATGCTCTTAACATTTCATTTTTGTGTAAATAATTTTTTTTCTGTGGATTTTTTATTTCTTTAATTAGCACATATTTCCTTAAGATATTACACAAACTTCTTGCATATCAAAATAAAAATAAAAACTTATTTCTACACTATTACTTCATGTCTATAGACAGGACTTCTATAGTAATCCGCAATTCATGTAATATCAGAATCAATGTTCATACTATGTTCTACTGTAGCCTACAGGGTGATCAACATTGATACCTAACTTTTTACTGTAGCTTACAGGATGATCAACATAGATACTAAGTTTTACTTTGGCTTACAGGATGATCAACATTGATACTATGTTTTACTGTAGCTTACAGGATGATCAACAGTGATACGATGTTTTACTGTAGCTTACATGATCAACATTGATACTATGTTTTACTGTAGCTTACAGGATTATCAACATAGATACTATATTTTTCTGTAGCTTACACAATGATCAATGTTGAAACTATGTTTTACTGTAGCTCACAGGATGATGAACATTGATACTATGTTTTACTGTAGCTTACATGATGATCAACATTGATATTTTCTTTTACTGTAGCTTACAGGATGATCAACAGTGATACGATGTTTTACTGTAGCTTACATGATGATCAACATTGATACTATGTTTTACTGTAGCTCACAGGATCATCAACATTGTTACCATGTTTTACTGTAGCTTACAGGATGATCAACAGTGATACGATGTTTTACTGTAGCTTACAGGATGATCAACATTGATATTTTCTTTTACTGTAGCTTACAGGATGATCAACATTGATACTTTGTTTTACTGTAGCTTACAGGATAATCAACATTGATACGATGTTTTACTGTAGCTTACAGGATGATCAACATTGATACGATGTTTTACTGTAGCTTACAGGATGATCAACATAGATACTATGTTTTACTGTAGCTCACAGGATCATCAACATTGATATTTTCTTTTACTGTAGCTTACAGGATGATCAATGTTGATACTATGTTTTACTGTAGCTCACAGGATGATCAACATTGATACTTTGTTTTACTGTATCTAGAATTGTACAACAGAAAAATATGAACACAACTGCTTTGTGAGTATTTCCTACATTAACACTGATCTACATCTATTTCCACTATACAGATATTACAGAAAGGCTCTAAGTTAGACTGTTTACAAAGGAATAATATTATGAAAAATAACAAATAACAACTAAAAAACACTAGAGCAATATAACAACAAAGATGAAACTCCATGTTCCCGAGACAAGGGAGTTAACTGACCATAAAAGTCCAGTTTCCACCCCTGCCGAACTAGGCTGGAATTATGGAGTCATATTTTGACTGGACTAACGAGTCTATGCATAGTCCAATCAAAATCGACATCCAGTTAATAAACAACATGGTGATTGCCATGCAGATTTCCGTTGATTTCAGGATTTGCAGAGCATGAGTACCGTCTATTGGTTGACAGACATTTTCCAAATCCTGCTCAAGTGCTCTGATGCACTTCATGTTTCAATGCAATAAAGATCATGATTAAAAATCAGATCGTTTTGACTGGGCGCCGCCATTTCGTTTGCAGCAAATGCAAGTGATATGAGAGGTGGAATCTGACTTTGACAGTCAGTTAACTGCCTTGTCTCGGGAAGATGACAAAACTCATGCATACAAATCTTCGAGGTCCTCAACAAGAGCAATGTTTAGCTAACAAGTAACCTGAAGGGGGCGTGTTATTTTTTGTATAAAAACTATCTTAGTGTATTATCAAAATAAACAGTTTTTGCACATGTGCACAGATATGTATAGAAGCCTAATATGGAGCCTCTGGATACTACTGCACAACTTATTAAGGATAGTTGACAGTGAAGAGGACTTCTGTTGAAAATCTGTAGATTTTGTTAGTGTGATGACAGCCATAACATGGGATTTATGGCAATGACATAATAGAAATTTTGAAATCTAAAAGCTATGGAGCCTCTGAATAGTTGACAGTGAAGAGGACTTCTTTTAAAAATTTAAAATAATTTAAAGAGTGATGACAAAATAGGAGATTTATGGCAATGACATAATGGAGATTTTGTAATCGCAGGCATTATGGAGCCTCTGGATGAATGAGTGAGTGAGTGAGTTGGCCTTAACACTGCTTTGAAACATATTTCCAGAATATCACTGCGGGTCAGCTTACTGTGGGAAGTGACACGTGTCAGACATTGGCCACTTTGGTGAAAATAACATCAGTCATCAGTCATACACAATGTTGTTTTTTACAAAAAAAACTGCAAGGTATTTTGAAGCATTGCAGGTAACTGCAGAAAGCCTAACCATGATTCTAAAGCAAAATAAACAGAAAACCCAACATAATAATAACTACAGCCAGTTGAACAAAAATGACTACTACAAAAGAAGCACTGATTATTGACCAGGCTGATCCAAGGGTCAACCCCTCTAACATGTAGGAAGCGGGGGCTACAGGCAGGCCTTGGGTTAGCAGAGTGTAAGCTGGGGGGTTTGGACTGTAAGACAGTCTACAGTGGTTATATCTAGGGTCAACAGAAAGTCCTCACTCTCAGAACGATCCGGTGAACTCGTGGAGGACTTCTTGTCAAAGTCGACACCTGCACCAATCAAATATTTTTATGTTGATGATTGTTGCTTAACGCCATACTCAGCAATATTCCAGTCATATGACAGTGGCTTGTAAATACTTTAGTCTGGACCAGACAATCCAGTGATTGATATTGTGAACAACAATCAGGGTACAAGTACACAGGATGAACCAAGCCTGACCACCATCTATTAGGTCACCTCTTAAAACCAGCATAGGTTGCTGGGGACCTATATTCCTACCCAGAATCTCCAAAGGGTTTTAAAAAAATCTTTATGAAGAGCATAGTACCTTTAAAAAAAATTCTCAGGTTTTGATTCAATCAGTACAACATATTTACTTTTTGGATCAACAAAAGAAACAAGTCAGACACACTTGCAGGGTATTTTTGTCCAAACCTTATCCTAACTAATGTCCAAAGTATCTGCAGAAAACCTTTTGTTTTTATTTTCTACTTGTCTAATTGATGATGTTTACGTCTAAGAATTGATAATACCATATAGTTCCTGTTAGATTATTATTCAGACATCAATGAAATAACCCGACTGCATGATGGACAGGCTGAGTTTTCTATAAGTTGTTTCAATGAGTTCGTTTTTGTTGTTGTCTTTTTGTTTAACGCCGCACTCGGGAATATTCCAGCTGTATGATGGCGATCTATATATAATGGGCCTGACAGTCCAGTGTATGACATCATGGGCATCGATCTTCGCAAAAGGGATCCAATTACATACATCAACCAAATCAGTGAGTCTGTCCATCCAATCCGGTTTGTCGCCTCTTATTACAAGCATGGGTTGCTCACGACAATTCTAGTGAGTGAGTATGGTTTTACGCCGCTTTTAGCAATATTCCAGCAATATCACGGCGGGGGACACCAGAAATGGGCTTTACACATTGTACCCATGTTGGGAATCGAACCCGGGTCCTCGGCGTGACGAGCGAACGGTTTAACCACTAGGCTACCCGACCGCCCCTCAAGACAATTCTAACCCGGTTTTCAAGGGGATTTTCGAGGAGAACACAAGGACAACTCACGTCCCTTCTTGGATCCAACACTCTTGAGGCTCTGCTGGCTTCCCTTCCAGTGTGGCCTCTGTTTGCTAGGGATGGACTGGACACCACTGTGGGCGATGCTCTCGCTGCTGCTGTGGAGGTTGGCTCCCCCTGCTGCCATTGGACCTGCAGGCGGTGATAGTATTGGTAGTGGGTAGTTCTGACTATGATAAGTGATAATGATGGTATGATACAGGTCATTGGACCTGTAGGCCATGATAATGACAGTAGTGGCAGTACTAACCATGGCAAGTGATAATGATGATATGATACAGGTCATTGGACCTGCAGGCCGTGATAAAGAAGATGTAATTCGGGCCATCGGACCTGTGGCAGTGATAATCAAAATATCAAAGAAGACTTTGGACCTAGGGGTAGTGATAATGATGATTCAAAACAGGCCATCAGACCTGGGGGTCATGATAATGGCAATAGTATTGATGGTGATGAGTGAGTGAGTGAATATGGTTTTATGCAGATTTTAGCAATATTCCAGCAATATCATGGCGGGGGACACCAGAAATGGGCTTCACACATTGTACCCATGTCGAATCGAACCCAGGTCTTCGGCGTGACGAGCAAACGCTTTAACCACTAGGCTACCCGACCGCCCATGATGATGATGATGATGATGATGATGATGATCATGATCATGACAGGCAACTCACCTCTGTCTGAACCAGCCTGCGATGCCTTCTTCTGTCTCTTCCGATGATGCTGTCTCTCAGCCCCTCTCCACGAGTCATCTTCTCCTAAGAAACATTAACTGAGTTCTCATTTTCAATATCACACAATTAGTTTTCCTTACATATCTACGACCAGATATTTTAAAGACTATTTACAAGAGATATCAGTTAGAAAGCAATGTTACACATCTTAAAATACCAACAAGTCTTTTGCTTCATCACATATGATATCTTAATGTTATGAATTGTTGAACATGTATCTCTGCTTCTTGGTGAAATTATTGTGAGTAAGTGAGTGACAGGCATAATTGAATGTTAATATGTTGATACGATATTAAGACAGTGCTTATAATTCAATTTTGCCACATAATAAAACTATTTTCAAGATGGCTGATAAAAAATATGGGAGACAACTCTGCAAAGCAAACTGCAGTGACTTAGTCCCAGAGATTCAGCCTTATTTACACAGTAGAGATTGATTTTACAAGATTAAATATTGCAACTACCATCCTTTGATGGTTTCGGAGGAACAGCACGGCCATCTGTCTCCGTTGTATTCATCAACGTCGAGTGTTGTGGCGTTGGAGGTTCAACGTTAACCAACGGAACACCATCTATCAATACATCAATCATGCTACCAATCAAATGTTAGTGTGCACTCACTGTCAATCAGATTTAGTGTGCATTCAAGGAACATGCCTCACATGTGATATTATCTGTGTAACATACATAATTATTCAGTTATCTCACAGCAAGTCAGCTCAAAACAGGAGGGGCAATCATGTTAATGTTAGAATGACTGTCACAGAAAATATTTGATAAATGTTGTACTGATAGAGATACAGCAAACTTGTATCAATGTGATATTTGGACATTTTGTGTCAATCATTTGGGTTCAGATGCAAATGAAATGCTTAACAAATTTGATTCAAAATCATATACATGATTTTTACTGACCCTCAGCATTAACATCACATCAAGAAAAGTGTTTGATAAAAATGTTGCAAGAATAACCAATTCTAAATATCTTAAATACAAAATCTTAAAATGACATTTCTTCTAAATAACACCAAATTAATATCATAGAAAATACAAATTCAATACTTCTAACATATAATAACACATTAAAATCTTTTCAGAGCACAAGATTTCAAACTGAAAAATATATTTGAGTTGGAGCATGTGCATGTGGGTGGAAATTATTATGTTAGAAAAGGGAGTGCACTCTAATCCAGTATGCTATATCTGTTTATCACACACCTTGTCCAAAAATGGGTGGCAGTGTGATGTTCTGGTAGGTTGTCTCTCTGCTGACATCCTTGATGGGGGTGAGTGGATGTCGAGAGATGGCTGGAAGCTGGGGGATACTTGTCACCGACCCAGAGGGGGAGGAACTACTTTCTCGTAGTGACACAATGGGTGCACTGCCAATGTACTCCTTTCCTGCTTCATCGATTCCATATGGCCAACTGCGATTCTGGGCTTGAAATTTAACATACAAAGTTGTTCATATTTGGCAAATTCACATTGAATTTATTCAGCTGGCATATTTTGCTGTAAAATGGTTTGAGTTCTGGAATTCTGAAAAGTTATCTAACAACAATTTCTTTGAGTGAGTGGTGGGTGGTGGGTGAGTTGGGTTTAACGCCGCTTTTAACAGTATTCCAGTTATATCGCGGCGTGTCAGCTTAATGTGGGAGGAAAGCCCGAAGTGATGCAGGTCTCAGACTTTTACCACTTCGGTGAAACCCACGAGCACGGGTATGGTGCTGACAAACCTAGAAACATAATCGGGGCGAACCGGGATTCGAACCCACAATCATAGGTTTCTGGCGTGTCCAAGGGACGCAACTCTGTCTTTGAGTGAGTGAGTGAGTATAGTTTTACGCTGATTTTAGCAATATTCCAGCAATATCACGGTGGGGGGACACCAGAAATGGGCTTCACACAATGTACCCATGTCGGAAATCGAACCCGGGTCTTCGGCGTGACGAGCGAACGCTTTAACCGCTAGGCTACCCGACCATCCCCAATTTCTTTGAAAACCTATTACAATATTATGCATGTTTTGTCACTGACAGGTAAAACAAAATGCACACCTGTCAAATATTCTTATTTCAATCTGCCACAACACACATTCACAACACACATCGCACCCAAAAGTGGGAAAGATATGACAATTGGTAATTTGGAGAAAAGTTACAGATAATCAACATGAAAATTGTGAGAATATCTGGAAAATACCACAATTAACATCCTCGTTCATAAACTGGACTTGTCCGCCATTGCCATGGTCATGGATTGTCCCAGGAAGTCATCAGTATTTAAATACAGGTAAATATTTTTAAACTTTGTACATTTATCAATATCCTTAAAGAGGCTGTACATAATGTTGATATCTTATATGAGAAATAAACGACTCGTGGTCGTTGTATATCATACAATAAAAACACGGCAGGGCAAAATAAACCACTTGGGACTATGCCCCTCATCGTTTATTCTCAGTGCAGTGTTTTACTGCACGATAAAAAACTGCCACTTGTTGTTTACCGTATTCGACATAATAAGCGCCCAGGGCGCTCTCTAAATTAGAAACAGGGGTCTCCTAGAATATTATTTTAGTGAAGAAAACAGAGTTGAAAGATAAATTTCGAAATGTTTATATACAACCGATGTATGTTTCCAGAATTTAATTGCCTATAATTAAGGGTGCATAAATAAGTCTTATGTGCATTGATCAATTGGAAGGGGTGCTAATTGGGATTGTTCACTAGCCAACATATAAGCAAATATAGCCGTGGGCGCTTATTAGAGTGGGGCGCTTATTATGTCGAATACGGTATTTCCTAAGTAAAGCCCTATTGAGATTTATGAACAGGTTGACAATAAAAAAATATATCTATATTGATGTCATAACATCCGAGAGGAATCCCTTGTCCATACCGGAATGTCCTTTGACAGCATGTGTTGGAATATTGGATCCCTTGAAGGATCCCCCGTAGTCCGAGCTGTGTGACTGGTTGTCTATTGCCGGGAAGTCCACCTCAAGTTGCTGCTGTCGATGGGAGTCTAATAGGGACTGCAAAACACAGAAAATACAAGGTACAGTTCAAGGTGTGGCAGGACAAAATAATGTCCCATGAAAATGTCTAAGTTTCTTAAGAATTAGTCAGTATTGCTTGACAAAACTTTTATCAATACAGAAACCATCGAGGGGAGATTGATGAACTTTTTTACAAATCACAGACTTCTACAAATGATTAAGTTTGAATCAGGTTTCACAATAGATGTCACACCATTAAACCATGGGAATAAAACTTTGTACCCGATATACCTGCTTACCTACTGGTCGCATTCAGTATTTGTATAGTACATAAAGACCAGTAACATTTGTAGGTGAGTCATAAAGTCTGGTTTGATGCCATTTTTATGCCACCAAGTATTTGCCCAAACACATTTAACCAAAGATTATACATATCCTTGTTTCAAAAGTTACAAATTCTAAATGAATATCTTTTACCCCTTTAATTTACCCCTTTAAGGTCAGAATTTTTTTAAATTGGTTCACAAATCCGCCAACTCCAAAAAATTGAAATGTGAATTTCTTTTAATTTCCGAAACCAGACTAAAGTAAAACGTTTTTTTAAAAACTGATTTACTAACGCTATTGATATAAATTAATTATTTAAAGTACTATAATTAAAACCTGTTGAAAGTTAATCTTAAAAAGTTCAAAACACAATGAATAGTGACAAATTGCCATTTCTCCTGCCCTGTTTTTTCCCCTACCTACTTACCATTTTGAGGAAATCAAGCAAAAATATATAAAATCTTGAAATTTTATCATCTTTAATATTTCGACCTACTGACATGAATGTTGGACCTAAAAATCAGTAAACCCAACAAACAAAAACACCTGACGTAATTGCTAATCACCATCAAGTCTGTAAGAATTGCACTGTCGACGACAACAGGGGGCATCAAGCCAGAACCAAGACGTCGAAGCTTGGGGGGGTCAAGTATTGACGGCACAAGTCGATGATGGTGAGAGTTTCGAAGTTTTTGACAATAAGAGCCTTCAAATATTGTAGGCAGTTTCATAGATTGCACTGACTCGAAGGAACTCTTCAACATCATGGACGTCCATAACTTTGATTCCTTTTCAAGAGCACTGTTATGTGTGCTAATATGAAGAAGTTTGGACGGCATGTTTTGTGTCTTGAAACACATAGGTGGTAGATATTGAGGAACTCTCTCCGTTAAAGTTCCCTGTTTCTTCTTCTTCTTCCTTCCACCGTTGTGGGGTTTCAGAACAGGGTATCCAGCCTTCAGCGTCAACATCTTGGACTAGATTCACTCGCGACAAGTTCACAACTAAACCCTTATTTCATCTGAGAAAAAGACACAACTCATTTATGACTTGAAATAACTTGTCAACTCAACTATTCAAACAAATTTCACTTTTATCGTTATTATGAGGATTATTAATAGAAAACATCAACCTGAGTTTGTGTCGTAATAAATAGAACATTCAACACAAAGACTACAAATCGGAATAATCATGACAAACCATTTGTCACGACCCTCGGTTTCACGACACAAGTGAACACAACCTTGGTGCTATTTCTGATTATCTATAACCTAAAACAGCTGAACAAATAACTGTATAACTCTTGCATCACTCAGATCCCACAGAACATAATCCAAAGATAAAACACACATCGGAAACAAGATTAAATCCTGGGATAAGTTGTACAGTAATGCCAATTGATCCAAACCATGACTTAACGCTCCTGAAATCTGACAATGACCATGTTGTATTAGCATAACGACTACCTACATCTATACATGTCTCGAGTGTGTGGGGTAACACCACAAAGCAGAAACACATCCCACAATACCTTCAGAAAACTCAACCAAAGCTACAGTTACAATTGCACCATTGAAATCTATAGAAATACTGTATACCGTACAACTGATAATACCTCCCAGTAACCAGGTTAAATTACAGCATATTGCTTTTCTCACCTCGTCTGAATGGAGAAATATTCAAATACATGTGATGTTTGTGCCAATTATAAGCTCGAACAGAATGAGAAATAGCTGTAGTTTACACAGGTTATATAGGGTACAGCGAGGTTATTAACTTGTTACATACGTGACCGAGTTGGCTCCCAGATCAATGTATATCATATGTGGTGTTGTTGAAAAAGAGGTTGATTTCTTGCAATAAAGGTTATTTCATTGCCTCAAGACATGAAATCAGAAACACAAGTTCTTTATGGGAAATCAATTGTTGTTCAATATTAAAACTGTCTGATTTCTCTAAAATTTCAAATCAGAGTGCTAAAATGGAAATTGTGAAGTTTTTCGTTTCAATAAACAAAATTGTCTTTTCTTTTACAATGAATTGATTCATCAAATCAAGCCTAATGAAGATAGAAATGGATGCTTAACTCCAATTCTTATCAGCAATGTCAATGGTCAATTCAACAATATTTTGATGTAAGAATATGTTTTGATGGTCCCACTGACTTTAAACTTTGCCAAATGTTTGTGTCAAGACATTGATTGAATGTGGAATTTTTGGAGGACCCCATTTTTCTACCTCTTGCATCTTGGCATATTAGGTAGGAAATCATTTATAATCAGTTTTATCACTATTAGTTTTCAAGTACATGCTCTTAGAGGAAATTAAATGAAAACTTAAAGCTCAATCAGTTGTTTCTATTTTGAAAAGCACAATGTTAATATTTCAGTCTTGTTTTTCAAGTTCAAATGTTCAAAGACTCCCATGATCAATAAAAATCAGTGACCATAAATCAAATAAATTAAACTTAAAAGGACAGTGTTCAACAGTAACACTTTAATCAAATTGTTGCAACTTAAAAGTGAAAAACATACTTCACACAACAGACTAATTTTGACATCAGGTAAGTGTGAACACCTGTAATGTGTGTTTGACGATCACAAACTGCCAATCATTAAATACTTATAAACTTTAACAAGTGTTTTAATGATTTATTCACCTTGAAACCTGTGGCATTAATGGAGGACAATGAGTTTGTGTTAATTATATCCCATTTCATTATTTACCACAAATGTTTATGAGTATTTGAACCTTCAAAATTAATGCAATCATTTCGTTGTCCAGCTCTTGTAATACTGGTATAAAGTAATGTAATATTTCATATTTATTTGGTGAAAAAGGTGAACGAATGAGGTTGGTCTAACTGCATTGAACAGTATTTCAGTTATGGAATTTTGGGTCATCTAAATTGGGGACGAATAATCAAAGTTAGACTAACATGCACTGTATATCGTAGTAGTCTCAGAAATAAAGTTATCTTTTAGAAAAATATATATTTACAAATATAAAAGAAACTCCAAATGGATCCCAGAACAATGCTTAATTGCAGCCTAGAGCTGAAGCAATATAGACTTGCCAAGTCGTTCTAGACTTGAGTTGGATTCATTCCTTAACTTATTCTCTTAGGTCTGTGAAACAGACAACAGGTAATTAGGAGGGCGGAGAAAGGAAAACTTAACCCATAGTATTTTGTTATCTCCTTTTATAGATGAATCTAACCTAAATTTCAAAAGGAAAAGTTAAAAGAGAAAAAAGTCCTTTTTGGGGTGTGTTTTATTGAAAATACAGGTATCTTAAGCTTGGCATGCATTTTTCATATTTTGTTTAACCTTTTTACATTGTTTGTTTGTTTCAATTGTTTTTATAACAAATATATATATTGCAAGTAACTCCAAAGCACTTGATTGGCTGACCATAGATTTTTTGCATTTATGATCCCATGCTCCCAAACAATTTGCCACGCCTCCTAGCAGTCTACTGATTCCTTATTGGCTGATAATTCAGTCAGTGTGACTTTGGTTGCATTGTGGAGCTGAACAATGTCACTGATTTTATATTGTTGTCTACATTTTTGTGTTAATGATTAAATATTTGTGTGTTTGTTGTTTAACGCCGCACTCAGCAATACTCCAGCTGTATGAAGGTCGTCTGTAAATAATAGAGTCTGGACCAGACAATGCAGTGATTGGAATACGATGACATGCATCAACCAAGTCAGTGAGCCTGACCACCCAATCCTGTTGTCGCCTCTTACGACATGCATAGTCGCTTTTTACGGCAAGCATGGGTTGCTGAAGACCTATTCTACCCCGGATCTTCACAGGTCTTGTACCACATGGATTTACACAAAGTGTGCACACTGTATTTTACGCTTACACCTCTATTAACGTAAAAATATAAATAAAAAATAATACTAATTGATGTCAAATCTTGAGTAAGCCATGACAACACTGATGTACAGACATATTGACCAAGAAAATACAAATAACTTGAAAGACTGTAATATGGTCAGAAGTTATTATTCTTCAAAGTCTTGACCTAAGTTTGGGTAGAACAGTGACCCCAGTGAAATGAAAGAGTGTGACCATATTGAAAATAAAACCCCTTTATTCACGTAGCCTGTTAAGCACCAAAAGAAAAACCTCATAACATATACTACTCAAAAGAAGTTAAGGACCACCGGATTCTTTCACATTACTATAGTCAATCTGTCATTGCATGACTTCTATTGAGCAGTATATATCTGGTGTTTTGAAGCAAATCAAATATACATAAAAAGTTATTCTTTCCTTCTAATAAAACAGGCCACAGCTGAGATTAGCCACCAGAATCTCAATTTGTCTTTATGACATTGCCCAGAATAGAGTAATTCCATCGAACCAAAAGAAAGAGAATAAATCTGATCACATGCTTCCCTAATCAATAAAACTGATCGCTGGCTTCCCTAATCAATAAATCAATAACTAGTCATAGGATCAGAACCTTATCTCGCAATCAATGTGATAGCATGACCAATATCGGAGTATCTACGTCGGGGATCAAGCCTAACACCTGATAGACTGGGTGACGATAAGAATCGGTATTTGTCACTGGCAGGACACTTGGGTTTCTTCAATATCTACCTGATATACAAATAACTGGTGAGATTAACAAATCATATTATAAACCTGATCACTCATTGCTAAAAGGGGACCTAAAATTCACTAGTA